CAGCAGCAGCAATGCGTCTGTTTTGTTTTGTGTACAGCTTATGTCTAGTCCTGTCTACACCATAAACTGCGGCCTTTGTGCTTCTTCTGCTTCTCTGCTGCTAGCGGGTGGGGCCCCCGGCCACCGCTACGCTTTAGAGGGCAGCAGGATACTGCTGCATTTGCCTATGGGGGCCCTAGGGGGCCCCCTCTCAGCCCTGTCTATCGAAGCAGCAGATGTTAAGAGGGTCCGCACTCAAGTCCACAGCCTCTACAGGTGAGAACGAGATACTGTGGGGGCCCCCAAGTGCCTTCTAAGGGGGCCCCAGACAGTTAGGGGTGCCCCTGAAGGGGGCCCCCCAAGGAGGTCCTTTTGGGGCCCTTGGTGTGTCTTAAAAGAAAATAAATGCATGCAGAGGCAGTTTATAAAGAGAAGAAGAGCTTAGGATTTTTATTTTTTATTTTTAAATATTATTATATAAAGTGGACGGACCGGGGATTGATCCCGGGACCTCCTGAATGCAAATCAGGCGTGATACCACTACACCATCCGCCCGTGCCGCCATTGCTGCTGCTGCTGTTGCTGCTGCTGCTGCTGTTGCTGTTGCTGTTGCTGCTGTTGCTGCTGCTGTTGCTGTTGCTGCTGTTGCTGCTGCTGCTGTTGCTGCTGCAGTTGTTGCTTCTGTTTGTCTCGTCTGGCTTTGAGTGGATGTGTGGATGTATAGGGTTTGTTATCTCTGTGGTCTTCTTCGTATAATGCATACAGTTTGTCTTCTTTTCTCTTTTATTGCACTTAGTTTTTTTAATGGGCCGTTCTGTCTGCTGTACATACACCTCAGGGTTTGCATTTCTTTGGCTTTGCTTCAGGCGCTTCACAGGGCTGTCTGCGTCTGCAGCTGCTTCTTTGCTCTCAGAAGAAAGATATCTAAATGCAGCAGAGGCCCTCAATAATAACCTCATCGACTCAGTAATACCATTAATAAACAAACAAATTCAAACAACTGGAAGAGCGGGGGGGCTCCCAAAGAGCAGCCTGGCGCTGAGGGTTCCGGGGCTCGCAGGGGAAGTCGGGCCGCATAAGGATGTCAAAACGCTAAACCCTAAACCCTAAACCCTAACTGCTGTGGGGCCCCCGCGCAGCAGGCCAAACAAGGCCGCGACAGCCCTAAACCCTAAACCATAAACGCGTGAACACCTCTTCTTTTTAAGGTGTTGAGGTTTTAGGGTTTAGGGTTTCGATAAAAGGGGGGCCTTTCGCTGGGCCCCACACCTCTTCACTGCCTGTATATCATTTATATATATAGAATTAGAAAGCTGTAAAGGGCTGAGCATAATGCATGCAGATAGCTGAGCTGTACGTACAGCTCAACTGTCCCCATTGGCCTCACGCTTGATAGGGCTATCGGGCTCTTCTTTGGTTTTGCTTCCTTCCTTTTGCTTTGCTTCTGGAGACGAAGATGAAGATGAAGATGATGAAGAAGCCCCTCTATTAAGCTGTAGGGTTTGAGTGTCGATGGTGAGGGTAACGGGGCCATCATTATAAATTTCTATGCCTGAGAATTCAAACATAATTTTTTTGCATTAATTAATTATTTATCATTTATTACTTTTTTCTTGTTTATTAACCGACTGAGTAATAACTCTTTAATGCAGTATTTGTTTATTATTTATTTATTTATTTATTTATTTATTTTATTTATTTATTACGGGTTTCTTTTCCACCGATTTTCTGTCTACTTAAATATCTATTTATTTATCTACTTCTTTACCTGCTTTTTCATTTGACTATTTGACCAATTAATCAATGAATTAACCAAATAATAGAATAAACAAAAGCAACAAACAAACACAATAAAAAGAAACAAGTAAGAGAAAGAATAAACAAAAGCAATTATATATATATATATATACATATTATATATATATATATATTTATATTTATATATAGACGTGGAGGCTGCCTACGCATGCGGGTTTGAAACTGTCCAGTTTGAATTTTATCTTCTTTATACTTCTTCTTGAGGGCCCCAACAAACAAATCATAAAGGGGCCTCGCGTCGTTCGGAGCCATCGCTGCACAAACCCTAAACCCTAAACCCTAATTTTGGTCCCGGCTATGGAAAAGGGAGAGGGGGTGGGGTTTAGGGTTGAGGGTTTACGGCTTCATCGTGAAGGTTCGTGGAGTGGAGATGCAGCAGATCTAAACCCTAAACCCTAAACCACTGGACATACACCGCACCTGCTGAGAAGTCCGGCTGAAACCCTTTCTTTGTCTGGGCCTGGAGAGTGAAGTTAGAAACCACCAAAACCTCTAAAACACGCACATATACACACCCATGAACTTAGGGTTTAGGGTTTAGGGATTAGGGTTTAAGGATTAGGGTTTAGAGATTAGGGTTTAGGGTTTACGGAAATGCTCCAGCGAAGGGTTTATTGACCTTAGTGGTCGTCCAGTGTAATACCATGCAAAAGCCATAGAGAAGATATCGAGCTTAAGGTTTAGGGTTTAGGGTTTAGGGTTTAGGGTTTGGGGTTTAGGGTTTAGGGTTTACCGTAGTCCATGTCTACGACGCTCTTCTGCCAGGGTTTGCCCGCTGCGTCGGCTGAAGGCAGCAAAGGAGCAGTTGGGGTCAGATGCTTCCTGAGGGTTTAGGGTTTAGGGTTTAGGGTTTAGGGTTAGGAGGAAACAATTAAGCATCTAACAAGCGCATGCACGAGTATACAACAAAAGCACCATCAACAAACACAGCAGAAAAAGGAAAGCAAACGCAATAAATAATAACAATAATAATAACAAAACAATTGATAGTAGTAATAATCATCATCATAGTAATAATAATAATAATAATAATAATATACAACTAATAATAATGATGAAGCAAATAATAATAATCATAATAATGAAACAATAGTAATAGTAATACAACATAGTGCTCTATAATAAAAATAATAATAATAATAAAACAATTAGAATGACAATAATAAGAAAGTCTCACCCCAGAGTCTGGTGCCGAGACACTTCTTCACGCCATAGTCGAGGTCAGCCCTGCACATTATTTGCAGTGTACATACACCTCAAACCCTAATTAAAATAAACTCTTTAGAGTGTATATATGCACCCCACACTTCATTGATGCTGCATCTATTAACTGTCTACAACAGAAACCTTTCATATGTTACAGAGATACTGATCGTCGCCCTATATGAGGGCTTAGGGTTTAGGGTTTACGCGTTGTCTAGCTTTCCAGTGCAAAGGAAGCAAAAGGGGGTTTAGGGTTTAGGGTTTAGGGGCTGCGTGTGGTCTCTCCTTCCAATACCAAAAGGACAGTTGAGGCTTTAAAGTTTAGGGTTTAGGGTTTAGGGTTTAGGGTTTAGGGTTTAGGGTTTACGCGCGGCCTCTCTTTCCAATGCCAAAGAAACGAAGGCGGATATACACATTAGGGTTTAGGGTTTAGGGTTTAGGGTTTACGTGTGGTCTCTCTTTCCAATGCCTAGGAAACAGAGGAGGCCCCGGCCAATCCTCGCGACCTCTTCGTCAGTCTCCACCACCTTCACTGCCGCTCCTTCCACGCGTTGAAACACCAACTTCATTTCTGTCGCCTTAGGGTTTAGGGTTTAGGGTTCAGGGTTTAGGGTTTAGGGTTTAGGGTTTATCGTCTCGAGCCTTCGATGCCGACGGCATCAATAAACAGGCGCATACACCTCAACCAAAGATTCCTTACAGACAAATCAAATTTAATACACAAATTTAAACTTCTTAATTCCATGTTCAAATTCAAAAGAAGTTCTTAGGGGCCCCCAAGGGGCCCCCCATCGGGCCCCCCTGGGGCCCCCCATCGGGCCCCTCATGGGGCCCCCCAGGGGGCCCCCCAGGGGACCCCCTCGTAAGCAGCCCCCATGGGGCCCCCCTAGGGGGACCCCCCAAGATGCCCCTTCGGGGCCCCCTCAAGAGGGCCCCTCGGGGCCCACCATGAGGCCCCGGAAGGTTCCCAATGGGGCCCCCCAAGGGCCCCCTAGGGATGCGTTAGAGACCTACGATTCTTACTATTTATCTGTGAAGAAGTGGATCTGACAGGTACGTCTTTTGACTGTTTATAAGATGTGCGTTATTATTTCGGGTTCCGGGGAGGACGGTTTAGGGTTTTAGGGTTTAGATTTAGTGTTTAGGGTTTAGGGTTTGTGGTTTAGGCGTTTGCAGCGTGTCTTCTTCTCTTCTCACGGTATTTGCTTGCTATCAATTCAGTTTGAGGCACCCCAAACCCTAAACCCTAAACCCTAAACCCTATATGGTATGTCTTCGACTAATGTGGGCGGCGCCTGCGTCATTATATGCTCGCATCCAGAAGTTAATTCTTGTTGTTGTTTAGCGGTGCATGCAAAACGGAAAAGGACCTCTGGAGGTGCCTATACACCCGAAGAGGGGACAGAAACGCAAAGGCAACGGGCCCTTAATCAGCAGCTGAGCCGTTGTTGTTGCTGTAGTTGATATTATTATTATTATTAATTGCGCTTATTAATATCATCTACTGCTTTGTTATTATTATTTTCAAATATTATTACTACTAGGCTGCCCCAACATCTTATAGTTGGTCTGCCTGCTGCTTCAACTCTCTGCGAGAATTTGCTGCTGTTGCTGCTACTGCTTCTGCGGCTACTACTGCTGCTGCAGCTACTACTGCTGCAGCAACTGCAGCTACTGTAGCTACTGCTGCTGCTGCAGCTACTGCTGCTGCTGCAGCTACTGCTGCTGCTGCTGCTTTTTGCTACTGCAGCAATGATCAATCAAAAGGAACTCAGGCCCTTGAGGCTGTCTACAACCCGCTACCCCAACCTTTTCAGGGTTTAGGGTTTTAGCTGCTGCTGCCTCAGTAAAAAGACACTTTTAGGGTTAAAGATGAAATACATGAATAGAAAAGAAGCCCTGGTTTCTCTAGTCCTTCCCAGATACACAAAGAGGCTGCAGAGCTGGGGTGTTTGTGGTTTGGTGTTGATTGAGGTGTACGTACACCTGAATTATTTGTCTTAAATAAGATGTCCTTCGAGCTCCACGAGCCTCTTCACAAGTGCGGTAAGATTTCTTCTTCTTTGAAGAGCAGCGGGAACACCAAAGAAGACGAACTTCATTTGTGAGGGCGCTGCTGCATGCGCATGCAATGCAAGCTTATCAAAGTCGAGGGTCCCCTGTTGCAGCTGCTGCAGCTGCTGCTGCTGCTGCTGCTGGGGGTCTGCTGCATTGGCTTCTCTTTGGTTAAGAGAGAATGCAGCGAGAGAGTAGAACTCATTTAAAAAGACATTAAATAAAGCCTTTAAATGCTTCACATAGCTGCATATTAACCCAGGGCATCTCAGCTGCAGCCACCCGTCTAACCACACTGTCCCTTGCCCCTGAGAGGGAACCAGCTCGCAGCCTGCAGCACCCACCTAAACCCTAAACCCTAAACCCTAGGGGCAAGCACACGCGCCGTCTGGACAGGTCATACACTGGAAATGATGCAGAGACAGCGATACCAGCGTTTACCTCCCACGAGGTCTACGGAGACTTTATATACACCCCAAACTGCAGCAGCAGCACTAATAGCAGCAGCAACAACAGCAGCAGCGCTACCAGCTACCAGGAACAGCAGCAACAACAACAAGAGTACTACGAACAGCAGCAGTACTGCCAGAAGCAGCAGCAGCAGCAGCAGATTCGCACGTACAGGATAGGAGGAGGAGTGCAAAGACGGAGACAGTTGAAACATCTTTAATAAACACCTTCGTTGTCTGCAGCTTCTCACTGAAGGCCACCCACTGCGTGTCGAACTCGCACGTCTTGAAGTTCACAGATGTGGGGTGTATGAACACCCTAAACCACAAACCCCAAAGCCTAAACCCTAAACCCTAAACCCTGAACCCTTCTCCTTGCATGGAACAGCAGCACATGACCACTCGAGCGCAACTGTAGGTCTTCTCAGTCTGCGCCCCATACCCTAAACTCTAAACCCTAAACCCTAAACCCTAAACCCTTCTAAACCCTCGCTATCCACTCTACTGCAAACCCCACCGCTGCAGCTTCTGCTTAGGGCTTCTTTTCTCGTCTTGTGGGGAGTTGGGATCGGCATCCACTCGAGTGAAGAATTTCATTTGCCACGCCTCAGGCGCCTTCTCCAAAGTCCCTGAACCCACTGTCTGCAGCAGCAGCAGCAGCAGCAGCAGCAGCGGCAGCAGCAGAAGCAGCAACAGCAGCAACAACGGAAGCCAGGCTGCATTCGCGCAAGATGTGCCTGGAGTTCGTGCCTGTGTTGTTTGTTTCTGAAATCTAGGGTTTAGGGTTTAGGGTTTAGGGTTTAGGGTTTACCATGTATGTTCTTGGTGCTTGAATGGTGGCGACCTGCGGATACAGCCCAGCGACTACGCAGGCCTTGATATGCCAGTAGATGCTTTTAATGCTGTCTTTGTTTGTTTTATTTTTTGTTTCTGTCTTTGCAGGGCAGCGAGAAGACTGCGGGGACACCTCTTCAACTCGAAGAGGAATTACTTCGTCCCCGCTGTCGCTCCCACAGTCCTCCGCGCTGCTGCTGCTGCTGCTGCTGCTGATGCTGCTGCTGCTGCTGGTTGTTGTTGTTGGTGTCGCGGGAGGACTCGGCCTACGGCTCCGAGCTGCGGAGAAGCAAACCACTTCAACAGCCTCCCATAAGCATGAATGCAAACAGTGTCATGTGTGCATGCATGCATGCATGCATGCAAGGAACATCTCAGGTGAATGAATGCATGCAAGGAACACCTTAGGTGCATGCATGCATGCAAGGAATGTGGTAGGTGCATGCACGCACGCATGCATGCACAAAACACCATCTATTCAAACAACACTATGCACGCATGCATGCAACATCATGCATGCACGCACGCAAGCAGCACGCATGCATGCATGCACATGTGTTTGTTTACTTGATGGTTCGGGGTTGCTGTTGAGCTTTGGGTCTGAGTTCTCCTGCGGCATCATTGCGAGGAGACCTGTCTCTCTTGCTACCCTTCGAAATCTCTTTCTTAGAGCTTCTGCTGCTCTGCATGCGTTTGCATTAACTCCAAAGCGAAGACAAAATGCATCTTCTGCCGAGCGGCTTGAAGAGACAGCAGACTCCCAACCCGCAAACACTCGCAGACTGCTCACAAAGTCTGACTGACTCCGAGCGAAATACTGAAACGCACACACAAACCCTAAACGCTAAACCCTAAACTCTAAACCCTAAACCCTAAACTCTAGCCCTGAATGCGTTGCATGCGCTGCATGCATGCATTGCTCGCACAGTTATGGGCATTGTGTGAGGCTGACCTTCTGTCTTTCTGCTGCTGCCTCTGCTCCTGGGAGGTAAAGCTCTGTATCAGATGCAATTAGAGAACAAAGAGCGAGTGTCTCCTCTAGACACCCGAGAGGTGCAGCAAAGATAAGCATCTTTGCAAATGCAATGCTCATAGGGAAACGAGAAAGAAAAAGCCCCAAAGAAGTCAGACTCTCCCCTAAAGGGCCCCCCACACACTCCAAAGCGCCCAAGTGAGACAGGTGCCTGCATGCAGCAGCAACAGCAACAGCAGCAGCAGCAGCAGCAGCAAATCCAATGCCATGTCAAAAGCAGAAGCAGAAATAACAGCAACAGCAACAGCAGCTAGAGCAGCACAAGGAACAACAGCTAGAGAAGCAACAGCAGCAGCGGCACGAGCAGCAACTGCAGCAACAACAGCAACAACTGCAGCAGCAGCAGCAGCAACAACCGCAGTGATTCAAGTCGAGGCAGGGAGCCTTTCAAGGCATTCCGTTCTACGCTTGCTGCTGCTGCTCTTGCTGCAGCTGCTGCTGCTGCTTCTGCTGCTGACCTGATGGAGGCGTCTATGTGGTCCTGGGCTGGGGGATCAAGACATTGGCTAAAGAGGGTGTGCAGAGGCTCGCCCGGGAAGATAGCCTGCAGCAGCAACAGCAGCAGCAGCAGCAGCAGAAGCAGCAGCAGCAGCAAAAGCAGCAAAAGCAGCAGCATCAGTAGCAACAGCAACAGAAGCAGCAACAGCAGCAGCACAGACAGATATGAATTCTGTCGATAGCAGAGTACAGACGAGAAGGTGTCATTAGAGAGAAAGGAGACAAGAAAGGAGACACCTGTCTGCACATGCAAGAGACGTCTCGATGCTCCTCAGCTCAACAGATGGAAGGCAGCAAACAACCAGCAGCCGCAAACAGAAGAAGAGGAGACAGCAATGATGACAGACAAAGAGACAGACAAGGAGACAGACAAAGAGACAGACAAGGAGGCAGGCAAAGAGACAGACAAGGAGACAGACAAGGAGACAGACAAGGAGACAGACAAGGAGACAGTATTCAGAAGGCCTGCAGCGAGCTAAGGACAAACAATACCCTAAGACCCCTTACCTTCAGCTGAAGACAGACATTGTCAAGAGTCTGGCGGTGTAGCTCCGGGGTCTCCACTCTGCAGCAGCAGCAGCAACAACAGCAGCACGGCAGCAACAACAGTAGCAGCAATAGCAGCAAAACCAACAGCAGCAGCAAACGAAGTAGCCGCAGCAACCACGACAACAGCAGCAGCAACAGCAATACCAGCAACAACAATTGCAGCAGCAGCAGCTGATAAATAAAGCTTCTGCTCCCCCTATCTCGATTGACAGCCCGTATGCTTGGTTCCTATTCTGTGTTGCGGCAGACTCCCCATTCCCGCTGTCTAACTAGGGTTTAGGGTTTAGGGTTTAGGGTTTGCATACGGGGCCATATCAGTGAATTCATCTTGCAGGTAGAGGCGGAGACAGCAGCCATCGGAGACTCTTCCTGCTCTCCCCCTTCTCTGTTGTGCATTTGCTTTTGTTATTAATTCTTCTTGCAGTTTGCTGCTTCTCTTTGAGGGGTCGTAGCGCAGCACTTTGTGCGTTCCGCAGTCCACCACGTACCCCACATCCTAAATCAGGTGTACGTACACCCCAGACACTACACCATGAAACCAAATATATATATATATATATATATATAATATGTATCTATATCATTTTAATATGACAGACACTAGGTGCATCCGTCCAACTGAGGTGTCGGTGGTGCACAGGGACTAACTAGGGTTTAACAGGGTTTAGGGTTTAGGGTTTAGGGTTTACGCTGATGGTGATAGAGGTCTCGGCGATGTTGGTCGCTACGACAACTTTTCTCCAGCCAGAGGGAGGAGGAGCGAAGACCTATTTAAACGAAGCACCAACCCTAAACCCTAAACCCTAAACCCTAAACACCACGTTCAAGCCCTAAACCCCCGTTATGAAACAAACGCAGAGGTACGCAGACAAAAAAGCACAAACCCTGCCAAAAACACGAAAAGAAATACTCCCCATGCAGCAGCAGCAGCAGCAGCACCAGTACCATCAGCAGCAGTAGCACCGGTACCAGCAGCAGCAGCAGTAGAAGCAGAACCAGCAGCAACAGTGCAAGCAGCAGCAGCAGCAACAACACTGTCAGCAGCAGAACCACCACCACCACTACCAGCATTAGCAGCAGCAGCAGGAAGAGCAGCAACAGCAGCAGCACCGCCACCACCACTACCAGGAGCAGCAGCAGTAACAGCAGTAGCAGCAGCAGTAGCAGCAGCAGCAGCAGCTTTGAGGTACCTTTTGTTGCTGCTTGGGGTGTAATGACGCGTGGCAAGGTAAAACCCACAAGTCCATCTGCAGCTCCTCGATAGCGCGGCAGACTGCGGAGACTTCGCCGACTCCGCTGCAGAAAACAATGATGGCTGTACCTGCTCGCTGCTGCTGCTGCTGCTGCTGTTTCTGTCTGCTTCCTCTGGAGGCTCGCGTGTCTCCTGAGGGACACTTTGTACAGGGTGTACCCGTTAGGTGTACGTGGCGTACGACTGCTGCTACTAACTGCGGCAGCTGAGGCAGCGAGCCCACAGGTACGCCTGCTGCTGCTGCTGCTGCTGCTGCTGCTGCAGTTTGCTCCTCAGCTGGTGCTGCGGCGGAGCAGGCGAAGGTGTCTTGCTGCTGCTCTCTCCACTCCGTTTTTGCTGTTGTCGGTCTGCTTCCCTTGTAGCGCAGCTGCACTGCTGCTGCTGCTGCTGCTGCTGCTGGACCTTGATAAGCAGCAGGAAGAGACGCAGGGTCGCACATCTTAAGTACTTCATCGAGGTAATGTACAGACACCGGAAACGTTCGTCCAGGGACCTTTAGGACCTCGACGCTGCTGTCCCCTCTGCCTCCCTCCTCTCGCAGCAGTTGCTGCTGCTGCTGCCAGAGCTGCTGCTCCCGCTGCTGCTTGCTGAGGCCGCTTAAATGCCCCTGCAGTCCGAGAAGTCTCTCACGACGGAAGTATGACGCGAAGTGCTCCACAGCCAGCGAGGCGCTCATTACCACCACCTTAAGCTGTATATACACCCCAAACACCAGCAGCAGACGCAGCAGCAGACGCAGCAGCAGACACGGCAGCAGACGCAGCAGCAGATGCAGCAGCAGACGCAGCAGCAGGCCATGCAGGTACTTATTTTAGCTTCTGCAGGTTGAGTTAGTTGAGACTTCCGGAAGCTGCAAACCCAACTGTCTCCCTTTTATTCTGCCTCCTACGTTGTCTCCTCCTCCACCCATGTCGGTGTGGGGAGTGTCTCCTTTGTGGCTATTATGTCTCCTTCGCATCTCTGGTGTCTTTCCTGTGTCTCTAGTGTCTCCTATGTGTCTCTAGTGCTTCCTTTGTGTCTCCTCGTCTGTCGGCAGAGCGCCTCTAGTGTTCCCGTTGTGTCTCTGCTGTCTCCTTTGTGTCTCCTTTGTCTCCTCCGTGTTTCTTCATTCTCCTTTGCGTTTCTAGTGTATCTATTGCTACCCTAGTGTCTCCTTTGTGTCTCTTCTTCTGTTTGCACAGCGCTTCTACTATCTGTCTCCTTTGTCTCTCCTCTTTAAGTGTCTGCACTACAGCTGCTGCTGCACTTTCTGTACAGCGCAGCAGCAGCAGCAGCAGCGGCAGGGGGTGCATGCATACGCCGTGTCTCTTCGTTGAGAGGGCCTTAGCAAGGACTAGCAGCAGCAAATCCACTTCTGTGCATCTCTCGTGAACTTCATCCACCACAACTACGGAGACCTTCTCCAATGCGCTGCAGCAGAAAGGAGACAAATCACAAACAATTTAAAATATACAAACAAATTAAGAAATAACGGGGCTTGTGAAGCAACGTGAAGTGCGCATAGCTGCCCTTATCTATCTATCTATGTCTGTCTGTCTATATATATATATATATATATATATATCTTTATCTGTCTTTGTTTGTCTTTGTTAATGCATGGAAGGGTATACAACAGCAGCAACAGTGAAGAAAATAAAAGCATTACTCTCCACTCAGAAGCTGCCTTAGAAGAACTCCGTGTGTACAGAAGAGCAGCCGCGTTTGCTGCGAGAGGCGAGCCTCTAGACGAACTTGATACCCAACGAGGCCCCCTAGGGGTACACCCATTTCGGTAGCAACTCTGCTAGCTACAGAGACAGCAGCAAGTCGGCGGGGCTGAGTGCACACAATATACGCTGGAAACAGATCCCTGCTGCTGCTGCTGCTGCTGCTGTTGATGCTGTTGCTGCTGCTGCTGGTCTGCTGCTGCAGCGCAAGCTCTGCTGCCGCTTCCAGCAACATACGCGGCAGCTGAGTTGTCTTCCCAGAACTGCAGGAACCACAGGCAGCAGCAGCAGCAGCACAAACAACATAGAAACCTCAGAGAAAAGCTGATGCATTGGCTGCATAAGCAGCAGCAGCAGCCGCTGCTGCTGCTGCTGATGATGCAGCGGCGCAAAAAGGACCAGGGAAGGCGGTGAAACGAGACACAGACGTAAAGCAGCAACAGCACTTAAGAACAGAAACAGCAAACAACCATGAGGGCAGCAAAAATACAAATAAAGGTGAGGAGACAGCATAGAAGAAAGCAGCTGCTGCTGCAGACAAACAAAGGCAAAGAAATACCACCAAGCATACACCGCGTGGTGCATAGCGAAGATATTCCCAGCAGCAGAAACCAAAGCAGCAGCAGCAGCAGAAAGAGCAACAGCAGCAGCAGCAGAATCAGAACCAGCAACAGGCGCAGACGCAGAATCAGCATCAGAAGCAGCAGGAGGAGCAGGAGCAACAGCAGCAGCAGCAGCAGCTTCTAAGGAGGAGACACTTGAAATCTTACCCTGTTTCTCCTTGGAGTACAAGAACCCTTTTGTGTGGGTCTGCTAGAAATTGCAGCACTGCATCATAGTGCTGCCGCACAGGCAGCCCGAGGGCATCAGCTGAAGCTGAATGATTAATACTATTAATGATATTTCTACAAACTTCTGTCTCCTTTTCTGATATAACGTTTCGTGTGCTACTGATTGAGGGAAGGGGCCCTGAAAGGCTTCTGCTGCTGCTGCTGCTGCTGCTGGGGCCCTCCTCTGCCTTCGCTCCAGAGACTCTGGGGGCCCCCGCAGCAGCAGGAGACCGAGGGCTGCCTCGGCTGTCTCTCGCTTGCTGCTGGTTGGGGGTCTCCTGTTGCTGCTGTCGCTCTGGTGTCTCCCTCTTCGCTGCTGCTGCTCCTGCTGCTGCTGCTGCTGCTTGTGCTGCATACTGCACCCCAGCAGCAGCTCCAATCGCAGGAGGCAGAGAGGGGGCCCCCGTAGTCGCCGCGGCTACCCATCTTGCATGCATTCCCCGGGGCCCCTCGCTTTCCTTTGAGAGGAGATCATCAAAATGTGCCTCCAGCTGCCAGGCTGCATGCAGCAGCGCATCGATTTCAGAAACAGTGGTCTCGCATGCAGAAGACGAAAGCACGCTAAGTAGTTTGGAGACAGGAGGCGGCCCAGACAACGGGGGGCCCCCCAGGGGCCCCTCCCCCTCTCCACCAGCCACACCTCCACGCAGCTGCTGAAGAGGACGAGACAGCCGCACTGCATTATGTGCAGCAAACGCCCCACACAACATTGCCCCCACAGCAGCGCCAAAAGGAGACACTTCCTCTTCCATTGGGGCCCCTGAAGGTGCCCCCCCTGGAGGGGCCCCTCTTTGAGAGCCCCCCCCAACCCCCACCCAGGCGACAGGGGGATCGAAAGGATAAAGAGACCCCGGAGGGGACAGAATATGCAGGAAGAGGTTTGATGAGCTGGAAGGAGACAGTTTGGGGGCCCCCCGCTGCATGCAATCCGCAGCAAAGGAGGCCTTAAGGCAGCTCTCTAGAGATGATACTGTTGAAGCATCGAGAGGCACTTGCAAGTAAAACCCCTCTACAGCAGTTGATGGCTTATCAGCGGAGCAGCAATCAACCCCAACAGTAGAGAAGCAAAGCTGTTGAGGTACACACTCTAGGAGACTCGCTGCAGCCTCCAGCTCCTGCTCCTGGATCTGCAGATACACCCCAACAAAGACAGTAGAAAGGCAGTAGTAGTAGCAGATTAGTACTAACGGGACTAGACTCGTAGTAATAGAATACGATTAATAGTAGTAGAGTACTACTAATAGTAATTAATTAACTTATCAGCAATAACAGTGGTAGATTTGAATTAATAAATTTGCACTAGTATAATATTAGTGACCATAGTAATAGACTAGCAAGAATAGTAATAGATTAGCAGTAATCCTAACAAATTAGTAGTTATAGCAATATGTTAGTAGTAATAGATTAGTAGTAAAAGTAGTATATTAGTGGGAATAGATGAGTAGTAATAGTAATACGTTAGCAGTACTCTATTACTACTAGCAGTAGTATGTTAGTAGTAATAGATTAGTAATAGTATATATATATATATATAGAAGTAGAATAGAAGCAATAGTACTTAATAGATTAGTAGTAACAGCAGTATACTAGTAGAAATAGGTTAGTAGTAACAGTGAGATATGAGTGCAAATATACAAGTCCAGACTAGCAGTAATATATTAAACGCCCTATACGATTACTACTATATCTATATTACGAGTAATATATTACTAACAGACTAACACTAGAAGTATTAGAATAATGATGCTGCGTTTAATAGAGGGTTTACTAGGGAAACAAACGAAAACAAATAATAAAAATGAATGCATGCATGCACTTACTGCGTTAACGCGCTGAACAACCGCTGCATCAGCGAAAAGTTTGGGGCCCCCTAATCTCTTAAGTAAATCACTTCGTTCCTTATCTTCGCATGCACCCACGATTGCTGCTGCTGCTGCTGCAACTGCTGCACAGGCATCAGAAAGAGCACCTGCCGCTGCTGCTGCTGCTTCTGCTGCTGTCCTTCCCTGCTTCTGCTGCTGCTGCTGCTGCTCCAGGACGTCAGCAGCAACCGCATGCAGCCCTGTGTTTGTGCAGAGAGAATTCAGGGCCCCTGAGAGAGACAGCAGACTCTCCATAGGGGCCTCCTCGGAGTTTATACAAATGATTGCTTTTAGGGCAGTCGAGAACCTTTTCCTTGCGTCGTGCATGGCCTGCTGAGTGCTCTTCTCATCCTGCTCCTGCTGCTGCTGCTGCTGCTGCTGCTGCTGCTCCTTCTGCTCCTGCTGCTGCGGCGAAGACGCTGACTGACACCGAATTTCGATTTGCTTCCCTGCAGGAGAGAAGTGAGGAGGCAGCAGTCCTTCATCTGTGGTGTTGAGAGCAATGAAATCTTGGCAGCTCTCTAGCAGCTGCTGCAAGGCACTTGCTTCCGTCTGCTGCTGCTGCTTGTGCTGCTGCTGCTGCTGCTGGTGTTGCTGCTGCTGCGGTTGCACGCTAAGGAGCGCAGCAACAGCAGCTTCGACAGCAGCAGTAGCCCCTGCCTTTTCAAATTGCAGAGGCCCCGTGAGGTCCTTCAAAAGGCCAGCCTTCACTGTCCCTACACCTCGCTGGGAATTCAGCTGTCTTCGCAGCGCCCAACTGACTGCCCCAATCCACTTGGTGTCTGTCCACTGCAACGGAAGAAGCAGTGTCTCCTCCCCGGTGCTGCCGCGAGCAGGAGCAGCAGGGTCGCAGCGAGCGGCAACAACGTGCGGCAGCAGCTCTCTGAGAGTCTGCGCTGTTTTTTTGCGGACAAGTTCAGCCATGAAGACTGTTGGCATTTGGGCCTCTTCTTCGAGTCTCTGTAATTCTTTTTCCTTCTCTCGCTTCACCTTTTCTAATCTTTTACTCTCATCTGCCTGCTGCTTTTCAAATACAGACGCGTAGCGGTGCGCACTGCTTATTTGCACACAGAAGGGGGCCCCAGTGGGGGCCCCAGAGGCTTCGTTAGAAGGAGATGCATCAGAAACGCCCAGAGGGGCCCCTGAAGGGGGCCCCAACCCACTTGGCTTGGACGCTGCTGCTGCTGTTCCTGCTGCTGCTGCTGCTGCTGCTTCTCCAGCTCCTGCTGCTGATAACCCGTTGTTGCTCGAGTCAGCAGCAGGTGCAGCAGCCTTTGTCGACGCAGCAGACTGTGAGTTGGCGGCGCCCTTTGCTGCCTTGGCCTTGGCGCTTGGTTTCTTCGGCCCCGCTCCTGCTGCTGCTGCTGCTTGTTGCTGCTGCTGCTGCTGCGGCGTCTCCCCAGACAGAGACAGCCACGCCTCCCTAAAAGGAGAAGGAAAAAGCTTCTCATAAGGTCTAGAAGGCTCTAAATGAAAGAGGGCTAACAAAGCACTGAAATTTTCACTGTGGCTTTTAAAGGGGAATTCTTCATTCGTAAGAAACCTGAAAACAGACAACAATTATAATTTGAATTATTATGAAGTGCTGACAACTTCATTATTTATTATAGTTGTGGTAATTAGAATTACAACAAGTTAATTGTAATTATAATTATAATCATAAGATGCTGATTCTTATTTAATACAAAGGTATAACACTGATAACTCGTCAAGCTGCAAATGCACAAGGAAGCGCCCCAACTGTCTCCCAGGGACTATAAAGGAGGCAGGCACTACAGGCTGTATCTCTGGAGGAAGCAATAAACAAGAAAGAGACAGCAGCCAAAGCAAAGGCAAAGGCATTTACACTGCTGTTGCTACGAAGCAGCAGCATCATCCGCACCTGCAGCCGCTGCGCCGCTAGCTTGAACCAGCAGGTGCAGATGCTGCTGCTGCTGCTGCTGCTGCTGCTGCTCACTTCTCACCTCATTGTCTTTGAACTATCTTTTGGATTGCTCAAGATACACTCGGTTTTGAAAAACCCCTTGGGAGCCTTACGCTGCTCGTACTGCGGCTTCGGCATCTTATGCTGCGCATACACCCGATTAAAGAACCCTAAACTCTCTTCAATATGCATATTTAAGACAAGCAAGATTCGTGTTTTCAACTGAAAAGAACGTAAATAAACAATAAATAAAAAACGAAAGACAAGAAATAAACCCTTACCTTCTGGCAGTGGTTGTGCAGCACCTCCTTAGGCAGCCTCTGAAACGGCTTCATCTCTATAAACCCCGGAGGGCGATCTGGCGGCTTGGCCTGATAACACAATTCAACGAGAAGACTACAAGGGTTTAGTATGCATTGAGGGTTTAGGGTTTAGGGTTTATGGTATTTGCTGCTTCGCAAGATCGCATAAAACAAGAAATTTAGGGTTTTGCGTCCTTGGCATAGCGATTACAGTTTAGCGTCTATACAAGCTACCCATGGTGTACAGTTAGATGCATGCACAGAGTGTTGAAGCATTTTTATTAGGGTGTACAGTGTGGCGTTTAGGGTATAAGAGTGACAAGCAGACCTCAGCAGGAGAAGCTGCTGCAGTTGCTGTCGCTGGCTTGGCCTTCTCCTTGCCTCCCTTGTCCTTCCCTGAGGACTCCACCGTAGAAGGGCCCCTGCAAACGCGGCAAACAATTTGTCTCAGTCTTATATTCAGTTTTGAAAGTAGTACATGTCTAAAGACTTAAGTGAATCCTCAGTAACAAAGGACACAAGAAAAGGGAGAGATGGCAGGGCCCCTCACTTTGCCTTCTTAGGAGCCATTTTCTGTTGCTGTAGCCCCCCAAAGCCTAAATATTCAATGCCAAATATATGGACTTAAACGAGAAAAAGTGAAGAAAAGGAGACATCGGTCTGGTTGTTGAGGTCTTCGACAGTCTTTGGCTCGGCGTCGGCGGGCGCAGCGGATCCTTCGCAGCATCCGTTGTCCTTTGGGGTGTATGTACACCTCAAAAAACACTAAAAAGCATTAAAATCAATTAAAAGAAAAGTTAGCGTGTATTACGAACCATAAAGCCGCTTCATGATTACTAGGGGGCCTGCATGCAGCAACAGCCGGGGGCCCCCCTAGAACAGCAGTGGTAGCGCTGTCCCTTCTTTGTCCAACGGTGTAGCTTAGTCTGTCTTCTGTTTGTTTTAAATAATGAAAAAACACGCCGAACTGTCATATCCGCAGATGGGCTCTTACTTCATATTCGCTACTTTCCTCCTGTTGCCATTCCCGTGTATCACGCAGAAGTGCCAGGTACTCTTTAGTCTCAATCGCGAGTCTCCAATTCTGCTGCAGTAGACTAAATAACCCGGGCTGCCTCCTTTTCTAGAGCTACCAAAGGCCAGCCTCTGTGATAGGGCGAAGTATTCAGAAGTCACATGTGTTGTGCTCTGACCAGTGCCCATAGCCTTAAATCGGGAGCGTCTTGAGCTGCAAGGGTGAGAAAACACAAAAAAGAAATTCTCCTTAAGAGTACTTGTCCTCCCTGTACTGCTCAGCAACCTGACGCTTAGTCACTTTCACCCACAGAACACCACCATCGTTCGGAAGGGCGGAACAAGGAAGAATAACTCAAAAGATGTCGGACAAGATCATATCCCTGCATGTGGCCTGATGTCTATCGCTAAATAAATTGAATAAAAAGCGGTGGAGTTTAAGCTGGCGAACACGAGCAAAATGGAGGACAGAGTCTTTACCAAGCTTCTCGGCATCACCAGAGCGTGCAGAACACAACATAAAAGGCCATCGGGCCACAATGTAGGTAGTAGCATTCGTTGCATCAATTCCCATCTCTAACAAATCCAGCTCCAGCTGCAGGGAAATGCTTCAGTGTGAGGTGGACGGTTAAGGCGACCGTCACTTCGAAGGACCAAAATTGGGCGAGCCCTCACATTTTGCCTTTTTTGCGTCCCGTTGCTTGTAGATGAAGGAAGCGTCCTTTTGTGATTGGGGAAATTTGTCTTAACTGGACATTCAAGGCTCGAAATCTTTTGTTTTTGAGTACAGAGAGCTTAGTGTAAATGCCAGGTACGAGGAGCAATGGTTCGGTTCGGGCAACGTGGTGCTTTGAGGGGGCAGTAGGTGACAACAGATGGAGTATCTATCATGACTAAGGAGAAAGCGAATACGAGGCAGATGAATGGCAGTTTACCTCCTATCTATTTTTGAATCTGAGCTTACGTGCCAAGAGTAAAGAAAGCATCCTGCAGGTGGAGGCGTGGGGAATTGCCGTAGTCAGATCACGGAGCCTGCCGATGATGGGCGGGTGCCGCCCAGAGTGCAAAGAGAATCCTAACCCACAGCAGTAGACCAAGTTGACTTTCATGATGGCCTTTAGGTAAAACGTTCAGCCGCGTCCAAATTGAATTTTACTCCGCCGGGCACCCGTCAGCCTCCTGTTGCAGTGACATCCTACGCTTGTGAGCGGTTTAGAGTTGTTACAAACCCCCCTTGCTCAAGTAACAGATGCTACGGAAGCCACAGGTTCTGCAGTTCCCCTGCACACTCCTGGTGAACGCAAGCACGAGACTTACGTATAAAAAGCATACTCGGGATAAAATTGGAGCCTGCCAAAAGCGTCTGTTAACTCAGATGTGATATTGCTGGCTCCTGCAGGCGGCTAAGTAGATCTGCGATTCAGACATCAGAAACTTGCCCCACGATTATTCGTTAATTAGGGCTTTAAATTCGAAACGTTGATTCCGCCTCCCGTCCATTTTCCTCTCCACGTAGGCGGTAAAATTCACCTCCGCTTAGCATTTCGTCTGCTTGCAGATCGCTTTCTTCTTTAAGGTGCCGGAGTCACCTTTACTTCAGTTCCACGCTCGGCGCCGTCTCAGGAATTATTTCGGTGCAATGCTTTGCTCGTTCAGAAGATGTTCATCCGGATGGCCTCCCCTTGTATCTAGTATATCTGAGAAGTTTCCTTTCAAGTGTGCCCGCGTCTGATATTCCTTGGGTGGAAAATGAAACGAATTACCCCCCAAAAAGAGGACGGGGATTGCCTTCATAGAGCAATCAAGCGGGGATGCGTGCGGTTATCCGTCACATGTGGCACCGCAGCTGCAGGGAGTTAGAGTCTCCTGCCTCCTTTCTTCTTGCATGAGTAATTCCACTTTTCTATCTGTAGAGAATTTAAATGCTGTTGGGAGCGCTGACAGTTGCATTGCTTCATTGCTTCCCGGTGCGTAGACATCACTAACAACTTTTGGATGCCGCTCAGCAGTGTCACGCCTGGGCTGTCTAGGGAATGTCTCGGTGAACTGACACACCGCAGACGATCCGTATCATGGCAGTACTGCTCATCTCAGATTTGAACCTGCATGTAAAATCAATAATTTCAGCGATTCTCTTATCTTGTCTGCAATCAGCGAAGTGGAGTGACATAGACTGCTCCAGTAAACAGAGAGGCTACACCTCCTCCCCGTAGAATTAGGCATTAGATCTACTTCACCTCCCGCGTCAAGCAGCTCTAGTAGTATCGGAGCATTAATACAACCTTGGATAAGCACACAGTTGAGCCGATGCGGATCTACAGGTGCAGCGTTCGCTTCATGTGGGCCCGCTACTGCATGCCATCGGTGGGCAGGGGACTTCCCTAATCGCTTCGTTAATATCTCTGGTGGAACTCCCCAGAGCTTCGCTTCTTTGGTTCCGTATCTCTTTTTACGCGTGTCTAACCTTGTGTTATGCGGCCTCGTTTATTGCAGGCAGATGCGAAACAACGCAGATGAGCCACTCGATTCCTCTTAAGGCCTTGAGAGAAAGGGATTCGCCGTTTGACGTCTATTCACGCTTCTTCCACTCCTGGGCGTGGCTGGCATTCACCGCCGCAATATCTATATTGTGTGTACGCGGGTCTTTTCCAAAGCAGTGTCGTGCCTTCTGCGATCACACATGCACACACACCTACACATAAAAACGAGAAAAAAACGGCACTTCCGTTTATGTTGCAGAAGTGTAGCTCCTCAGATGGATTTGGCAAACGAAAATACACCTCCAGCAAGGCAAGGAATTCTTTTCACAGCCCCCGCATGGTGGCGCTGGTCGTATTGTGGATGGTCGGCGAAGGCAGAACCATTCTCCATTAACTGTTTCCCCAAAAAACGCATTTTGGGTTTTATACGCTGCGGAAATCGAGATCACCGCAAATCGGTGGGGAGCCCACACTTTGAGCACCTTTCCGCGAAGGCGAATCCTGATCAATATTCTTTATTCGAGTGGCAAGCAGGCTGAATCTTTGACATTGACTCTGGGGAGTCTATTTGAATATATTCCCTTCCTTCCCCAGGGAACACGCCTTCACTAGTTATTGCTATGCACCATCCGCTGCCCTCGTATGCTCTTCCTGTCCATGCGGTGCTACACAGTGCAACCAGCAGCCGCTATCCTAGCCAAAGACCGCCGTGAGGTGAAGTAAGGTCCAAATATCCCAGAAAATTTTCTTAAAGAGCATCTATCTTACAGCGCCAATTTTTAGGCACCCTGGGCACAGCGGCACACAGGCCCATGGCTGGAATGATGAGGCGGCCGTAGGTTGCAGCTCACTACGCCGCAACCCCTCCTCCATGGCAAAACCACATACCACTACTCTTAAGCCAAATTCGCTGCATGCAGTCACTGTAGGCAATTGCTAAGCATTTTCTTGGCCTTCAGTAGCCACCTTGAACCCAAGTAGAAGGACGTGTTCCAAATTCACACACCCCAAGCCAGAGACCACAGTACAGATTTTACTCCCAGGAGGCCTGGAAAATGCGGGGAAAGTTAGCTCCTCCTTGTACCCTTATACTTAAGCGATTGAACACAACTGCAGTTCATAGAGATCCGAGGCTAAGGCTGCAGGTCCACGCAACACCAGCAAGCATCGTCGCACTAGGAGTGGGGCTAAGCACCACTCTACGCGGACCGAGCAAACAGGTATTTTTCATATAGAGTATCCGTGTATAGGTTGATGTGTTTAATTTTTCCTATGAACTGAGCAGTGCCACTAAGGCGATGGATTGCACGAGCGACCATGGAGGCCACTAATACTAGGGACGATCGATGGGGGACGCACGAATGCAGGTAGCCACTGCGGAATTCCTGTAGTTCTCGTATTACAAATTGGAAAATATATAGCAACTCTTCGCTAAAGATTCGAAATACTCGAACCCCCGCCCTGAGTCGCATGCAGACAATTTTCATTCAGCCTGGAGACAAGCCCCATTGAGAATGGGCCCCTAAACGTTGCAAAGAGAGGAACGAAAATTCAAAGATTGTTTTCATCTATTTAAAACTACAGCGGCAGTCTAGGTTTTGCCGTGTAAGTCTTGTTATCGATTTACGGAGCTTCTCTTGGGCCCGGTAGACGAGACTCCTGTGGTCAGCAAGTGGCTGAGACCCCGAAGGGCGCATTCTCTAGGCCTCCCAGGTCCTCTAGAAAGCTGCCATTCCAAGGAAGAGGAAAGGAAATGCTGGCGGAGCTGCGGCCAGAGCCGCGCGACACGATTTCATCCATCTGCTTTTCCCCCAACCATGCAAAAAATGTGCTCGCGGCATCGTCCTGGGATAACGTGAGTTTGGAAACTTCCTCTAGGCAAATGCCTTCTCAGTTCTAGCGTGGAACGTGCTGTTGAGCTGATTTCGCACGAGAAAAAGCATTGATCTGGACAATGATGCCCACACTCTATGCTGGGCACGAAGAATGCCACCTTATCGCCAAAAAAAGCCCTGCGCTACAGCATCATTTGATTGAAGTAAATGAACTGTTCAGGCCATCTGGGGACGCATGATACTCAACGTTGCTCCTGTTCCTTTTGCCCGTGCTGCGCGCAGATGCTACGGGTGTATGACGTGGACAATTCAGAGCTGATTTCTCAGCATGAATTCCAAGCTGCCCCTTTGGACTGCTGCTTCTTGTCAGACTTCAATCGCGTTGCAGTGGGAGGATTAACTGGAGGAATACACGTCTTTGACGTTCATGGTGCTAAGATATCCCAAGTCGGCCGCCATGACGCCCCTGTTCGTTCTGTGCGCTTCCACAGGCCAACGAGTGAGATCCTGTTCTCTGAAATTCCATTCCGCTTTGCCAAATACTGCTGAGCTGACTTCTATGGCATTTAGTACGGCCGTGCTTTTAGCATACGCTGGCATACAATGGGCCGCCCTCATTGCGTTCGTCTGTACAGATCTCGTCTACTCTGGTGGATGGGACAACACGATTCGCGCATGGGATTTGCGCTCTCCGAGGGAGATTGGTATGGCGGCGATACACGGTAAAGTGTACGCAATGGATTTGAATGATGACAAACTAGTGGTCTGCGACTCTATGAAGCGGGTAAGAGTTGTATGTACAGCAAACAAACTCCGCAGCAGTTTCATTTCGTGTAAATTGTACTGTTAGCTAGGATACGGGAATACTTTGGCGCAGAGCCAGAGTTCGTGCCCACTTTGACGTGTTCTCTAAGGAACAGATGGTGTTTGGTGGCCGTTCAGTGTGTTTCCTTATGTTTCATTGCCGTCCTGCGCATGATAGAAAATTGTCTGCATGTGCGATTTCTAGGACGTGTGGGGCACGGAGATACATCATTTTACTTCAGGTTGTGCTCGTTTGCATTTGGATATATGCAGACTTACATATATGACATCCGAAACGGCGCGGAGATGATCAACGCGGAATATCGCGAGTACGGTTGTTCAGATGCTGGGGCCTCTGAGTCAGCTTAGCCGGCTAGCACCATCCTGCAGCGGATTATGAACAATCTACCTCAGCCTATTGGATGAGGCCACGCCTATGCAGAGTAGCGGAACGCGGCGCGCAGCAGTAGTTAGGTATTCTGCGACATATCCCAGAAGTGTGGAAACTTGTATATTTGTGTAGATGGGCAACGGAGTTGGAGTTGGCGTGGGTTAAGTAGAGGTGAACTGGTTCTTGGCGCCTTTGCGCATCTCAACTTATGTGTTTGCACGTCTTTCTTTTACAACTGAATGATGCGTGTCGCAGTCAAATTCTCAAGTACCAGATAAGATCAGTCCGGTGTTTCCCCAACGGCCAGGGATTCGCCGCATCTTCAATCGAAGGGCGCGTCACCTGGGAATATTTTGATCCCGTGAGCAACTTGCAAACATGATCCATCTCATGGATATCACCGTGTAGAGGAGCCGTGCAACGGTATTCATTTTTGTAGCACGGATGTGTGTCGTGCATATATTTTGCACGCTTGCCTGCATTGTTTCTGTAAACCGTGTTTCTTCCTCGCATCTGCTGTTCTCTCTTTCTGGAACTAGAAATGGCATTTCGTTTCAGTAGAGGTGACATCCTTTATAAGTCTGCATCTATGAAGAGTGGCGCATTCGATGCAACTGATATTCTGCTTCTGCGCGAGTACTTCGCCTCATGCTTGTCTGCTGTGAACTGCCTTTTCCTCAGAACCCTGAGGTGCAGTCCCGGAAGTACGCCTTCAAGTGCCACAGGATTAAAGGTGAGGGCTGCGGGTTGTACTAGCGGAAACCGTAGTTGGGAAGCTGTTCACGGGCGAGAGTTCCTTGAATCCACAGTAGACTTGGGTGCTACTCCTGCGGCCCTATATTTAGCTCAGTTATGCGCAAGGTGCTGTATATTAGTACAAGGAAAGTTGTTCCTTAACAGTTGTGCCACAGCGATGGTGACGTGTGGTGATTGCAACCCCTGTGTCGCCCCCCTTAGTGGTATGCACTAACTCCCTGCTGAGAATGACCATTGCGTTTCCCGCAGAGGCCGACGGCTCGGAGACAGCCTGCCCCGTGAACTCGATTGTCTTCCATCCTCGGTGAGATCACCGTGGATTCCGCGAAGGATATGCAATGCATGGGCATATGTGAAATTGTGGTGTGCATGGCAAGTAACAAGTTCGTGGAGAATATTCAGTATTGACGTTGCTTGCCGTGGCAGTGAGCGTAGGCGCACATGCTGAAGCGCAACGGATGCAGCTAGCTGCTACCTTCAGAATCCTCACCATCCACTTTCCGCTTAGGTGGGGCGCCTGGTGTTTGCTTCCTCAAAGCAACAAACGACGGCCACTTCGTTGGTCGGCTGGCTTTTCCGCAGGTATGGAACTTTCGCCACAGGAGGTTCTGACGGCGGCGTGTCAATTTGGGACGGGTTAAGCAAGAAGAGGCTATGCAGGGTTCCCCCTCTACCTACAAGGTGGGTTTCCCCCACTTGTGCATGAATCCTGATGGCGCAGCGTATCAAAACTTTTGCTTGCATTTGGCCCAGTTCTTAGTAATGTGTAGTATCGTTTGCGCTCGGTTTTTGCCTTGCAGCGTTTCAAGCTTGGCCTTCAACTCTAGCGGCACTCTTCTTGCAATGGCAGTTTCATATATGTTTGAACGGGGACCGCAACCGGGGCAACCCAAACCCCAAATTATCGTGCGCGCCGTGAGAGAAGAGGATGTGCGCCCGAAGTCCTGAGAGCGGCAGTGCTGGAAGGAGTCCCAGCAGTAACAAGGTAGTCCAGTTTGCTTGTCAAAACTAGCCGACATCTCCACCGCGGGCTGATGTCGGCATTGGCCTAGAAACAGACGGAGCGTGCCTCAGCGAATGGCCAGAAGAAGCCCATTGAAGATGAAAGCGCATCTTGTGGGGGAAGGTCAGCTGGAGGCTCGTCCTTTGTGCGCGGAGTTAGAGGCTAGCAGCTTTACGCGTCGCCTTGAATTATTGCATCCGGTTGCGCAAAGTGAAGCTGACCCAGAACATAATCTGCGTTTTTGGATTCTTTTTCATTCCACCTGCTCGGGAAAAGGTCCAGCGGTACGTTTATAGCTGGTATGGCCGTGCCAGTTCTTCCAGAGTTTTACAACTCTGTGCAGAAGAGGCTCCTGTCGGCTTTATGGGTACTACGGGCGCGTGCGCCTGTTTGGCTCCGGGAACGTGGGAAGAAACTGTTCAGACTATTCAGACACAGCTGTGCTTGGCTTTTCGATTTCGTAATGTGCCACTGGCGGCATGGTGTTCGTTCACACAGTCCACAGGGGCGGCTCTGCAGAAATCACGTCAGACGGAATGTCCATAACCAGTTGTTCTGTGTCATCAGCCTTTTCCTAGTTATAGAAAAGGAAGCCTGTTTCCTGTCTTTAGGCGAGATTATGCTGGTTCTGCTGTTGGACAACCCTGTATTAGCACCAGGTACTAAGGAGTAGCTGCGCAGTGTCCCTCATTTGGCACACTTGAAAGTATCAATGAAGAATGCTACGTCGAAAGTGCCAGGATGCAAGCGGCCTTCTTCAGTGGCAAGTATGGACATCTCTTCCTGCAAGATGACTCGTGTCGGAGTCGCAACAACGCATCCACGGCTATAAGGGCCCTGCAATCAGTAAGGCAGCAATCTCGTAGACGTATCTAGACAAAAATAATTTCGGCGTGACCAAATGCTGAATACAAGGGGGAAGCTTGCGTTCAGGGATACTCTACACTTGCATTAGCTGACGGGACAGGGGCTGCCCAAAGAAAGCCACTAGGAGCAGGTCAATTGCAAAAATACAGTCCAACGTCCGATGTTCCGACGGCGACTTCTCATAGGCCAAAAGCGCGTAGCAGGAGCTGACCCGTTCCGTTAGCTGCTCTTGTTCAAGAGTGTTTCTTGCGCTATCTGCATGGCATATTTGGCAGGGGAATATTACAAGCCCAGATTTCAGCTTCAGCGTACGCGGTGGTTACCCACGGGCAAGTGGGGAACCTGGTGAGTGATGTTTTATCTCGTAAACACTTCCGTCCTGAGTCATGATGGGTACGGATGACTGTTTCTCATGGGGAGCTAGGTATGTTCCTCACTGGAAAAAGGCATAGGAAAAAGCTTCTTTGTATGGCAAAAGGAGAGCGGCTCAAGAGGTCGCTCCTAATCTCAATAGTCCATACTACGCTGCAGCTTCGATGAGCCAGCGTTGGACCAGGGAATATGGGAAAGAGAAAGCTCGCAGTGGAAGACGATCAGTGGCGGGGACGGAAACTCCGTCACGGGCGCAAGTGACCGTGGCAACGTTTCAACACTAGATGCCACTGGTCCTACGCAAGGGGCACCCGCAAGCGTTTATCCATATAGGCCAGTATTCATTGTTTCTCCTGCAACCAAGCGTTGAAAAGTCCCGATTGTATTAATGCCGTGTGCATTACGCGCATTACTGCACTACAATACCAAAATCTCCCCAGCATTGGCGCTGCAACGGTAGATCGAGTAATTCCTCAGATTTCCAATGGCCGACCGGTTACGATGACGTGGGTTTGTGAAGTCATTGGGACGTGGAGGGTCTGCTGCCTCTTTAATGCAGTTCCAGTGAGTTGTGTATTCAGTTTATGACGATACTTGTCATGAACAATGAAGGTGTGGAGTGGGGAAACTGGAGGTGAGATGCAGCCAGGACGGTCTCCTGAAACCTCGCCAGCAGCACCAGTCCCGCCAAAGTAACGACTTACGTTTAGAAGCACCAAGAAATGCGCTGAGCAGGCAATCTTCCGGTATTTGCTAGAACCCGATCTGTTCAGCTCGTGCTGCCCGTTGCTTCTGCCGATGGTGTGGACAAATTATAGCCATGTAAATTAGTGTGAAGCCAAAATCTTGTTTTCCGCGACCCATGAGCAGGTCCCACGTTACTGTTCATCTGGGATAGCTCAGAGCTCCTACGCACCAACGCAGATTGTGGCAAAGGGGCAACATGGGGAAGTCCGCTGCACACGCAGAGAATTCTCGCTGTAGGCAACCCTAGAGAACCCAAGACTACGCTGGGGCTTTAAGCCCGGGCCCTTTGCCAAGCAATCCATGGGACCGCAATACTCTTCTTGCCCTCCTCCGGCGACGGTTAGGCTCGACAGAACATACCAGTTCAAGCCATCTGAAGCTCTAGGGAAAGCATTTAACAATTCCACAGACCAACAGTATGGCTGGGCGCGCTCTTTGCCGCAGGGTGGAATGGGTGTGTAACCATCTGAATGCTGTCTGACTAGGTGACTACTACTGTGCACGTGGAGCTTCTTCCATTTCCCCCATACAAATGCCTCCTTACACTACGATACGGCAGTAGTTGGGAAAACTTTCATCTGTATTCAGTACAGTTGCCCCTCCTCTAACATGGAGTCTCAGAAGCTCCAGTGGCTTTTTTTGTAGTGTCAAGCTCGCTTGCCCCTGGCTTCAACTACGATTCAGCCGTCCCATTCGTGTGGAAAAATAATGGCGGTTATATGCGTGTTCTCAAAATTCTGCGAAACGATTATCTAGGACGTATCCGGTACGCCTTCCCTGAAAAGAGCCCTAACTGACAGGGAAGGGCAGTGATTACGCGGAGTTTGTGGTGACCAGCAGACAGCCCTGTTGCCCGGCAAAAATGTCTAGTACTCGCCAGTCCACGTTGTTCTGTTGACTCATTGACTCCCTAGTGGGCATCGGAGGCCTGATTAGCTCAGGTACTTGGCCTTCAGTGGCCTTGAGACCTAGAGGCATTTTCAGAACCCCTGGTCCCCATAAAAAAGCCTCGCCAGTTTCTGCCAACACAGGCATAAACGCAAACACTTCTGCATCCTTGTGGACTAACTGGAGGATCGTCCGACGTTTCAACCATCGATGCAGACTCCTCTCTAAACATCCGAAACCTGATTAAAAATGTCTTGGCGTAATGACAGAGGGCAAGCCTACCTGTGAGGGCCGCCGAAAAGGCCGTTGTGCTCGAAAAGCCACCAGCAACCACTTTCCTGACAGGCCTTTTAAAAATACTCTGCAGAAAGCACACCAGAAAATTCGGATCACCCCATGCGGGGAAAAGTACGGGGCGCATGACCCTCAAACACGTCACCGATTTCGATGGAAGGAAGCTTTCGATTAAGAGCCAAGTGCCAGCTGCAAACTCTTGCCCTTCAGACGAACGGGCTTGGCAGCTTTTCTGCGCCTCTAATGATGGAATGCATTGTGTAGTGAATGTACCTCTGGGTATTCCCAGTGCAAGTCAACTGTATGTGGGGACTCCGCGTTCTGTCCTCCCCATTCGTACACTGCCCCATTTCCTAAAGTCACACGCAGCAGACCTCAACACCAACGCCCTTGACAAGTTCACTGAACCGTCCAGCATGACGCACTTGAAATACCATGTTCTGCGCCTCCAGATAGAGACGCCCGCAAGCATATGATGGAAGGGGACCTACTAGCGAGAGCAAGTGAATGGCAAGGGCCTAGAGAGCAGCTCTCTAACGGCAGACCAGCACGAGTGAAAAACTCTGCCAAAAGCGGATAGTGTGATTCCCCTCCTGATGCCATCACCTGCAGCACGACTATTGGTCAGAGACACAAGGTGACGAGTGCAAATGACGCAATTTTCTACAGTCTACCCACTGGATTATGCATGCAGCGTTTGCCAAGTTCCCTGCCGGTGAGAGTTCTTAACAAATCGAAAACCCCAAAACCGGCAAGCGGAAATCCCGTGTAGTGACATACCGACTTCTCTCTGCTCAACTGAAGGCGATCGTTTCGTCCCCACAGCCAGAGAGCGCCCTCCGGCGTTAACACGCCACAGTGGCAAGTCCCAGACATCACCTTTGGGAACCTCAAGCCACCACCAACGGAAACTGAAGGAGAGAGCACACTCTCTGTAGCGCTGCCGCAATTCATGTCCTCTGGGGCGTCCTGAGGGGCCTCGAATGGTCTTGCAACAATGTGAGACCTCTCGATCCCCTTCTCTTCGAAATTCTTCCTGAGCCTTTCAAGCTGCTGCAACTGCAGCTCCTCAATGCGGCGTTTGACCTCAACAAGACCCGGCGAAAGTATGCCTTGGAAGAACTCCAGTTCCTTGAACACTTGGCTGCTGATGAGCATCCCCGAGCCATTTACCCCATAATCTGCTGCTCCGGAGCTGAAAACTCTCCCGGAGCCTAACAAAACAAAACAACAACGGCAACATTCAAGAAGAGACGTACGAATCAAGCTGCTTCAAGAGACCACAAAGCAGCTAAAGCTCGGCAGAAGCTCCTAGCAAGCCGCTTGGAGGTGTCGGTAAGAAAGGAAGGCACAAAGGGAAATGAAGGGTCTTAGAACCCCCTCAAACGACGAAACAAAAACACCTACTTGTAACTACGCAAGTGCTGGCTGTACCACACGCCACGTCCACTACAAACTCTCCCGCGTGTATGAACTGAGCAAGGGAAGCAGCACACGGGCACACAATCCATAGGGGTGGTACTGCGAAAGAGCCGGCAAGACGCATCAGGTTGAGTTTTACCGCAGGAGGTGTAGCCAGGGGCAATGTGGAACGGAAATCACGTACAAGCGCCTACTCACCTGGCCTACGGGTGTTGGCCTACACCGATGCTTGCTGTCTCCATGCCCCAACGGACTCCCTGCTCCCCACAAGCCCCCCTTTCCCCAAGTATACAAGATGCCATGTGACGTTAGTGCAGCGAAGTGCTGCTTTCCAGCAGCCACCTTGACAAATATGGGATGCTTGTCGGTTTCTACGAGCGTAGTAAGACATGGAGCCTCAACTCTCAGCGCTTGCGAGATACCGAGGTCCTCACTCTGCCTGCAATGCCGAGTAAAGTCCTTCATTGAGACGCCCGACACTTCTACCGGCTCAGGCGTAATCTCACGTAGTGTCAAACTTGCTAAATCACTTTGCTCATGGCTGGGGACACCTATGGGTGTACCAAACAGTTTACCCTCGGAAAGGGCCACCATCTCCGTACCCCCCAGCGCCAAATTCACTGCTCCCGAGTGGCCAGGAAGCAGCACCTCCAGCAACGGTCCTACTCTGTCTCGGTGTCCCCAGTCTATCAAACTGCGCCAAACTGTGGATCGCTCTGGAAGTTTTGCCAGCCACACCCTACGAGTGGCCGAAGTGGTGGTAGACAGGAAACGAGAAAAAGTATTTCGCCTGCCAATAGAACAGTCAAATTTGCTGGCTAGCAGCGGTGCAATTACATGTGGGGTTCCGGGAGAGATGCTCTCTGCCCCTGTGCTGAAGCAGAGGTCTGAGGCGACAGCCCTACCTCCCCTTCTCCCATGTATCTGCCGGGTGCAACGACGGCGCCATTCAGAAGCGCCCCTGGGCGAAGTGGAGAAACAAGAATGACAGAGTATCATCCATGCCAGAGGAAATGAGCTTCGCATGCTGATCAAGTCAAGGGACCTGTTGGCCTGACGTGGGGACCGACCAAGTGGTGGCCCTGCAGCGCTGACGGCCAGAAGAGGGCTCACCAACTGCTTCATTGCACGATGGAAAGCAGTATTAATGACTGCAAAGCTATCATATGCGCTTGCCTTGCCGTCGTGGAGAGATGGAAAGGGATTCTGGTGGAACCTCCGCCGGCAAAGCCCACCGACTACCGTTAGCCTACACACCCCCCTCACCTGCTCCTCCACGAGTCATCTTACAGGTGATGCGATTATAAGCACGAGTGGAAGCTGCAGCCTAGCATAGTTGGCACTAAAAACAACAGAGGACATGACGGACAGGCAGAGACTGAACAGAGACGGCGAAGCCTTTGTGGGAAATGGAGAACGCCTAGAGTCACGATGCAGTGCTCAGGTCCAAGGATAGCTGGTAAAGCGAATAATCCTGTACAATGTGCATTGGGAGAAGACTAGTAAAAAAACTGCCGCTCCATTCTGAGTTCCCCGGCACGAGTCCCAAGGGGGTGTGCGATAGACCCCACGGATGAGGGGATGGTGGTCAGTGTGTAGTTGTTTGAGGTCCTTACGTCGTAGAAGAAGAAGGAAAAACAAGAAGGAGTCCACTTCAAGGCTGTATGCAGCTAACAGGAGCTCGTCTCCGCGGAAGCAGCAGCCGGGGCCCCGGTGGCTAGACCCAGATCCTGGTCGTTCAAGAATTTGTTTTCCGAGTCTTCGCGTCTCCTTTCTTGTTTGCATGTGTTTGGCAACTAACATAGTTGTTGGTAGAGACGTTTAGTGGACTGGAAGCTGGGATTCGATTACCTAAATGCCCGGTTCTCTGTCTCGGCGGTCGAGCCCTTCTTGTTGAGTCTATTGAGAGTCGCTTAAGGCTAACGTCCGGGCGGCTTCCTCTCCCCTCTGTCTCTTCCCCAGTAGAACCATTCATAGCCGACAGACACCCACTCCCCTGGCATTTCCTATCTAACGGCTTCGCCTCCTCCGTGCCCTTGAGGGCATTGCTTGCCACTGACCATCGGACCACCACTGTAGCTGCAGAACCACCCTCCCCTCTGACAGGTGGGAGCGCATAATCCGGGACTGACTGCTTCCGTACAGTCTGTCTTTGTTCTCGTAAAGGAGCAACTCCTGGCTCTTGTCGATGTTGACTTGTGGTGAGATCACGCTGGAGCGCTTTCGATCTCCACAATCTCTCCTCTTCTGTACCCTGCCTTCTGAGACCCAGGTCGGTCGCAGCTGTATCAGAAAACTAAGGGTGGCGGGAACTGGCTCAAGGCTACTCCATGCGGCTTCAGCCGGTCCCATATTGCTTCACTCAGGTGCTCACTGGGAGGTGCACTGAGCAACAAGAAAGTACAGCTGTGTTTCGTCATGCACTTCATCCCTAGTCTTTCAGCTTTGCACACTTTTTTGTTGGGGTTGAAGGGGTTGATGCAGAGGCTAAATTGCGGTTGCTTGCGCTGCTCCGTGCCGGGGTGGGAGTACATAGGGTTTGAAGTGCATGTGTTACACAGAGGAGGAGTTGAAAGTGGAACAAGGAGTTACCACTGGCAGAAGATGCAGGTGGAAGAGGACAGTCCAGGGGAAGTGGGAGAGTTCACGTGTGCAGGACGCCGCGATGCCCAATATTCAGAGTCACTGTGGAATGAGGCCAGAGAGATCCGGTCACGGATCGAAGGTACGTCGAAACTTGCCGTGTAACACCTGGCATAGGGCATGAAGGCATGCAAAAGGCCCTTTCAGTGTAAATGCATGGTGCTCCACTCGAGTAATGAGTGCTGCGGTGGTGTGTGCGCAGCTTGCCCAGTGCACATGAGCAGTGTGGAGGCCTTCGCATCTGCGCTGGCAGCAAGCCTTTGCGTTGCTATGGACGGGTCAATGGCTTTTTGCTTTGTGAAAGACGTTGAGACGGAACAGCTGCTGGGGGTGTATGCGGCTCGCCCCGCCGTTTCGTGTGTTCAGCATGCCTGGCCTGCGGCCAAGGGACGGGACGACCATGCTCTCTCCCAACCGGGCTGCGCGTTGAGCAAGCAGCAAACAGTGAAGTCTTTCTGCCCGAAAAGGGATTCAACTTTGCAGAGCTGTTTGAATGCCCTTACGACAGAGGCCCGTAAGGATGTTTGTTTCCCTTCGCTGTCTGTAGTGAACAGCAGGCAGCTACCAACAATAGAAACATGCCCGCATGGAAAATAATCGCACTTGTCTTCACATCAGGGGAGCACCTGAACAGACAGCATAATCTGACGGTAGGCACCGCTGTCATGAATGTCCAGGAACCATTCCTGGAAGGACAAGTATGTGTACCAATGCATTCCGTGGCAAAAATACGTGCAGACCCTCGCAGCTTCGTTTTGAGTTCTGGTGGGTGGTTCGCAGTGAAGCGCCATCCGCGCAGTGGAGGCCCACAGTGTGGGGGGATTTCGCTGGAGGGCATGTGCTCAGAAGATGTGCTCTTTCTTTCTGCTTTGCTTGCTGAGGACGCCAGAGCCAGTAATACGTCTTCGCCCCGCCCAGCACAACCACATGCGGGGGATGGTAAATCTTCACGAGCACCATTGCAAAGTCTGTCGAGCACCAAATCCTCCCAACAGTCGTGTTCTGAGGGGACTGCCGGTGGGTATGATAAGCTGTCGGGTCGGTTCCAAGGCGGCAGCAGTACGGGTGGTCCGGAGACGTGGAATTCAAGGGGTGGAGTTGTACCGGAGATGCCGTCCTTTCCTCTTTCAGAGCTGATTGCTGTGTCATCTGGCAGTTTAGTGGGGTTCCTGGTGAACGACCTCAAGAAGTGCTCGGGGGTGAGTAGGAGCTCAATTCAGTTTATGGCTGAATGCTCTTGTTCCTTATGCAGGTTTTCAAGTGCTGTGAAGCGTGTAGTGTAGAGGAGGCTCGTATGGATCTCGAGTGGGTTAAGTGTTCCGTCGAGCCAATTTTGATAGGCGAATCGTTGCATTGTACAACTACTTTGCAACGGAACTTCGGTTTGCTCTACGGATGTGCATAACTTCTCTGCAGGCGTATTTCTATGAGCCAGGAACAGGGAAGCTGTCACCGTTGCCAGCGGAGGAGCTGCGTCAAGCCAGCCAGCAGGGCGGATCCCAGTGAGACACTCGAGCATGCGGTCGTGCCTTTGACCTTGATGATGCCATCGCTTTGCAGTTTTTCGGTTTGTGCGAGGCTCGTAGTTTCTGGTGGTGTCACTTCAAGGGCCAGGCCATGTAACACATGCGTTTGGGCGGTTCGCATTTGCAGAGACGCACTCCTTTCTGGTACGGCTAAGGGCTTCCTCATTGCTTGCCGCATGGAGGACGAAGGAGCACGGAGTGCATGCGCAGTCATGGCGGAAGCGCGTGCAGGTTACGTGGGTCCTGGGACGAGGAGACTGTCTTCACATCTTAGTTGTGTTCCCACCACTGCATCGCACCAAAGTGCTCAAGCGGATGGCACAGTTCTGGGGACTAGGGTAGCTTCTGTAGAGTCAGCAATGAACACTGGAGATGCTTCAAGAACTTCGCCATTCCCCCATACAGCTGCAAAGACATACCGGGATTATCCTCGTAGAACGTCCAGCGGTTTAAATTATGCCTCTCCTCTGCGTTTCTCGGCGACATTGGAACCGCCAGCAGCTGCGGTGGACGAAGACACAACCTTCCGGTGCCCAGAAATTACAACAAGCGACCGAATTTCAGAGGTTCCGGGAGGGACCCACTCGGCACTGCCGTCCTTGCGTAGAAGCTTGGGCACCGATACTGTACGATTTAGGGATACCTGAAACTGGGGGCGTAGGGGGTTTGGGTTACTTATGGCTCTTGTCCGCATGGATTTGCGGGTTTGTGTCTGAGCACTAGACTTCTTTTTAAAGGCCTTATCGCTCTGTGCCGGGTTTTAAAAATAGACTTGATGATATAGTGGTATTCGGGGAGCATGAATTGCGAGCGTTGTGCGTTGTGCAGCCGCTGCTGGCAGCTTATACAGACGTGGGCCTGTCTGTAGCACCCGCGAGGCAAGCCGTAGCTGACTTTCCCAATGAGCGGCCGTACATGGATCATGACGGCCACGACGACAGCTCTGCCGCTGCGTCCCCCTTGCACTCTGTTCTCTCGGACACAACGTTAGGAGTCGTGTTTTGTCTCAACGCCAAGAGGGCTGACGCGCAGGCTTTGTTGGAGGCAGTTGCACATGCTTGCGCTCCTCCGATGGCTCTTCTTCTCCAGCAACAATGGCTTCGCAGAGACAGGTTCAAACGTGCTCTTCAGCTTGAGCTTCACCGCACTGTTTTTCAGGTCAGCTTTGTGCATTTCGGCAGGCATCTGTAAGCCCCTCCGCGTGTCATCATTATCGATTTATTCGGCCTCACGCAGCTTCACCCAACTTCACCCATATTGGGCGCTTGTACATCTCTGGTTGTTTCCCACGCTCCGTTTTAGGGCGTTTGGGTGCAAGGATGGCAATATTTACGGACCACTGTTTGTAATGCACATGTTGCTTTCCCTTTGAGTGTCGTGGCCACACAGGAAACTTCCATCCCTATCAGGATGATGCAGCGCCTACTGGCGTTGCTCCATGCAGCTGTTGGAGCGGAGGCCGCAGCGTTTTTCATTGCAGATACTCAGAACGGGAACTTTATTTGTCTTGGGGGCCACAAGAGGTGAGGATGTATGTGCAAACTACGGAACAGTGCTTTTCCTCCTCCCTCGTATTTTGCGTTCTGGAGTCTGCTGCCAAGTGCATTGTTTCTATGAATCAGTATCTATTGCTGAGGGCAAGACTTCCTGCCGAAGAGAAGCGGTGTACAGTGCCTCAGCTTGACCACACTAGAAGCCCTATGGCACGCATAAGTGTCTGCATTTCATCGGATAGCTCACGTAGTGAGGAATTTTGTAGCGCTTTGCAAGCCCGTTTGCCTGTTTCAGAGCAACGGGCCTTCGTCTGGGCGGAGATCACCGGCTTCTAGGTGGGGCTGCTCGCCAGCGTGGCAGGCCAGTTATTTTCAACTTTCTCCCTCAGGGATTCAATGCAGAGTACGACTGTCGTGCTCGTTTCGAAAGCAAGTAGGTTTGACGGTGTTAAGGGGTAATTCATTTAATTCCTTTCTAGAAAGGCTGGAACCTCTTCCCCTTCTAACGAGACATTTTGGTGGTTTCGTTCAGCTGAAGGCCTCCCTAACTCAACAGAGTGACTCCAAAGGGCCAAACGACTTGGACCCCAATATGTGTGGACATCGGATACTGTGATTTTGCAGGCACGCTATGCTCGTCCCCTTACTCAATACGCAAGGCCATGTGAAGGCTGTCGTGGTGCTGCTTAACCGAACGCAGTGCACATGCGAGCGCATGAAACAAATAGCAGAAGCGGCAGAGAAGCAATGTGCATGTGAAGGTCACGTGCATCTCCTTGAGCCTTTGGCTCTGGCAGTGGATGCCTGGAGCGATGCAACGGCACCTTGTGAGCATTGCGCTAGAAGCCATGTGGACGAGCTGTCTTATGGGGAGTTCCTCTCAAGGCCACCTTCGTCTCTAGATGTTGACTGTTCTCGGCACTTTATCGGGCAAGTAGCGGTCGGAAGCTGTAGTCGCATCATTTTATCACTTGGCGACACCCTAGTTATTGGCATGTTTTTAGATATCTCACGAGCTTGTCACTCTGGCCGGTAGGGAGCGCGCCGCATCATATTTTTATCAGCCAGTTAATAGGTTGTCTCAGCGGCCTGTCAAGCCACTACTGGTGAACACAGCTATCTATGGAGCGTTTGGTTCCTAAACCGCAGGATTCATGAGGCTTTGATGCGCGCGGTCCAGTGCGAGATGCAGCAATGGCTAGGCGGGCAGTTAACAGATGTCTGCATGGCCGGCATGAGTCTTCTTCAGCCCATGGAGACCATGGTTTCCTACGTCATGGGGGGGCACCGACGAGGCAACCGGAGCACAAGGCCTTCTGGCCCAGTCATTGAGCAAATTGAAGTGAGGCAGTAGCTCATACGCACATTTGAGAACGGATAGTGCTGTATCAGGTATACCCAAGAGGCAGAAAAATGGAGGCCCGTGTTTCTCCTACGACGCAGTCGTCTCACTTAGGCCTTTTTCATGAAATATTGCAAGTGTTTCACCATGCGACTTCCTGGCGGTCAGTGCAAAATGCTGTTTCTCATCTTATTGAGAAGAAAATCGCCACCTTCGTTTGTACTACTCCGTGAGTTACAGCGTGTTGAATATGCCTCGTTGATATCTGTGATCTGTTTCGTGGGCCTTTTTGGTTTCGCTCCTGCAGAACTTTGTTCTTCGTGATAGGCGCATGATGTTACTAAGCCTTCGTCGTTGTGCTTCGGTGGCGGTGACCGAGCCCACATCCTCATCCGCTTTGTCAGATGCTGGAGTGGAGCGGAATTTGCGTAGCTCTTCTTCAGGTCAACGGGTCGGTAAGGCGCTGTGTACTCCCCCTCGCCGCCATGCTTCGAGCATCCCTGCTTCACTCGGCAGGGCAGTCTCACCCATTGGAGAGGGGCAGGCAAGCGGGCAAATGATTGCTTGCTTAGAAGGAGATAGCAAGGATGTCTTGCCTGTGAGCCGAGGCTCGTGCGCAAGTCTTCCGGCAGCTGCAGCTGCGGAAGGCTATGAACCGGATGAGCACCCCTCTACAACGTACCCAGGTACTTCACGAACGAGAATGAAAGTTAGCTTAACTGGTAGAAGGCAGGTGTACTAGTATGCATACCTCTCTTGGGGCGGTTTTTAAAGAGTGTGCCAAACAAAGCGGATACTGCAGGGCTAAGGAATTTGATACATAGCTGTGAGTCGTATTGGTGCTGCACAGAGCACGACATGCGGCTAGTCCATTCAAGCAGTGCCCCGCTTGTTCTCTATTCGGGCCTGCGCCAATCTTCCACTGGAGGAGAGGGGTTGACGCCTGCCCCGCAGCATGGAGAGAACAGGCGATCGGATGGAACACTTGCTTTCCGGCACAGGAGGAGCGCTTCGCTTCCCTCTCTTGTCTTCTCTGCGACTCTTCAAAAATGCATCAGGCCTTTTGATGCTATCCGCAAACAGGTATTGGCTGGCTGTGGGCGATCGTCCCGTACTTCAACGCATGTTTGTTCGTGCGAGTTCCGCCCATCTTTCCCCTTATTTCGCAGTACCTTTGCTTGACCCTATTCGAGACTTCGCACGTATGTTAGCTCTCAACGGATGTGCTTTTTAGCAGTGCACTGCCTGTAATTATTGTGTTCTGCGTAGCTCTCATTGGAGCCCTATCGACGGCTGGATCTGGACATATGGCGGCGCACAGCGGACGAACTACAATTGTTCTTCTTTTTGGCTTTGGAGGAGCTAGGGGTGATGGTAAAGAGTGAAAAAGCTGGACTGCAAGCATTTTTCGCCCTCATACGCGATGCATACCACACCGACAACCCTTACCACAACTTCTACCATGCAGTGCACGTAGCTCAGGTGTGTGACCGTCTCCACAAGTAGCACAATACAGGAGCTTTCGATTGTTTATCTGCTTTGGGACAAGTGCCACAGGACAGTGTCAAAGCAGCATTTTTCACTGATGAGCTCCCGTTAAGGTAATGCATTGCTGCTGGGTAAAGGTAATGCATTGCTGCTGGGTTACCTCATGTGTTGCCATCCGCCGCAGATGTGCTGGCTTTTCCTGACGCGATACTCTTGCAGAGATGACTTGACGCTCACTGAGCAGCTGGGATTAATGCTGGCCGGTGAGTGTTTGTAGCATCAGGAACACTTGGGGGTCAGTTGAGTACTTCCATATGCATTCGTACGCACATTGCGTGACAAACATTGCTGGTTGTTGTGAAGCTAATCTCAAAAAGCGGTTGCCGGCGTTTTCGAGACGTTAGACGGGGCTGAATTGCACATTTGTACGGAGATGAATTGCACACTTTTGCATTGAGCAGCTGCATTACGCCTGCAGCACTTGTGTAGAAGCGGGCTTCGTTTTGTGCGATGATGAATATATGACGGGGGCGTTTTCTTTGGGGGTCTCAGCCTTGGCTCATGACGTTGACCACCCAGGAGTGAACAATAACAGCCTTATCGAGGAGCATCACCCTCTTGCGATTATCTACAACGACAAAGCGGTTCTAGAAAATCACCATGCGGCTTTCGCTACCAGCGCGTGAGGGAGTGCCCTTGCTTGTGGACGCTTTTCAGTTTCAACCTTAACCATTCCTCCCTCACTCACTCCATAGTAGCGCCCGTTTACCAATGCGGGATGTTTTTCTTGGCTGAAATTTGCTTGCAGCATGATGAAGCTTGGGCTGTTTTCACGCAAGACAAAAAACGTGCGGAAGTCGCCTTGCCTCCCCTCATCTGCTTTGTCAAGTGGTGCGCCAAGTGATGCTTCATTAGTGGGTGATGCGCAGACCTTTCTGACCTCCTCAGTTTTTGGAGCTGTGAGTCAGCAGAGTGAAGGCGAGCACGACTGGGCAGATGATGAGGATGACCACACATTTTATCCCTCTTTCGCGGAAGTTCGCAGAGTCCTCATATCCTGCATTTTGGCCACTGACATGGAACTCTTCAGACATCATCATGAGGCAATGCGGAAGAGAGGTCAAATGAAAAGAAGTACGTGGGGATATATCCATATATATATACGTGTATTTGGACTCTCATTTGTGCGTTGCCTTCACGATTTGGACGTGTCTGTGGAATCGAGGTTATTCCCTTCAGTAAACGCAGTGGAGTTGAATTATGCGCAGGGCTAGAGTGTTTTGCAGAGCTTTTTTGCAGAAAGGGCATAGCGTGAGTTTGGACTGTTGCTCCGTATTTTCGTGTTCTCAGCTACAGGAGACCTCTTGAACAGTGATGAAGATCACGCATTACTGGTCACGTGTCTGATCCACTGCGCAGACATTAGTAACCCTTTGCTGCCTGAGCGCCGGAATGTGCAGTGGGCTTCACTCATTATTCAGGAGTTTAATGCTCAGGTCAGTGCGATGCTCCTTCTTTGACAACATACCAGTTTACCTCGCACTACGGTTCTACCAGTTGTGGTGCTGGGCGTAAAGTCCCGATAGTTCCCAGTTTTCATCTAGGTAAGCAGGCGTCACCGTTTGCTTGCTTCATTCAGTCATGCTTTCCTGCATGCTGATTGGCAGGTGGAGATGGAGAGACACAAAGGCCTTCCGGTGACAGTTTTTATGGACGCCCGCACGGAGCTGCTAAGGTAGTGTAGCACTAAACTCACGGTTGGTACATGTTACATTGAAACGTCGGCGGCGTATAAAATACTTGTATTGAGTGTTTAGAAAGTGCAGCGCCTCTCTGCTGGATGTGCAAGTGTGTTTTTGGTGTTTGAATAGCCATAGTGTTCTGGCTGTTATTTGCTTTTTTGTCTTTGTGTGGGCATCCTGTTTGTTTGCCCCTGCAGAACGCAGTCTCAAATAGGCTTCTTGTCCTTTGTTGTTCTCGACCAGTTCCGAGCTCTCGCAGACTTGGTTCCTGGCGCGGAAGAGTTAGTTGCGCAGGGAGAAAAAAACTTAGAAGACTGGCAGGCGGCAATGGATATTCTGCGGGAGGCTGAGCGCAGGGACGCGTGAGAGAGATTAACTATTGCGCCTTGCTGACTTTAGCGAAAAAGCACTTTTTACATTGTTGTTGTAGTTTTCCCTTTTTGCTTGTTCGTTTGCATGCTGATGATGCGCAGTTTGGGAGAAAGCATAGCATCTCTTGAACTCCCACGGAATTTCACGTTCCGTCTAAGAAATTTGAAGTTCATAGGCATGAATGGGCCCAAATGCTTTGGTCGCCTGCGGAGGTGAAGCGGTTTCTACTTGAGCTCTGCGATTTCCTGACTCCAGCAGCATATGACAGTCAGTACCTAACTGTTGTGCTCCCTTACGTTGATCCACTGCGTCCTGGTTGAGCGTTTTTCATTTTATGTGCAGCGATAAACCAGACGACTGGAGGCCACAAAGCTTGGATACATGAGCTTTGATGTCGGAAAGCATGGACGTTCTCATCCGCATAATTTTTTCTAAGGTATTTGCAAGACATGTTTTCTTTTTTTCGCGGGACTTCTTGGGAGACTTCAGACCTCCGGAGGTACGGGAGATTCTGGAGTTTGAAGGGCTTTCCATAACATCAGCTGCTTCTGCACGCCGATATGCGAAGCACGAACACGCAGACCCCCCCTGAATATTTGCCAATCTTTTCAACTATAGGCGGGCCCACCAGGGCTGGCCAGCCTAGCACCGGCAATTGAGCGCTTGCATGCTCACGATTCGAAGTGAGAGAATAATAAATAAGGCTTGCATAGCACACGCTCGTTTTTATACCAGAGGGACCCGGTTGCCCCAACATTTCTCGAGGCAAGCCAGATGCTAACAGCAGAGGTATTGCCTACAACATACTCATCATCCGTATGCCCGTTCCAATGCATTTTTTCTGTGGGGGTTTGCTAAGCTAGTAAAGGAAGCCAAAGCAAGGAAGAAGGTGGAAGTAGCATTTTGAGTACAGTTGATAGTTTGCTGGCAAGGCTCTAGTCGGCGGGGAGGGACCGCACAGTGTCTTCAAGATAAACGGTCATGGCAACGCCTAGCCAATTCTAGCACAGCCATTGTGCACCGGGTGCACATGTGATGTTGGCCCCAGCATGACCAAAGGTTTGGAAGGAATCAACAGGAGCGACGCTCCCGCTTGGGTTTCCTTGGCGCTTGCCTAAACCGCGAACCTTGTTTTATCTCGAGATGGCGATTAGCCAGCTAGAATGCGTTCTTTCACGGCTACTGCTTCCGCTTAAGCTGAATTGAACCCCGTACTTTGGAAGCTAAGGCACTTCAATTCTTGTTACGAGACGTGCTGCCCTACCTGGCAGCTGCAAAGCTGACTATTAACCATGAGGACGGAACGTCTGCTAGACAACGAAAATACTTTGCCAGGCCTGCCTGCTCGATTAGTTCGGGAACATGCAATTCCCCAGTCGGCTGTAGTGCGCAGTACAACTGAGACGATTTCTAGAGCTGTTTCCTTCGATCGCAACTTTTGTGGGGCAGGAGATTGCAAGCCCCCATGCGTCTCCTCAACAGGCACTGCATGATTCACTAAAAATAATGCACTGTTCGCTTGCCCCAGCAAACGTAAGGATGCCAGTGCACCCAACTGGCCATGAAAACCAGAAATGTCTGACTGGTTCGTCGATGCCGCAGAAATGTTTAAACCGGATATTTCACCACGCTGCCATGAACAGGGGCATCGACCATTAAACAAGCAACAAACACCAGAATGTGCGCCCCGAACGGGGGCGCCGTCGGTCAGTATTACTAGGCAATGCTTTCCTGCTTGCGACGGGAGAAGCTGCAGAAAGCATCAGGTGCGCATTTCCGGCAGCGCGTTCACGCAGCTTCCAAGTGCCGCTGGTTAGCAAGAAAGTGCAGAAAGGCATTGCAGCCTTGGTGTGAAGCCGTCTGCATATAGCACGACTGCAATGCATTAGGACCTTCCTGTTCTGAATTTCCACTGGGTGTAGAGCAAAACAGTGGTTTTCCAGAAGGAACATAAAAACTACACTTGTGTTAAAAACGCCTGGTTTGGGAAACTTAGACCCATGCGGCGCCATCTATACAACTTACACGCCGCACTGCTTCTCTCGGGTGGAAGCATGAACTTAGCTCTTAACATACCGGCAAGGGCGTCGGGCGTTGGGCTCCCCCTGCATTGCGTGACTCACGAAAGCCCTCAGAAAGGGGCTCAAATACCATGTGCGGTGCGTAGTACCAATGGTGCATGTCTACGAAGCATCCTTTTGTTTCATCTCGCCCCGTCTGCTTGCTCTTCCGTGTGATGATATGCATCTGTTTCTCCCCCTTCCTCCGTCGAATCGCGAGCCCGTCGTGCCTCCTGAATTATTCTCTGTTTCTCCTCAGCAGGAGGCTGTGGAGATTTTAAATACAAGCATCCGTTTGCAGGGACATCTAACCATAAGCAATAGGGCCATCCCAACCTGAAAGCAGAAACTCGACATGGAAGTTTACGCCTGCCATACCATAAGGCGGCGTGCTATGTCAAAGCAGTAGATGTAACTGCAGGGAAGCCGCAACGTTTACATATTCCGTAGAACCAGGCTCCTTCGTGGAACAAAGTACGTGTCACACTGCATCTGTCTGCGTATGTTGTGCATGCAGTGGTTCAGAATAGCAGTTCAACAAAACTCGCCTGCCGCCCTGAGTTGTGTGGATATAGGAGCCATTGCCCATGCCGCACATCCCCCCCGCATATTTCCAGTCATCCGAATTCAGCAGTAGCTGCCACTCTCCTCCGTGCGGAACTCCCACAGGATATCTGACGAATGCGCACACACAAATTGCGTTTGGCTCGAATGGCCAATGTAGACCCCGGCACTGCATGTCCCCTTCGGTGTGGAGTACGCAAAGCCTAATTGTAACAGCATCTATAGAACAACTGGCAATTTTCTCCGGTTTAGAACGAATAGAATATCCCACAGCACTCATGCACAATTAGCGAATCCACGGGCAGACTGAATTGGAGCCGCTCCCCTGAAAATGCCAACGAACCTGTAGTAAGCTTGCGGAGAAAAATTGCAAACCACTAATATGTCATTGAACCAGAATTCGTACGAGCGAAGGAATGCCACAATGCAATCGTTATTGTTGTCGCAGTCCGTCCACTTGAAGTTCCAGGTCTCGTCGTCTCCAGCATGCAACGCCGGCTGAGTTCTGTAAAGGCCCAGAAGGTCTGACACCCATATGCAAAGCTTCTTCCGCAGCTCCTCCTCTCCTTCATGCCAGTCAACAGACCTGAAATTCAACCGCACTCAAAATGCAGCCAGACGGTGAAACAGGTATAGAGCACGAAGGCAGCGCTAAGGACTACAGCAGGCACACGGAAGACAAACATCTTCAACTGAGCAACTGGTTGAACAGGGTCTTCGGGGCGAATGGACAGCGATAGAGAAAAAGCATAGCTAACCTGTTCTCCTTCCACTCTCTACCTTGACCAATCTCCCCCCCCATGAAAATGAGAGGCCTGCCTGGCATTCCTATCTGAAAGCCGTAGAGGGTCTTCAGGGTTCGTATGCGGTCTTCAAAAGGGGTTCCCAGGTACCCGCATTTGTCTAATAGACTTCCCTTTCCACTCACCACTTCGTCATGAGACAGTGGCAGAATCCACCTGCCCACCCCAAGGCACAAAGCCACAGTTCCGATAACGGTATGAACGGTGAATAAGAAGCTAATTCTACTTCACTGCAGCATGAGATGAAGTGTTGGGAGCGTGACAAACCTCTCATGTGCCATATAGAGGCCCCTGAATGTAAGTTTGTTGTGGCATTTCCGTCGATTTTCCACAGGGCAACACAAATAAGAGAGCGTGTCGTTCATCCACCCCAAATCCCACTTCGCATCGAACCCGAGACCTGAAGAACAAAGATAAGGCATAAGAAGCACAATGCCATAACAAGATTTCGGGGACAGCAATGCTTGGCAAACTGAGCCCCCTCTCCAAATGTGGTGGGTGAGAGCTGCAGAAGCTCTGTAGAGAATACCCTATACTATGAAGCCTTCCCCCTACTACTGCTGCAGTAGAAAATGGCGAGGCACATATACGAGCAGATCTGACCGTCTCTCTTGTCAGTGACTCCTCTCCAGCTGGTACTCTCCTCCGCCATAGTAAATACCCCTGGAAATTCTTTATGGACGACCCAGTTTAGTTCTTGGAGCAAGGAAATGGCTTGCAAGTTCGCGTCCCCACCGTGCTCGTTTGGAAGCCAGTCTCCATCTTCTTTCTGGTGATTTTTGTAGAGCATGGAGGAGACCGCATCGATGCGCAGGCCGTCTATGTGGTAGCGCCTCAGCCAGTGGTATGCCGCGCCCAACAAGAACGACCGCACCTCGTTGCGACGGTAGTTAAACACTGAACAACAACCGCAGAAGCGAGCCAGTCAGAGCGGACCACATGCGCACTCCGGGTCATGCCACAACCGCAGCCCGCCCTTCTCCCCTGGCAGATGCAACAAACACTACTTCTGATTTGTGCCAAGAAAAGCCACTGAATGAATGGGTTTCCACCACGCAAGGCTTTTAAGCCAACGCAGCCGATACTGCGCGTTGTTCAGTGAAACTGAGACGCTCCAGAAACGGCAGTCGCTAGTGAGTCACCAATGCGAAGCCGTCAGTCGTGTGCCTTACCGGCAGTCCCCCAAAGTTTGTGCTCCCCCTCTCTTGGGTCCGCGTACTCGTAGCACGGCTCTCCATCATAGTAAACGAGGCCCCATGAGTCCTTACAAAAATGCGCTGGCACAAAATCGATGAATACCCCAATGTTGGCCTGATGCAAGGTGTCAACCAAATACTTGAAATCGTCTGGAGTCCCCAAGCGGCTGTACGGCGCGTAAAGACCCGTTACCTGCGCAAACAACCCATATACATCAAACAGCAAGGGATCGTTGTCGTCAGGGCGGCACCAATGAAACGGTGCAGGAACAATGCACAGGGTTTAAAAGCCGGCTAAATCTCAGCAACTGCACTTGCAAAACCAGAGCAAATAACTACTCTCGCTGCATTACACAGTTGGGCGAACAGCTCATGCAGACGTTGGAGTGGCAAGGGGCTCACTTGGTATCCCCAAGAACCTTCGAAAGGGTGATGAGCCAGGGGCAGGAACTCCACGTGCGTAAAATTCATGTTCTTTACGTGGGGAACCAGCCTGTCAGCCAATTCTCGGTAGCCTGCAGAGGGAAACGAACCCGCAACTTCTAGGTGTGGATCAGCTGAAGTTATTACTATCTCTCCGACAAAGCGCAGCACTCTTCCCAAGGCTAAACGCAAACATGTTATCACTAATTGAGCCAAGCCGCGTCCCGCCAGGAGCCCTATGGGGCTGCCTAAAACACACTTAGGTAACGTCCGTCTTGTCCTCGCATCCAGCTTGGGAGGTGCACTTCATAGATAGCCATCGGTTCTCTGTGGAGCTGGTCGGTTTCTCCAAGTTTCTTGCGCCTTGCCATCCACTCCTGGTCATGCCACTGATAGCGCGCCTCAGCCTGATCGCCGCGCGCACGCTCTAAGGCCAGAAACCTAAACGCTGATGCCTAAGCCTAACACGCTGGTGCCCCACATCTGTGCAACGAAGCTCTAATACCCAAACCCGCACCCTAAGCTCCCAACGCTTCGTACGTTTTTGAAAGCGTCGTCACAGGCGCTGATGATGCTGGCGGTTTTGGGGGGCACTTCAAATTCCTGAGCATAGGGGTCTATCTTTATAAAGTCCGTCCCGTTCCTCGCATGTATCCTGTAACCATATTTTTCCCCCGGGCCTATTCCTGGAATAAACAAATCCCAGCAACCAAACTCTACCCGCTTGCGCATGGGATGGGCACGACCGTCCCAACCGTTCCAGTCCCCAACTACGGAGACACAAATGCAATTCGGAGCCCATACAGCAAACCGAACACCAACAACGCCGTCAACCGTTATGATGTGCGAGCCCATAAGGTTGTCTACGTGCCAGCATGAACCTGTGTTCACATACAAAACGCAGATGGAACAGGAAGAAAAAGTACACAACTGAGTCTGGCAAGAAAAAGCGGTGCACCCGAGAAGAAACAATCAATCGCATGCTTTGCAGGGGAAGAAAACTCAGGAGGAAGATATACAGTGGAAGGGATAGTGCTGAATTCAGATGAGATGAAAGCTCTTCCACAAAACCCATTCTACCCGGTGAAATCAAGACATCCCCTCCCCACTTGCAAAACAAAAAGCAGCGGCAAAAGCAGCTACCGCAGCAAGAATCAGTGTCAAAAGAACGAAGGAGAAAGTCAACCCAGAAAACGAAACGAACTGTGTGAACCTCACCGGACTGAAACAATTCCAAGTTGTACTGAGGGACGGTCATGCCGAAAGAGTAGGTGTCATAAACCACACGTGGGGATTCCTCTGCTTCTCCCCGCACTAAAAGCTCGTAGTCCAGGGGCACGTAAGGGTCGGAATCCTTCACTGCCGGGCCTCTAGAGGAAGCAGAAGGGTCGGTTGTGTATATTTCAAAGGCCTGCACGCACACTCCCAGCACACGGAGCTCTAGCAAATCTAGGGAGAAATGAAGGAACCAAAGCTAGCACGAGCACGCGCAGCAGCGAGACACTCCTTCGCACGCGTCAGCGTTGGGTCCTTGTTTGGTGCTTGCCTTGTGAAAGAGCAACTCTCCCTTTCTATCAAGCTTTACGGACTCTAAAGGCGGTGGCAATCGCCAGTCCGAGACTCCTGCTCTTGGCCTGAGTTCCACATGGTTTACGTTCTTAAGCCACACGCGGACAACTACCACCCTCTTATCGGTGCCTGCGCCCTGCACCTTGTGGCAGCCTAGCATCCTGAAGGGATCGGCGTGTCGCGCCAGGTTCAGTAGATGCATGTCATATTCCGGAATATCTGCATTTGGGGGAATGGTATCAAGTGGAACGGCCATAAAATGTGTCTGGTCGTGACGCTGTGCCTCCTCCATATGGTCAACCTTTGCTACGTCGTTCATGTTTGTGTTTGGCTGCTCTTTCGGGCCAGGTGTCGGTACATAGCCGGTCGGGCATGCCGTCGTCCTCTTCGAGGAAGGCGACGAAGGTATGTCAACGATATCGTCGCGCTCTATCTGCTGCTGTTCATGAGATGCGCCATTCGCGTCGGGGTTCTCGGCCGCTTCACTTCCTTGCACTGTTGAACATGATTTGCACACCACTCCCGCCGAATCTTGGGGAGATGAATGGTTGGAGAGACGGACTGCTTCAGTCAAGCGACCGGGCAGTGCCTCCATTGTTGTCGAGTCCCGAGTCTCCGTGCCTGCTGGGTCTTGCGAAGGGTGCTGAAATGATGATGCGGGGGAAGAAAGCTTCGTATGGCAGTATGTGCCTTCGTTGGGGTTGTTTCTAACCCCCATTCCGTGTGCCTGAGTCTGCGAACCGTCTGCCATCTCGGATAAGAGAGCTGGAGACGCGCCGACGGACTGTTGCAAGGATAGAGAAGAAAACGTGGTAATCTTGTGCTAGTTCCAGATGTATGTGTAGCACAATTCCTCACTGTTAGGGGCGAAATCGAGACGGAAATATCCAACAACGGCGCAGTCCACGCCTACAAAGCCGACGGAAGGAGCTCCTCGTGCTTGTGGAGGCAAGGCTAACCCACGAATATCACTTCTATATTTTCCCGCCCTATGTCGCTTATTGAGTAGCCTAAACGCTCCCCAACATCTCAATGTTCAGTACCCTGTCGCCCCGAAGACACGAGCAGCGACAGAGCGGCGGATGACCCACGGGGGTCGTTAATCCGCCTGAGGCAGTGGAAAGGGGTGAAAGGGGAGCCGTAATATAATGCATAAAGAGATTTAACTGTTGCGAAAGCTTTTTGAGGAGGAAGAGTGCAACGAAAATGAAGAAGAGTCCTGACCTTCAACAGGAGCACGGTGGCCAGCTTCCTATCGCGCGACACCAGCAACTTCCTGCTCCGTAATGTGACAACCAGACTCGGCCGTCATCTGGCTTTTTCTTTTTGCGCCATGTAGAAAAGTGAATAGTAAGAGCCGTATAAGCTGGATGTGCATATTATGTTTGTCGTCGTGTGTGAAGCGCTTCAGTCCTGCGGTCAATTCAGAAACTAAAAAAGCGGAGAACTGCTCGCCACTATCACTCTATCTCTTTCTCTGCTTATGCGGCATTCATGCGCTGTATATTCCATCCCAACTTGCAGCAGCACCTGCAGTACGAAAACAAAGTACCATCTGTAGGCTGCCGGAGTCGGCCTGCAAAACCGATCTTACCAGGGTTTCCGAGGTCAAAGTGGCAATGACGTCTGTGCTTGCTTCGCATCTACGCCTGCGTAGGTGTTCGTTCTCCATTTTTCTGTGTAAATTGTTGGTAGAGACGATGCAATGTTCGCAGCCCATTAGGGCACACAGGCTGTCCCGTCGTCTGTGGAACATTAACTACTTCCCTGATTGTTTTAGCTAGCTCGACGCACAAGCTAGAACATGAACGTAGCATTTCGGGATAGCGGAGAGTTACTAAGAAGGAGGAACAGCGTTAATTTAGAAGTTAGCTTCGGCTGTGAACAGGATCTGTTTCCTCCCGTGAGGGGAAAAGTAGCTAAGAGTAGCATGGCCTGCCGAAAATTGGTGAATGCATTAGTCCTCGCCGGGTAATTTTCTGCTTTAGGCCCAGTTAAGTGTTTAACAATTGTCTACTTGGTTAGCGCATGTATCAAAGGAGGGTTGGGTAGGCTTTTATGTGGGTTTGAACTACAGCAGGAGTTGCAGCAAGATGTGTTGCAACAAAACATGCCGCCTCCTCTCCGCGTTAGCCCCAGGCCTTTCTGCCGTTGTGCTCATGAAACATCGAGGGGAGGTCAGCTGCTTTTTGATAACTCTTCCTTCATTATTTGGACGCTACTGTAGTTCGCGACGGTCCTCAGCCCAGAGCGGTAAATTCAAACTACTTTGCCTGCCGTTACATTTGGTAGCACGGCATGGTAACTAAGAGCCAGCGTGAGCTGCAAACCCCATCCCCAACAGCTGCGCAGCCTGATATGTAGCGCCGGGCGGGCACAGCTATGCTTTGCCCGGGGAAGGGGAGTGGGAAATATTTTACACCGTCTCCAACAACTGTCAAATACGCGGCCTCAGCCTCTTTCGTACCCGAATGGTGAAGATTGGTCAGAAACTACCTGGCCGGGAGGTGGTCCACGGGTGGATGCTCGTCACATGAAAACAAGAGCAAGATTCGCAAGCAGTCCAGCCTGGAATGCTTCTACAGCGAAAAGGATTCATGAAGAATGCCTCTGCCACTGCGGGCCGTCCAAAAATGACCGGCGCCACAACACGGGGGCAGTTGAAGAATTCTGCGCTGTTGTGGAGGTGTAAATCTCTCTCCAACTTACACCTGAGGAGCTCCAGTGGGTATTGACATCCTCTCTATCAGGAAGAGAGGCATGGCGATGGTGGCTCTATACAAACAAAGGTACCACTTTCCCTGAGCACCTCCCAGTCATGGAAGCTTCCCAACGTGCGTTCCGATGAAAGTGCATCTCCAGATCACCACGGGAACAGGATACCGCAGAATAAAGAAAGCTTAAAACCAAGGGAAGGTATATGCATTGAGATGCATCAGTACCTAGTGAACAGCAGCCCATTGGTCAGGTCGAAGCCCGCATATCAATGATTCGTAGTAAGGATGTCCCCTGGAGAGAGGCAATCTGTAAAAGGATGGGCTTCAGAGGGGGAACGACGTGAAAAGGTGGAACTCGCCGTGATGATGGAGTACACAAGCATCAAAGAGAGGAAAGACGCTGCTTTCGCCTCCCTAGCAGACGGGAAGAGAAAGAGTTTAGAAATGACCCAGAAATAGAGCCTGTGGATATTTTGTCTGTTGGTGTAAACCCTCATGAGGAAAAGACCAACAAGCGAGACTAGACGGCAGATGGAGCATGGGCCGCTCAGAGGGCCGCAGGGCGAACCGAATGTAGCATCCGCGTCCTCTGCATACGCATAGGTGACGTAATTTGAGGCTGCAAGCAGAGGAGGTAAGTAACTGGAAAAACGAAATTGAGCAGCGCTACCAGGGGAGTTGGAAAAGCGATCAGGGAATTCCCCTTCCTTCATGCAACGCGCAGCGCAGTGGGGGGTCAAATGAAGTGAGCGGCACGCTTGGAGCTGGATCAAGATAACTATGTGCTCGTTCGAGCTCGTACTATTGCTTCGGATTGGTTAGCTCTCCTTGGCAAAGGTTGTGAAGTGGGTCCGATATCTGACGCTACGGCGAAGAGGTGAAACCTGCCTGCCAATAGTTGGAGTAGTGTCTGTGAGGAAGCCTCACCGATCTCAAACAGAAGAGGGTCGCCAAAACTATCTGCTCCAAATACAGGCTCAACCCAAAAACTGACGATACTACCGGGATGAGCGGCAGCTACGGTGAACCCGTTTACTAAGATATTCGTAGGCATTCCATGGATAACTCAGTGGAGGGCACGGGCGCAGCATCCAGAAAGCACGTTTGAAGTCAATATCCCGGAAAAACAAGAAGCGTTTTTGTCCATCTGCCCTCCTAATAGCATTTGCATCCCCTACGATAAGAGGGTTGGAGTCATTGTCCTAAGAAGAAAGGGGGCGAGGAGACTTCAACTTACAGCAGCGGAGGTACCGGAAACGAAGGAGAAATGCATGCACTCCTTGGTGATGGTTCTACAAAGACCGCCCGTTTGCAGTATTTAATCCAGTTGGCGCCGCACGAAAAGCGGAAGTGGACACACTGAAAGGGAGACTTCTCATACATAACAAATAATACGGAGCCTCCAGAGGGACAGCCAAGTGCTGGAGGACCAACGCATTGCACCGAAAGCATTCATCCCGAGATGAAGGCGGCCCCGGCATCTTAAACACAAAATCGAGCGGCAAGCAGATGACGAATTACTTGGCAGCTCTCAGGGTTCAGCCAAGAGTCTATTCAGCATTTGACTTTGCTGGCGCGTCCTCCTATCTACCAATATATCCCGAAGGCACGCAACAGACTGCTGTCTACAACCACAATCGCACACTACAATGCACCTTTCTGCAATTTGGGCTCGTGAATGCACCTGCTCAGCATCATCGATATGATCCTGATCTCTTAGAACCAGTCAATGAGTGCTGAATCATCATATTCATGAAGAGGGTTCATAGATGCAGCGAGAATGTCCAGGAGAACCGGCAACACCTGCGGCATGCGCCGCACGTGCTACATGGGAAGCAGTTCTCTGGAAAAGCACAAAAGTGTTCGCTTTGTACGCAGTCTGTTACTTTCTTACTGGTTCCGTATAATGGCCACAGAAATAGACCCGATGAGGAACCAGTGACAACGGAGCAGTTCCCCCTAAACGCTAATACAGCTATTGAGAAGTTCCTCGGTCTCCTATCATACTACCGGGAGGTTTTTTCGGAGTTATCTGACATCGCCTCCCTATCACTCAAAAGGACAGCTTGTTTGTGCAGATATCGTAAACGCTGCCACAAACCGCGTCCAAAAGTTTGTGCTTACACGCAACCAGCCAGCTTCTTATGGCTTCATGCGCCGGATACAGGTGTCGAACTATATCAAGCAAGGACAGAGGCTGTCTGGAACTGGCCGTGACCCCTCTATATTCGCACACATATCCAGAAATTCCCCCGTCCCGCATCGCACTACACATAACTTCTTCCCTGGATTCACTGCCATCTCCTCCACTCCTACGAACTCCCGACAATAATCTACGCCAAGTGGCCTTCACCCATTACTTTACAGACGGCTTGACTAAAGTGGCTTTGCACGCTCTGCGAAGAACACAGGAGGGCAAGAAGCCGAACATGTTCGCCGTGAGTGGGATACGGCCATTTGCTGTACGTTCTCGGCCCACCACGCTGGCGTGCATTGTATATTTACAGCAAACCTGGTGCAGTGGCCATTCCATATGTCGCAGGTATATGAAACGGCTTAGGGAACTACAGAACCTTCTTCGAACTTTCCAAAGACAACGGCAGCAACGCCATTGCGAGGAAGAGCAGCCTGCGGCGACTGATATCTACAACACGCGTGCAATAACAAACGGGGATCTCCTTCAACAAAACCATTGAACTAAATGGACATCAGGCACACAACGTGAGAGGGTATATGAGGGTGCATTTTGCGAAACATTCCACCAGGATCATGTCTGCTCCGTCATTATTTCAGCGACGGTGACTACAAGCGTGGCCGTCTGCAACGCGGCGGTTTGCTGGTACCCGTGTAATCTTTCGCAGGCTATTGCTCGGTCACGCGTATATGGGAACTCATATCTTTATATTTGTGTGCAGTTGGGCAATAATGGTTTGATGTTCTGACCCAGGTTTCTCTCCCTGCCTACGGGAAGCTCGGCACTGCCTCCAACACACTCATTTCTTTCTTAGTTTGGCGGCTCGTCCCCCTTTCGGAGCTACCCGGAAATGCTGCGCACTGGGTGCTGAGTATCGTCCGTGCTTCACTGAATACTTCTGATAGTGCGTGGGTGTTCGCATTTAAACGCGGCTCTCCATCAAGGCGAACATAGAAGAGCAATGCACAAGGCACTGCAAATGCCAGCCGTGGAGAAGAACAGGTAGGAAGCAGCACCAGTGCACAACAGCTGCAACTGTAAATGGATCTCGCCATTTCCATTTGCCAATTTTCTTGTACTTCTTCTATGCTGGGGTCTAATTTGCCTCTCGCGGCTTTCTTTCCCTTCTCCGGTGCAACCATCCTTCATTAAGTACCCACTTACACGAGGGGAGGGGAGTATGGGGGAGCAGATGCAGCAAGGCTCGTCTGAGGTTAGCGTCTGCATTATCACTTGCGTGCGGGCTGGATACTGAGGGCTAAGTGAGGGTTTCACAATTGCATACAGTGTTAGTGCGCACATCAAAGGGGGGCGTGAGCGTGCTTGTACGTGGGGTTGCCTTGCAGCAGGAGTTGCATCCAGGAATCATCAACTCATAAGAGGCTGCCTCCTCCCTGCACCAGTCTCAGGCCATTGCGCAGCTGTGCCGAGCAAGCCTGGAGTGTGGAGGGAAGGTCAGCTGCCAGTGGGAATACTTTCTGACGTTTTGCGACACTACTACAACCGACGAAGGTCCTTGGCTACGGTAGAAGACTCTGGTTACAATGGAAGTGGGGATCGCAGTCACCGCTTGCCTCTCCCTTCTGTAACGAGAATCCACCTGAGGACTGTCGCATGGGGAGAAAGAGCCAAAATCTTTGATGAATTTCCCCGAATCATCTGACCACCCCTCTCTTCTCCCCGCTTCCTGAGCAGAAAGGCCACATGGCCTGGCGGTGGGGCGGTGAAGAAACAGCCTGCGATGCTGCAGTGCACCCCTGCATGCAACGAGAGTTGACGATCTTACTCAAGGGCCCTCATGAACTTCAAATCAGCCAAAAGCCTCGATGGAAAAGTTCCTAAAAAGCAAATGATCTACCCTCCAGCCCCAGACATTCTGGGAATGGCGGCCGAAATGCCTAGGCCTGGGCCAGAAGAGGCTGCCTAACACTGCTGTCAGCACAACTCATTGCAACTGATGCTGCAAGGCACCTTCCCATGTGAGCACTAGCAAACCCCTTTCTGCTGTCGGCAGTGACGCTGTAGACAACTGTTGTACATGGGCTTGCTCGCAGACTGCCTACGAATGCCAAGCAAGTTTCCAAGCACTAGTCGGAGGCAGCAACGGTGGAACTCCCGTTGCAGGGCAACTCCACATACAGGCCCGCCAAGGCCCCCTTTTGATGCATGCACTAACACTGTAGACAGTTCTCTAACATATGCTTGGTCGTCAGTAACCATCCCGAATGTAGGGGTATGGTACAAGCACCAGACAAAGGACAATCAAAACTACTCGCGGCCTTCGTGAGGAGAGGTTGCGCGGATTGCTTACCCGCAAGTCTTTGAAACATTTTAACCCATGACCGTGTATTATTTTTCGGTAGACTGTGCCGGGTGCTAAAAGTCGAGGAAGCAGGGCAGTACCTACTACAGCCCTAGCTCATTCGGGGCCTGGAGTTACTGACGATCAGCCACTGCTGTGCTTCCGTCGCTAGAGTTGCTGGTGATCATGGAACACCTGTTTGTCATAGGTGCGGAGTAGTGGTAAATGAGGAAGTCAATGTACTGAGATAGTATGTATGGCAGTGCAGAGGGTGCCGAAGGATTCTAGAGTATATTTGGTGAACCCGGGACAGTAGCCGCCCAGGGAGGCAAGAAGGTATTCGCAGTTTAGTTAGTGTCTAGCTTCGCCCTTCGAGCTCAGGATAATCTTTTTCTCCTGGGAGGATAGTCTTTTTCTCCTCTGGCATTGTTATACAAAACTCGTCGACTATTCTGATACTCAACTGTCGGGCTGCCCTACTACCCACTTCGGCTGCGGTTGCGGAAGTGGCTATGCGCGTCTGCGACTTATGCCCTCCGATTCCGTAGGTACCGTACAACAGTCTGCAGCACATTCCAGTACTAGCAGCTACAGTTGGGCCATTCGATGCTTGGTGGTCTGGGAGAGGGGAAGCAGTGGCGCCAACATAGACGCAGGCGGCATGACGGACTTCGTTGTTGCAGGGTGGGGTGCTGCATGCGTATTTTGGCTCTCCTCAGGGCAGCAACATAGAAAGCCATAGCAAAGGCCTGAAGCAGGATCTAGGGCGAGTCTACACTGTGTGACGAGAGTACCCCAACATCAACAGCAACAACACCAACTGAAGCAGCAGTGTAGCCGCTGATGGAGGCGGCCCACGACTCCAGCAGAGCTGGGGCAGCGCAGCATGCTTCGACTGCGCAAAGCCTTGCGAGGATTCTGAGGGAGCACAGAGACATACAGCGCAATGCTTCGCCTCATTGGACAGCCGCTCCACTTTCAGTGAGATCTCTGCACTGCACAGGGGGGTCACATCTACAGGTTGCAGTTGGGATCCTACACAGCCGGAAATTCCTATATCCTACCCAAAGACTGTAGTGGGGCTACTACTATATGAGTGTAGCGCATCCGGAGATTCCTATCGCAGTTTTTGCCGTTGGAGTAGTTGCCAATCACACGGTTTCCGATCCCCGCATAGATGCGGCTCAAGTGAAAAGTGCAAAATCTTTGGGGCCTCCATCAAGTGCGAAATAACCTTTTCACAGTGTATGGATGCGTGCTGTTTTGCTGCTATTCAGCTCGAGGAGCCCCGAGAGTGGCATTTCACACTGAGAGGGCCCCCGGACTCCCCGTTTGAGGGGGGTATGTACCACGGACGTATAGTGTTGCCAAAGAATTACCCCTTTGCTCCTCCATCTCTTATGCTGCTAACAAGAAACGGCCGATTCGACGTCAACAAAAAGGTGAGAGCGTTGTGCGCCCCATCGTCTCGTATGGAAATATTCACTCGTGGGGGCAGGCTCTGTTACAGCAAAAAGCTAATGCGCGGGCCGACTCTCCCCCTTAAGAGGTTCGGGAGGACGGCAGCCAAGGGGAGCCCCTCTTGAGCTTTTTCTGCTTACCTGATTCTTCGACTATGGGACCCTCTTGCAGTGCTTGGTGTCCTTGTTCTATGCTGCGCGTGCGGTTGTTTGACTTGACGCCGCTTAATCGACGAGCATGCGGCTGTACGCCGTGTATTGCCCAATCGCGTCTGCGCTCAGATATGCTTGAGCGCGAGCAGTCACCATCCTGAACTCTGGCAACCAGCATGGGGCATTCGCACTCTTCTTGATGCACTCTGCGCTTTCTTCCCCACGCCAGCTCAGGGGGCTCTTCATGCCCTAGAGGCCTCAGAGAAGGTATGGCGCTGCTGCTGTTCCTTTTTCGTGGAGAGACGTGCGGCGGCTGCGCTTCAAGCCGACAGTTCCTGCTGTTGTTGCTTGTGAAGCTGCTGGTAGCTTGGGTGCTGCCCGTGTACGTGGTGCTGCTAAGGATGCTGTGCGCCCTTCCTAAGCGCTTGCTGCCACTGGGATGGCTTCAGCTGTAGTCATTTTCAGCTGACCGCTTTGTGTGGTGTTGGTATCGCAGCGAGGCCGTGCAGGGAGACTTGTGTTTTCTCATGGCTTGTTAGCGCCTGCTCGTTGCACTTCGTTCTGCGTCTGCGTATGATAAATGCACGGCATTGTAGATGCTCTTATTCTGCATGCACTGTCTGCATCAGGACCGGAGACAGATGGCGCTGGAGAGCGCCTCTTGGGTGTGTCCAGTTTGCAAAAGACCCAACAGGCAACTTGTTGAAGAGGGCTGCGCCGCACCTTCCAACACTTTACCAGTAAGCTGGTAGCATAGGTAAAGGTGAAGAGAAACAGGAGCCGTGTTAATGGCAAGCTTAGGCAGCCAGTCTGCACTTCACTAGATGTCGCACAAAAGTTAATAGGTGGGAAGTGGGGATGGACAACGAACAGCATGCGGTGGCTTGCAATGCTGTGGGCGTAGGAATTGCCTGAACAGCTGAAGGCTCAGGCGCTCCTTGCGAGGAACCAAAGCGAACAGCAGCCGGGGAAGGCGGACGCTGTTCAGGGGCCCCTGCTGACCCCGCAGGTATATGTCGACACCCTGACGACCCCAAGGAGGGGCCTTTTTTACTACAACAGAAGCAGAGCATAACGAATACGTACTTTCGTTTGTGTATTTGCTTTTCCTGAAATAGTGTATGGCTTCTAGTAGAGCGGTAAGTTCACGAAGCTGATGACAGCTGCTGTGGGGTGTCACTGCTTCAGGTTGGAAGCCCGTCCGATGTTGGCAACTCTTCAGCAGTTCCACCGTCCAGCAGTATCAGAGGCACCAGCAGTGGCAACCGAGTCGCAAACAGCAGCAGTAGCAGTGATGGACATTCTGTAGAGCGGAATCCTGGGGGCTTATCTACGGGCAGGAGACCTGCTCGGCCCCAGGCTCCTCCATTCTGGGCTTTTCGGCTTGGTTCTCCTTCTAACAGAACGGAGTTTCTGATTGCGTGGGCCGACTTGATGCTCTTGCTTTTGCTGCTGGCTTCGTTGCTGCTGTTGGGTGACCTGCTGTTGCAGCCCCCCAAATTTTCTTTGTTGCTCCCGTCTCCTTCGCTTAACCGCTGACGCCTGGGGATCTGCCGGCTTTGTCCATCAGCAACAGATAGAGCAGCGCCAAGAGCAGCCACTAGGGGCGACTCCAGGAGCAGCAATTACGGGTGGCTTTGCTTGTTCTGAAGAGAATGATTATATCAGGTTGGTTGCTTGGTGTAGATGATCTCGGCACCTGATCCACGGTCTGACAGAAGGGGCAGGTTTGTAGGGTGCACAGAAGCCAGAAGCATGCGTGTGCACCTACATGTGCTGACTCCTCGTTCCTCCTGCGTCTTTTTGTGGTTCTCCACAAAAGCTTCGAGGACGGTCGGGGTGCACACAGGTTTGCCATCACAGTGTTTCCAAAAGTGGCCGGCAGACAGGCAGGAGGCAAACGCCAGTGTTTAGTGCTGATTAAGCTAGCGGGTATGCGCTTGTCTGGAAGGCAGGTGTGAGATGGTGCCTCCTTGGGACTTAAGGACGCTCTACTTACCCTGCTATTTACATTTTTGTCGGCCTTATTTTTGACTGCGGGCCAACGTAGGCAGCTTGCTACGCCAATAGAACAGCTTTTAGACTGGAGACTCCATCCGTCACAACTCCATAAGTGGCGTTCTCTAATAGTTCAAAACCGTAAAGCCATTTCAGTGAATTCGTCACAGGTTTTCTCATGTAGACTAATGACATCTTCGGAGGGTACCTTCGTGCAACTGTCGCTGACAACTCGAACATACGTATTTGTGGGAAATATATCGCAAAACTTTGCCCCGCAGTAATATTGTTGGCTAGCATGTGTTAGTAGTTGGAAGTCTGCATTCTAAAGTAGTAGGCGTGTGACTGTGGGCAAACAAGTGAGTGGTGACGCGTGGAGGATGACGTCACAAGAAGAGACGGAAAGGTGCGTGCCTCCGTCTTGCAGTCAGCACTAATGTGGTGAAATGCCATATTCCATATGGGCGGAAATTTTTGTACTATACGGTCTTATACATGCTCGCGCTACGTCGAGACCCTTTTGCTAGACTGCACGACCCAATGGTCATTTGCTCAAAACTCTACTGACCGGCGGCATGATTCATCGTTGTGCCTGCGCATAGAAGAGCTTGTGTATGCATCAATGTGGTGCTGCCTGCACTGGCAAAGTTGCGACACGCGGCGGTGGAATGCCAAACGATGCGGCTTCTCCTCCTCCCCATTAGATTGCGCTTGGGTGCTCGGATTGTTTGGCGGAGGCACCCCGACCTGTGGCTCCCTCGGGGGGAGACCGGGACGTAATTCCAATATCCTGATGCAACAATACTCGTTGCTGCACAACGCCAGACATACTCTGCCAGTAGGCAAACACCACTTTGTTGATGCGCTGAACTGCCTTGCATGAGCCGACCGATATAGTGAAGGTAGGGAGAAACGCCAGCCTTACCCTAGGACCCTAGAAGAGTAACCGAAATGTTCGCAAAGATCAGCTGCCTTTTACAATTTTTGGGCTTCCCGAGAACAGTCGAACAAGGTCTTTGGCCATTTGGTATTGGTAGGGCAATCCTAGGTTGCAGCCCCCCGGCTGGAACTCAGCCCATGCTGGCCGCACCGAATGCAAGGAGTGCCAAGACCCTCTACGATGCGTGCGCCCTCAGTTTAGTCAATTGATTTGCACCTAAAGGGCTCTTCATTGCCAACACATGTACAGTATGCCTTCTCCTCCTTGACATTCAAGAAGGGTGTACGAGTGCGAGAAGTGGTACTCTTTCGATGGGAATCAGCAAGCCTAACCAGGCATTGTATGACCTGCATTCTGGCTAGGACAATGGTTGAACTCTGAGGAAAGGTGAGAAATGAGTGAATAGCCCTTCCTGCGGGGCGTGGATCACATCAACCCAGCCAGAAGACCACACAAATTTCAAAGGAAAAGCAAATCCGCTGGCAGAAGCCTCTGACTTTCCCATTTGCCCTTTACCACGTGATCCTGCCCATACATCTTAACGCTACCTTTATCCTTTATCAGCAGGGCTTGCGCTATATTTGGGATGACTGCGTGTTTAGGCTTGACGCCACCGCACATTCGCGTAGTGCGAAGACCTTCGAGAGCCTCTTACTTCACAGAATTGTCTGACTGATTCTCGGCCCAATCAGGAGACTAAAACGGGCGTGGGACTCAACGGCGTGTTCTTCGTTACCATCGGGGTACGCTACCCGGCACAAGTCTCCCGGAAATGTGGAAGGCTCTGGCGGCTGGCCAAGCTGGCCCGTCACAGGGAGTGGATGCAGCTCAGAAGCGTCAAGTGACGGTAAAGAAGGCTCCTTCAAAGGTCCTGGTCTTGCTGGAAGAATGTGCACCGTGCTCATTCCAGTATAGCGCTGAAAAGCTAACCCAGGGCGCTTTTCCAGATCCAGAGCCTTTCCTCTGTGCTGGAGCATCGTGTTTCTGAATTTACTACGTATATTTATACTTGGGCGCCCGCTGGCTGCTGTGGGCCAAGTTAGTCTTTAACAGTTGTGTAAAGTGTTCGTGCATGCTTAGAAAGAGGGGTATATTCCACATTTGTGGGTATATTCCACATTCGTGAATGGTTGGTTGCCTTGCGGGAAGAGTTGCAACAGGGTGCGTTGCAACTCATGGCGAGCCGGCTCCTCTCCTGAGCTGTGCCCGGGTCACCTGGATAGTGGACGCGATGTCAGCTGGTTTGGGTGATTTTTTAAAGTAATGTGACGGTGTTGCAGCTGACGACGGGCCTCTGCGAAGATCGAGGATCCCCCCTACACAAGTACACCCAAGCCCCCCTTTTGATGCGCGGTATAACACAGTAGGCAATTATTTAACACATCCCTGGCCCTCAGCGGCCAGCCTACAAAAGAGTAGAAATACATGGACCAATCTCAGACATAGTGTGCTACCCCAGCAGTGAATTGCAGCGAGACAGCTAAAGAATCACCCACGAACAAAACAAGACATATTCGCGCACATCCCCTTGGAAGTATCCTGGTATATAAAAGCAAAAGGTTTAGTAAATTAGTAGATCACGCAACAGGCAGCCAAGCTCTGTTGGTCCTTGCGTATGTAGCATGTTGGAATGCTGCCCGACGAGATAGAGTACATGACCGCCGATCTCTGGACAACGTTGCCACAGCGAGTTCAGGAGAAAATGTTTGAGTCAATAAACATACCTACTTTACCTTGTTGCCATGCAGAGACAGGGTAGTGTCCGCAGTACTTGGGGCCCCTTCTGGAGAGCAGCGCGAGGCGCGCTTCTGTGCGTTGTGCAGGCCGCCGGGACGAAGAAGGGCTCAGGGAGCATGAAGCGTTTTCTAACTGTTGTGGGTCTTGCTAATTTTCCTCACAAAGTGCATAAAGTTGCCCATCTTTCCTTGCCGTCCTCTTTCTTCTGTGTTCCTGCAGCCCCGGACCTTCGTCTTTGCGTGGGGTGCCGCCTGGCTGCTTTCCATAGGTTTTGTCGAGCGGTGGTTTCTGCGGGTTTGCAGCGTATATTCGGGCCCTAAGTTATTTACAACAGAAATAAGTGTTTAGTGTCCCACTGTGCTGTTGTGTCTTACGTAGGGGACCTGCGCGCTGTCCAAATTGCGGTGTCAGTCTACCGCAGTTGAACTGTTGCTTGCCTGCATTCCCCGGTGGCTTAATTTCTTTATAAAATTAGAAAATGGGGAGTTCACAGGAGTGCGGCGGCTGCATTGTGTCGCGGACACTGGGATTGGAGTCGCGGGCAAACAGCCTGGCGCTGTTCGTTTCCGTGAACCTCTTCTATTTCCTCGTCTTTGCAATGGGGAAAAGCATGGTCTCCCTGTGCTGCTACTTGTGCCTAGCGCCAGTCATGCTGGGGTTGCTGCTTAAGGCGTTGCACCTCACGCCTGTAGAGGAGGGACCTTGGGAAATCGTCAGCCGCTCCGGCATCGAGTCTTGCGTGGGACGGTTATACGACAGGACGAATCAGTTCTTGGAGTTCTGTCGTGACGTCTGCCTGTGGAGGAACGTCTTCTTCACCACCAAGGTCTGCTGCGCTCTGCTGTCTCTCGGATATGTGTCTTCCTTCTTATCTTTCGCCAGCCTGGTGTTCGTCGCGACTTGGGGTTGGTTCTTGTATAGCAGCTGTTCATCGTTGTTCCATGACACAATTTACCCCATTGTTTCTCCATACATCAAGATGGCCAACCAGACCTTTCACAAACTCTTTCAGTCGATTCCAAAGATGGAAGCTAGTGACAAGAAGCTCCAGTGAGTTCGCCGTCTCTTCATTGTTTAGAGGGCCCGAGGGGTTCTTCATTTGACCTCTCCTTGCCTCAGAATTAAGGCTCGCAGGATATTGGGGGGCAGCATCACAACGACTGCGGTCAAAGCGTGGCGCCCGATGTCAGCTACTGTTCAGTGTGTAGTAGTCCATGTTGCAGTCAGGGATCTGTAGGCTCGCGTAGCGCACATTGACAGGAGTATTTCTGTCGCACTGGAGACTGTTCCAGTTAAGTGCGTTGGACTTGATGTACGCAAGGTAGGTAGTGGGATATCCGCTGCCGACCGATAGAGTGGACTTAACCCCCGTCCTCTGCCCTGCGCTGGTTTCCACACTGCTTCAGTGGGACGGGATATGCTCGGGTAGCATTGCTTTCGTTGCTTCTGTACTTGACAGAACAGCTCCAGCGGCGGCTCCCCCGGGCGCTGTAAGCTGGATCGGCATCTGTCAACCCCTTTTACCTTTAAGTGTGCCACGAGCTGTTACGTTTAACGACATTGAGGTGAAGCTGCAGGCTTTTTAAGATAATTCAGCGGGAGCATATTGTACGTGTGCCACACGTTGGGGTGGCGCCTCGTTTGTTCCTTGTGATGCAATTCGCTGCCGCAGCAGCTAGGTCCTGCAGCACCCAGTTGGTTCGAGCGCCGTCAGTGACTAGGATTGCTCGAGCCGTATGAAGAGTTTGTCTTATAAATTGGACGACCAGTCATAGATTGGTCCACATTTTTAACGTACGCACGACGCTTCTGCGGACGCACTTACGGGCTAAAATGTGGATTCAAACCGCCTAAACTCTTAATTGCCCATGTGGCAGTGGAAACGACGACTGCGGGAGCGCATACGGAAAGTTGAACGGTCCTTCAAAGACAGCTACCGCATGCCTTTGGGTAAGTTCACTAAATTGCGGGAAGTTGTGGCCTGGGCGAAAGCCTAGGCCTTCGCCCAAGTAAACGGCCAGGGAGGCTCCGCCTCCCTGGCCGTTTACAGTGTGCCCTGACTGTAATGTGGAAGGGGGAATCTTTAAGCGCTGTTTGCGCCTTCCTGGATTTTACCGCCTCCAGCAGACCGAAGTGTGACCATCGGATCCTTTCATAGCTGTGATCTCATGACGCTATGCGGGTCAGAGTGGTGCTAGGAGCTAGGGGATGCACGGAGTGGGAGAGGTGCAGCGGACACTGATATTATTCTTGTTCACTTCAAGTAGTTGAAAAGATCCTTTGCCACCTGAAAAAAAAGGACCGAAAGTTCAACAGCAGTTCTTTTGCGAAAGAGGTTAAATGCTCGTTTTACGTTAGCCTAGACGGAAATTGAACGGTCCTTCTCAGAGAGCTTGCGCATTTCTGGGGGTGAGTTTTACGCAGGAGGCAAATTGTTTAAACCTAGAGTGCTCTTCCGAAGATACCCACCGAACGACGACAGTTAGGCATAGAGGCCTACAAGAGAGGTTTTACGGCTACGTTTGGGCATCCAAGACACCACTTCCGGACGCAAAGTTCTACCGAAGATAGAATTGTGAGGAATCACTTACACATCTGTCGACGCAGGTCTGTAGCTCCTCGAACTGGCCAGCGCAGTTTCCCCGTCCATCAGTGCGAGCCTTGAGGCGGTCGCAGCAAGCCTACAAGTCCATCAGATAGCAGGCAACCGGTAGCACAAATCAGCTATCAAGCGAGAAAAGAACAGGGCTTCTCATTTCAAGAAATGTGTCGCAGCCACTTCGGGAAGGCACACGAGCCCAAAACGCCGAACAACCGGCGCAGCCATAACCAAGGATGATATAAACAGCGGAGAAAATAATGTGTGGAGAGAGTATAACCAACTCAAATACTTCCCATGGTTTGTAGGTCCGGCATGCCTGCCCTGCTGTTCGGCGTCGGAATACGACACGACTACCACACATTAGAGTGGGATTCTAAATTGAGCTTGCCACACAGAACAGTTCGGGCGCAAGCAAGCATCATGGGTACTTTTGCCACAAAAGGGAAACTGGGCGGTCCATCGAAGGAAGCGATGCATGTTGTAATGCAGGTAACTACGGCGTGCCCCCCTGGGTACATAATCGACAACTCCGTCACGAGTGACAGCATATCCTTATTGGCAGAAATCATTAACAGCATCCAAGCAAAAAGATTGTACGTACAGCGTATTCGTGTACCCATCGGCTGCACTTTGTGGTGCATGCAGGGGCAAGCTTTTTCTTGGGGTCGACAAGGCGCTCGCTAGGGTCCTTGGGCGGAATGTATTTCGGGTAGCGCACCCCGAACTCTGCATAGAATGGAAACGACATCTCAGCGAGCTGTCAGGATTCGAAGTCTCAAATACGCTGGGGACAGGTTTCCTCTACAGCTGTTGCTGCCGTCCGTGATACTGTTGCTGTTGCTGCCCCAGATGGGCAGAGATGAAGCTGCGTCTTTGGGCTAAATTCAATAAAGAAGATTCTGGTTAAAAGGTTTACGGCTGGCTGCTTGCGTACCAGAGAGAATACTGCGCCGCTGCCGCCGCTGCTGCAGCCGCCGTTGCATGCTGTCCGTATCGCGTTAGTGTTGGCACAACAAAAAAAGCCCCGTGGAAATGGCACTGGGAATATACGCCTCTGTTGTCTTCTAGAGCGCGTTTTCTTTTAAATTTATATAACAAGATCTACCCTCGTATTATTGCATTAGGGGCGATAGGCTGCTACCCCCCTGGAGCACACACCTCCGCTTGGCATTCCGAGTTGCCACGAAAGATTGTTTTTTGTGCACTCGTAGAAGTGTTTTCTGGTATACGATACTTATATTTTGGCGGTCCCTTCTCCGGTTCTTCGCAGGTCTAAACGCGCACGTGCTCATGCCAGACTCACCACACGTGACCTCAAAGACCTTCCAGCCTTCTTCCCACGGGTCCGCTGGGTTTCTTTCTTGTCCTAAAACGCTGCATGGGCCCGTTACTGGCTTGCTTGAGATTCTGTGGCCTTCCTAACTTTCCCATTTTATTAGGGCTTGCCGCTTTCTCAAGTCCCTATCCGATTCCTCTCCTTGCCGATACGCATCTTCTTCGGCACCATGGCGTGGATGATCCCCACCGAACTTTCCGACATTGTAATCACTAGAGCCTCTTTTCCCACTCCCTCAACAGAGGATTGTTTCTACTGGCCGCAAGAAAGACAATGGGTCCCAGAACGGTTGTTGAAGAAACTCAAACCTGGGGAGCGGAAGCAATTACTGGGCGCAAAAGCCATGGTACAGAAGGCCTCCTCCGGTGCGAATTTCCTCTCCTCTCCGTTGTCTGTCTCGGTACCATGTGGCTGCTTGCTTTTCGTCCCTGCATGTCCCTTCCGAACGTTCCTCGCTAGCGCTGTGCTTTTTGTTTTAATGCCTCGTTCCTGTCCGCGGCATCCTTGGCTGCGTGCGCTATTTATCCCCGCTCTCTTATTCTGTAGTCGTACCTCTCTGTGTGTAAGTACCTTGTATATGCTACTTGCCGACCGCAGTTTGCCACTGAACTACGGCACATCGCCGCAGGTGTGTGGCTCAAACCCGTATGCGTCTGTTTCGTCCTTTTGTGCTTCTTCCCAGTATTAGTCGATTTGCCTGTTAATCCGTGTTTTTGCTTTTCATTAGGCCAGAGCAAATGCCGAAAATGTGGTGGCTCCATTCCCAAGGGGGCACTCCGCGTGGGCTACCCCACCTCGGACCCTCGGGGGGCCTATGAAGTGCTATGCTGCTGGTTGCATCTTAGCTGCAGCAGAGAACTATTTTCCCTTATTTTGAACGAACAAGCAGAAGGCGACGTGATTGAACGATTGAAAGATGATCTAGTTGTCTCTCTTTCCTGTCTGGAAGCCGCGCCTGCAGGGCCTGCAGAGCCAGCCAACACACCCAAGGCTGACACGAAAGTCGAAAACGCCCAGAATCCCCCCCAAAGCGAAGCAACACCTCTGAAAAAAGAGAAGCCAGTACGGGTGGCGCGGGTCCATGGGGACAATACGGTTTTGGCGAAGGCGGAGGGAGGAGATGAAGCTGACAGTAGCAGAGAGGCCCCCACCGTTGCATCTACTACAGCCTGCAAAAGTAGCGGCCCCTCTTGCGCGTCTGCTTCTTCCACTCCATGTGAAGACTCTAGCAAGTCTAGGGACCAGTCTAGTGATGGTGGATCGAGCTGCGCTTTGGAGGGCAAGAAGGGAGATGAGGCGAAGAAGGGGGAAGAAGTGTTGTCTACGCGGGACCGTCTTTTGTTAGAGAGAGCCGGCTGCATTGTTTCTCTTGACCGTTTATGCTTGATGACGGAGGGCCTCTCACAAGCGGAGAAAGAAGAAGTCCAGGGGACCCTCGCTGCAGCGGCCCTCCAGTTCTTTTTCCCGGATGAGGTGCAGAAGGAGGCAGCCGCCACCACAGAAGCAGCCGAAGGAATGTTATCTGGGCTCACCAAGAGGGAAATTAAAGGACGCGTAGCGTCGCCTGAAGGGCTACTGCTTCCACTTCTGCCTTTTCAAGAAGAAGGCCTTTGGTGGCTTACCCAACAGGAAGCTTCTCACATCAAGGGAGGCATATTAGCTGATGAAATGGGTGAGGAGAGACGCTTAACACGCAGTCTGTATTGTCAGTTCCCCTTGCTCCGTCGGTAATGCCTTCATCCCACCTTAAAGCTCGCTTTCCGTTTTGCGCGAAAGTGCCACTGCTTTCAGGTTTGTGTAATCACGCTGCATCCCTAGCCACTTGTGTTTCCCATTATTCTCACCCTATCTTCCGGTCGCTCGCAGCCGCAATTTGGGACAAGCATCATACCTGCAAAACTGGTTGTAGGGTCTGTTCACGTTAGAGTGCAGTTTTGTCTGTGGAACTAGGGACGGATCAGCATCTTTCCAAGAACGCATGCATGTGTGTGCGCCATTTATTGGATATATGCGTCCTGTCTCTGGAAGCCCAGAAGTGCAGTTGTCCATCCGCATTCGGGCATACGTCACTTGCCAGAAAGTGCCTGCATCTTTTTTAATTATATACAATTGTCCTGTCTGTTTGGGGTGGCTCAATATCGGTTTGTGTGGATCTGCGCGTTTGCCTGTGGCCTTACAGGAATGGGGAAGACGATCCAGATTATTTCCCTACTGCTGTCCCGCCCACTTCCAACAATTCCAGAATCCGCGCCCCCTTTGGTGAGAGCCTGCGTGTGTTCCACATTGATCGTAACTCCCCTAGCTGCATTGTTGCAGTGGAAGAGTGAACTTGACAAATTTGTGGCTCCGGGCCGTCTGTCGGTGCTCATATACCATGGATCCCAGAGGCGGGCCCTTCACTCGGCACTTCATCAGTACGACGTCGTCTTGACAACGTATCAGACTATTGAACAGGACTTCCGCAAGCAAATAAACAAACACAAACTCTCCTGCAAGGTAACCTTGCTCATTTAACAGTGCCTATACATGTATCCATAGGTATTCGAAATCAAGCGTTTCGTGCGCATTTCTTTATTTAATCCGTGCATTGTGTACGTGTGCATGCATCCAGCTGTATTTGCAAATATTCTCTCGTGTGGCGTGCCCATTTCCTGTACTATGCTTTGTGCGGCTAGCTGCTGGCGTATTTCGGCTCGGCCTCAGTAAGCATGTGCGCATTTTATGTTTTCGCATCTGCATGGACGCTGTCCGCTTCGTGGGGGTTGCACTGGGCACAACCTTGTTTCTGCCTGTGCGTTCTGTTGCCTTTCGTGCAGTACTGCGGGCGGCTGTTCATGCGAGACAAACTGTTTATTCATCAGAAGTATTTCTGTGGGCCGGATGCCCAGCGCACCGCCAAGCAAAGGCTGACTGAGCGTAAACTGGACGAAGGCACAAAACGGGCGATGGTTTCGCTGAACATCATCAACGCAGAGGACAAGGAAAATGTGGACGCAAGTACAGCATCTGCCACAACAGGGAAGGGGCGGAGCAACAGGAAGAGGAAGGGGGCAGCAACACAAGAACGAACAGAGCCTGCATCTTTCGTTCCCACTCCCTCCAACTGTTTAAAGGAGCTGCTTCTGCAGGCAAACATCAACCCTGAGGAAGTCGGGCCCCTGCCGTGGCTGGGTCCGCACGCTTACAGAAATTCGAAAGCTGCTGCCGAACCAGCTGGATCGGCAGCGGGTAAGAGACGAAAGACTGCTTCGGAGGTTCGCAGCAGCAGGGCCAGCGGCGGGGAAAAGGACAGTTGCGACGGCAAAGGAACCGAAGGGGATGGTGGACTGACCATGACCGAAGTCACTCGTCTGAAAGTGGCAGAACTGAGAGAACTCATCAAGGCCCTTGGTGGGACCGCAGGAACCCGGTCAACGAAGGCCCAGCTGCTTGAACAGCTGGAGCCCCTTCTTCAGCAGAGCTTGTCCAGAGAGGACACGTCGGATGTCAAAGGAGAAAGCGATTTGAACGGAACAAAAAAAGAGACAAGTATCCAGCCAACTAGCTTGCGTGGGCATCATGAATCGATTGGTGGGGACCGGAGGGACTCTGAGCAGCAGCAGCAGCAGCAAGGGCCTGCCGCGAAGGCGACCAAAAGCAGCAAGCCAAAATCTGGCAGAAAAGGAAGCTGCGTGGACACTCCACAGCAGGAGCCGTCTGATGAAGACAAGGAAGATGAGCAGCATCCCACGCGCTTATCAAGCAGTGATAACGCCGGCAACGGCGAAACAGAGTCACCCGGCGAGCAGGCACAAGTCCAGCCAAAAACAGGAGAGCTACGACGGGCGAATTCATCCGTAATGCATGAACCAGAAGAGTCCAGTGGCGATGATCAGGCGCATCAAGGCACAAAAGTTCCAGTGAGCAATGGGGGAGGCCATAGCAGCAGCAGGAAGAGCAAGCCACATTTCAAGTACGTCAAACCAGTAAAGCCACAGCAACAACGGCGCGTAGCGGACTCGTCGGAGGAGGACAGGCATCATCCTGCATCCAAAAAGAAGAATCCCCCGAAAGCGAATAAAAACAAGGCTACGGAGGTAAAGAAAAGAAGCATGAACAGCGCCAAGACTGGCAGCAAGACCATCCGCGAAGATGGCTCCCGACCGAAGAAACCTCCAAAAAAAGCGTTGCGAAAACACCCTAGGAGCCGGCGACCAGCAGGCCGAAAGGATGACAGCAGCGAAAGCGATTGGGAGAGCAGCAGCACGGAATATGAGCCCTCGGCTTCTTCATCAGAAGACGGTTCCTCAGAGTCATTCGTTGCAACGTCTTCGGATGAGGGGCTCACTGATTCAGATTCCGACGCATCGTCCGTCATTCCCATCCTCTCCGCTGACAGCACGAGAGGACGTGACAGGACAGGCCGTAGTCCCAGCAGCAGTAGCAAGGAACGGCCGAAGAGGTCAGCTCTCACCCCTGTAGATGAGCTGTTGTGGGGCAAGGCATTGGGCGACACGGAATCGGAAGACGGAGAGGAAGGTGGGCATGTAAAAGAAAGACTGGAGGAGGATCCCGAGCTTGTAGAGTCCCTTCGGCAGTCTCCTCTTCACGGGGTTGTCTGGCAGAGAATCGTGTTGGACGAAGCTCACCGGATCAAGTCGAGGAACAGCAGCACGGCTCAAGCCATATTTGCCCTGCGCAGCGCCACCATCAAGGTTCCAGGATGCCAGGAGCAGCTACAGCAACAGCGAGAACAGGTACTGCAAAAGCAGATAGACGAGCAAGATACAAAGGGTTCTTGTGAAGACAGTGCTGCGGCGCAGCAGGCTGTCACAGAAGGCGAAGACGAGGAAGTCAAAGCCAACCACACGAGTCGCAAGGTGGAAAATGAGCGTCACAAGGTGGATCAGTTCCAGCGGCAGAATATGCAACAGCAGCAGCGGTCTTGGAAGGAAAAACCAGATGGGAGTGCGGAAATCGAGGAGCAGGAAGACACTGCCAAAGCTGCCGGGTCTTCCAAACGTGTGGGAAATACACGCCGCGAGAGTTGCAGTGGGGCCAATAGCTGCTGCGGCAACGGCAACGAAACGGGGAGTGTGGCGCTAGCCTGTGGTGGTGAAGAGAAAGAACCGGACTACCGGATTGTTGTGGGAGGCTGCAGGTGGTGTTTGACAGGTACACCGCTTCAAAACCGAATTGGCGAGTTGTACAGTCTTGTACGTTTCTTGCGGTTTTACCCTTACGCATATTACTTCTGTTCGAAGAAGGGCTGCACCTGCAGGTCGATGCACTACCGTTTCCAAGATGGGAAGTAAGGAGGCTCTACATGCTAGCGGACGCACGAACTGCAGTCGACAGTGCTTTTGTACTGCTTTAGATAAAGACATGCGGAGGACACTACGAAAAAGGATGGGGGATCTTGGTGTTATCGGTTGACAGAGGAAGAGCCACTGGCACCAATCAAGTTTTCATGCTTGCTTTCTCGGGGGATGCTGCTGTTGCTGCTGGCAGGTATTGCGACAAGTGTTCCCATACGCGGATGACACACTATTCATTCTTCTGCCGCCGCGTTGTAAAGCCAATAAAAGAGTTCGGTTACCAAGGGGAGGGGATTGTGGCCCTTGAGACCTTGAAAAAGGAGGTAAGTTCTCCTCAGTAAGCCTGTTGTCTACTCCCGCTCTCAAGCTACTTGCACCCACGCCACCAGATGCAAGTGTGGTGCATAGCATCACTACGCATGGCGACGCTACGCCTGTGTTTCCGTTGTGCAGGTGCTGGATGTTTGTTTGCTCCGGCGCACAAAGGTAGAGAGGGCAGCTGACGTCAAGCTCCCTCCTCTTGTTGTGTCCATTAGGAGAGACGCGTTGAGCCCACAGGAAAGAGACTTCTATGAATCACTTTTCAAGCAAACGGCCACGCAATTCGTATGGATTAAGCCCCCGCAGCTTTTGCTTCATCTGGCGCTGCAAAATCGCTGCTCTTGCTATTCAGAATAGTGGTGCTGGTGCTCCTTCGCGTGTTGTGCCTTCTGCCCCTATGCCACTCCCGAAGAGAAACAGCATGAAAACGTGTTTTTTTGGGAGGGACTTTTGTTGAACAGGTTTGATGCTTCCATCATCTGCTTGCCAGTGCAGGCATGCTTCTCGTAGTTCAAAGCATTATTTTCGTCACATTTCTCTCCCCCTTTCCGCTGTTGGCTGCAGGACTCATATGTTAAAAGTGGCACAGTTCTCCACAACTTCGCGCACATTTTTGACTTGTTGTCGCGGCTTCGCCAAGCTGTGGACCACCCCTATCTTCTCATTCACGGGTCTCTTCAGTCCAAAGAAGGTTGTGTGCCCTTACCCACTGACTCACGGAACGCACAGCAAACTGGTGTCTGCACCATTTGCCAGGAAGATATGGATGCCATGGTGCGTGGATGCTGCTGCTGCGGCGGCTGCAGTACTTGCCATGCCTGTCTCACCTTGTGATAGGCACGTTGCGACTTCGCCCAGCTTGACATGTGGTTATTGCCGTTTTGCTGTGCCCTGTTTTTTTCTAATCGTATGCATGCTACCTTCACATGACGGTAGATCTTACTGCTGAAGGAAACGTCCGTGACTACGGTGCCTTACCCACGGGTGGCTCTCTCAGCGTAGGAGGGTCACTGAAGAACTCTATCGTGCTTTCTTTGTTTTTCTTTTGCGAACAGGACATGGCCCAGGCGAAATGCGGTCATGCATTCCACCGCCTCTGCGTTCAAGAGTACATTGAGTCTGCTCCAGTTGCAGCAGAAGCTGATCAGCAGCCCGCCCGCCCAGCGGCACTAGGCTGCCCGGCTTGCTTTGTTCCCCTTACAATAGACTTGTCGAAGCAAAGCGGAGGCGATTCTTTGGAAGACAACCCAGAAGGAAGTACATCCAATGCCAAGGTGGGAAGGGGCAAGAAAAGAAAGCAGCAGCATGACGAGCAAGGCGAGGGACTGTATGGAAATGAACAGGATGCGGATGAGGTGGACACCGTTGCCGAGGTACCGAACAGATACCGGTTTATTGCTGCATTTGTATCATGCTAAATATGTGGCTCTGTTAGATCCTGCCGTCTCTTCCGTTTGAGTCACGAACGAATCTGTCTCCTGGTGCCATTACCTCATCCGTCAGGCTGCTTGCTCTAGACGTTTGCGGGGCCATGGCGAAACCGTCGGGGCATTAAGGATTATTGACTCTGTTATGCAGGATGACGCAGAAGCACTAGCCTCTGATGGTGCCGGACTGGCTACCAACTCGGCCACGTCGAGGAAAGCCACAGGGAGGCGGGGAGGGATAATGAGGAAAATTAGCGCTAGCAACTTCACAAGCAGCACTAAGATTGAGGCTCTCGTGCAGGTGCGGCATATCAGTCTTCTGCCTTTTGTACAGGCTCTGAATGGTTCCATTTTTACAAGTGGTCTTTTCAGCGCCAGTCGCACTCGCTCGAAACCTCCAAGGAGCGTGCGCATCAGTGTACGAGAAGCAGCGTTCAAGTACTGTTTGGCCTCCGCAGGAACTGAACATGGAGTCAGAGCAAGACCCACAAGTTAAGAGCATCGTGTTTTCGCAGTTTTGTGCTATGTTGGATCTCATTGAGTTCCGACTAAAGAGAGAAGGGATACACTGCGCCCAACTTACAGGATCGATGACCGCCGTTGCGAGGTAAATGTTCTTACTGTTTTCTGCATTCCTTGGTTGTTTTTTGCACTACATACGCGTTACATCTTTCTACCCTTTCCTCCCGCCAAATGCTCCCGTTGTTTAATTCTTTTTCTTTTCCCCGCATCGCATCATGGCGAATTCATGAGAGGGTTGCTGATGTTTGCGTGCACGTGAGTTCGCAGGAGCAACGTGCTGTATGCATTCAACAACGATCCGAATTTGCGGGTGATCCTCATAAGCTTAAAGGCTGGCGGTGAGGGGCTGAACCTGCAGGTTGCCAGTAGAATATATCTTATGGATCCTTGGTGGAACCCTGCAGCTGAAATGCAAGCCATTCAGAGGGCACACAGAATAGGTCAGACAAAGCCGGTAAAAGGCGTGAGATTTATATGCAGTGACACAATTGAGGAGAGGATACTTCAGCTACAAGAAAAGAAACAATTAGTGTTCGACGGCACCGTAGGGGCGTCGAATCAAGCGATGCACAAGCTGACGCAGGAGGACCTCCGTTTCCTCTTCCAGTCATAGGAAGGAGTCTTAATGCGCGAATGGTGCAGAGCACCATATCAGGCAACGTCGCGGGCTTTTTTTCATCACTTCGTTGGCGTGTGGGTACTTTTCTGCATGTATGTCTGTGGGAGCTCTGTTCTAGCATTTTTTCACACTGAAGTTAGATGCATGCAATTATATTGAGTAATTTGGTTTTTTTCTGCACTTGGCGGCATTGTAACTTCCGCCGCGACCCAGATAATGAGGATGCGGCGATATTAGAGATTTGCGGACTGGGGGGAAGATTTGACTTAGCAGCAGTCGTGGCCCGTTTTGGTCCCGGGGAGAGCTTCGATGAGAGGCATCCAGGAGGAATGGCAAGGAGGCATTCTACGGACAGAGGCAGAGGTGGCGATACACCAAGACCGGCGTTTTATCAGCACAGCGCCAGCGCTGTGCTGCTTTTCGCCTCCCATTGCGAACGCAGAACGATACGCTCATTCGTTGTCTTAATTTCGCAGGAAGTGATGCAACCCTCGGCTTGCCGCTCTCTAGACCCGCCAGCCCCTTTACCCTGTGCTTCGAAGCACGCGTGATGCTAGTTATGTGAAAAGCAGCTGGCATCGTCCCCTATTTCCCAGCACAACAGGCACAGCACATGTTACGACAGTACTGCAGCTCAGAACGACCCTAGCCTCTTCTAAGGTGTTGCACACAGCGTTGGCTTCGCAACTACATGGCCAAGAATTTGTTAATTCCACCACAAAAGTGAAGATGCTGAGACGGAAAAGGCAACGACAGCTTTCCACTACCAACATAGTTCCGCACGCTACCTGCGAACTTCCCAGCCGGACAGGGGCTCAAGTGTAGGGAACCCCAGTCGCTAGACAACCATCTGTTTATATCTAAAACAAAGTGCCTCATTGACACGATTTCCAATCAAGCCTGTTATTTTCTAAGTACCCCCGGCCCCCCGCCGCCTCCCTCCTTGTAACGAGATAACTGCAATACAATCCGAACCGACGACCGACAACAAGGGGTGTGGCACATTGCCTTCGGCGCACATGCAGCTCTAGGTTTCTGCAGGAGTTCATACAATGACGGCATATTGTGCTATAAAAACGTAAATACAATGTTAAAGACGGCCACTCCACCAACAGTTGGCTGCAGCGCTTCTAGACAGGGAAGGCTCTTGGGCAACAGTTCCCGTCGCATGCGCCTTGCGTTTGTGTCGAGCTTGCATGGAGTGGTGAACAGCGTTCCTTCTTCGGCTCCACTTTTAATGAATATTCTAATAATCTTTATCAGTATTAATATTGCAGGTTGTCACTGAGGTCGTCACAACTCTTCCTGAATGCTGTGACTGCGCACTTGGCTGCCCAATCCAACCTTGCTGATCTTCAGCATCCCTGCTGTCTTTTGGCGCCAACACAGCATATGAAAATGAGTAACACATCTCCCCAGGCAACGGGGACAGCTGCATCGCCATCAGGAACATCTTCTGGAAGTGGAGGCGCGAACGTGTCAGAACAGGAGGCGGCGAGTTCTACGCAGGGGAAACCTGCACAGGGACCACAGAATGGTGCTCCAGCCAATCCAGTTCCTCCAGCATCAGCTGCATCTGTATCTTCGTCTGCAGGCAGCGGCTCAATTGCACGTAAGCGTTTGGCACAAGAGAGGGCAGCTTGGCGGAGAGACCATCCAGCAGGCTTCTCCGCAAAGTATGCGCCCATGGCTGATGGGTCTGTCGGGCAAGATATTATGAAGTGGATATGCAAAGTCCCAGGGAAGAAGGTCAGTCGCTGAAAAGCTGGTAGTTGTGAAATACAGTTAGGGGCCTTGTTCAGCGAGGGCGGTGATGCTCATAGAACAACAGTTGCGAAGCCGCCAATCGTGAGAGGGCTTCAGGGCTGTAAAAGGGTCGCTGTTCTTGAATGGCCCTACATATGAGCAACATCCGGACGGCGAATGTCGTCCTTTCACTGCTTTGTGCCATTTACTTTTGGTTTCGGCAATCGATCTCTGTCATGCGACTGCAGGGCAGTCTGTGGGAAGGTGGAGAATACTGTCTTACAATGGAATTTCCCGAAGAATATCCTAGCAAGCCTCCAAAGTGCAAGTTTACGCCAGTCCTATTTCACCCAAATGTTTATCCCTCAGGAACCGTTTGCCTGTCGATTCTAAACGAAGATGAAGACTGGAAGCCATCGATCACGATCAAACAGATCCTGCTTGGCATCCAGGTAATTCATTTCCCTTTTCCTTCTAATTCTGTTTTCCGCGAGCCATCAGCGTTCAGTGGAGTGATGCCATTCTAGGCTCTAGTAACTCTCCTCACGTGCATTGTGTGGAGCGGAGCGTGGCATTCTCAGGATCTGCTGGACAATCCCAATCCGCAATCACCTGCGCAAGCCGAACCGTACATGCTATACTGCCAAAATCGGGATGAGTACAACAGGAGGGTGAAAAGCCAGGCAATACAGATGAGGCCTAAGGACTAAGTAGATAGTTAATTCTTGGGTAGAGAGTCGACGGATCGGTCATGTTTGCCTGGGAAGTGAGGCCAGTTGATGGAATGGTAACCCCGCGCGGCCATGCTACAGTGGTCTGAAGGCTGTTCTTCCCTGTATGAACCTATGACCGAGGAGACGCCTCCCTGACATGAATCTAACGCGCCGACTGCAACGCGGCTTTCGCATTTCAGTAGCAATTAGCATCTTCGGTCACGAAACGAGGGGGATTTGTATATCGGAAATTAACCAAGATATTAATCCTCCGGGGAGTCGTGCTCTTTGGCAGCGTCTGTGGGGAAGATATTTAATTCGAGGAGTTGAGGAGGCAGGCAGGGGCCGTTTCCGCTATTTCTTCACTTACCGGAGCTGGCCACGTTTAAGTACATTCACTTTATATGCTCTATTTAGGCTTAGGCATAGTACGTGGAAACGAGAAGTTCTGCGATTCCACCAATTGACATTTTGGGTGCGGGAGTGTGGCAGCCAATCCAGCATTCGCGCTGACTTCGCTGGATGTGCACGTGAGGATAACAGAAGCAGCGTAGGCGAGCCTGGGTGGATTAGCTGCAGCACAGAGAATGCGGGTAGGAGACGAGAACCACCAATGCAGAGAAGCCGTCTGAACAGAAGGACGATTGAATTTGGTGGGCAGACCACTCAGTGGGATTGCCACACAGAATTTTGTGAAACGTGGATGACTGTCATGCTGCATGTAAACGGCAGGAGTTTCAGAAGAACTAGGAAGTGTGAGAACGGCTCGAATAGTATGCATGAAAGGTCCTTGTGAGTGAGTAGACCACTGCAAATATAATTTTCCTGGCAAATAGCAAACCGCTGCAAGTTTCTCTGAGCTGAGCCTTGTCTGAGTCGGACTCCTAGCGCAGCAGCAACAGAAACGGATATTACCTGTACTTCGTCCCTGGCATACTTCACATAATGGTGGTTTTACAGAATCAGCGGTGCTTCCTGTATGCATCTGTGGGGCACGACAAGAGCTAGCGTAAAAAATGCGTAGCACTTGCATTAGACATTTGGAGGAATGATGAGATTTGCTTCGCGGCGGGGGTTCAAGATTACTAACAAGACCGCTATGATTAGCCCGCCGCAGAAATGCGTTGTTGTATGTCGTTACGCACGTTGCACCTAGTGGCGCACAAGCTGCAGCCGCATGCTCCTTCCGAGCGCTGAGCCTGTGACATGGGCAGCAAGAGAAGTCTACACGGCTGTCGGGATTTCCTAATACAACTCACGAGAAACTGGGCAAGCTGCAGTCTTGCGATCCGCAGGTAGAATGAAAGGGCAGATGGGCGCGGTTTTAGCCACGCGAAGCCTTACACCCAGTGCAAACAATGAATGCTAGGTACTTAGCCTTTTCCTGACTCATTGCGAACATCGTAGACTGCATATGTAAGGTAGTCTCGGCATCGCGCAGGAATGGCGCCTCCTGACCTCTTAAATGAGCATCAAAGACGTAAATCCACTTCAGCCACCACAGTGGCTAGCCCGTTATGAAGAGGAAGCGCCATCAGCACGAAATGACGTGCATTTTCACCCATTTAAGCCGTCAGGTGTAGTAAGCTTTACGTATTCGAGTGTAGACCTTTGCCAGCCAGTGGGCGTAGAACAAGCTAAAAACAAAGGTTTCGCTCTCCTTGAGGAGCTGTCTTGCGTTTTCCATCTAACGCATGATTCCTGGGAAGGCCATGATTGAGGAGGAGCACCAGCTTAGTACCTTGCCTATAGTCAATACGCAGGAGTTAATCTTCGGTAGTTTCTTCACATGCGCAACGGCAGAGGCCCAAGCTAGGGTAATGACCTCTCCTGCAGCCCGGCAGGTACATTTGCACTGTATAATATCCGTTTTGCCAGATTCGCTGGCATGCCTGGAATTCCTTAAACGCCAAATCTAGTCGCAATAGTTGATCCATGGCTCACAAAGAACGCCTTTGTGTCCTTTTGGACAGAGGTCTAAATTCGAGTTGTTGCTCCGTTCATAAAGTTCCTGCTAATTTTCCTTCACGCATGTGGTACTTACGCTGATACTGATTATACGGAAAAGCCGCACGGGTGAATCTCTCCTGCGTACCGCGGACATGACAAAATAAGCGCAGCATCCGACGGTCGTTTCATCCTACTTAACGTTGGTTCACTAGAGCGACTTTCGGGATGAGTCAGCTTACAGCGAGAATCCTTGCGACTGGCGGGGGTTACGGTCGCACCAAAGAGAAGTTGGTGACTTTTGGCTCCATATGACCTGAGTATCAAGCAATGTGCTATCACATGAATCCCACTGAGTTTGCATTTTGGCAAGGGCCGCTACCATGAGATCGCATAGACACAGAAGGCACCAGCCTATGGTTGCTGTGACCGTTGCTGACGCTGTTCATGTGAAACTTGCTCTTGGCTACTTCTAGGGTTTTGGTTGAGACGAAGTGAGGTGAAGGCGACATACACTTTTGGCAATTACTCAGTGGAACGAAATAGCAACAAAAGGTTAAGAGGGGGAATATGGCTGTTGCCTCGCCATTCGCGACTCGGCCGACCAAAATCCCATGACGACGTAGAACCGAGTCACAGGCAAGAGTACAAGACGACAAAACCCAAAAACTGCGGGCCTCGAGAAGCTGAAACTGGAGACACCTCAGAAACTCTTGAAACTGCAGTCGGCAGGCACGTCGGCGGCGCTGTTAGGGGGGCGGCTTGGGAAACGTTGAAACTCAAGGAATAGTGGAGCAGGGATTTCGACAAATTGTGCTCATAACCCTAAAATGAGCTTATTTTCAGTGAAAGCTGTTTGCTGCGGCAAATCTTGTACTCAAGCAGTATTGTGGAACTGGAGATCTACAGCAGCGTCACCGCCACAGCATTCAATATTGGGAAGGCACACAGCGAGAAAAGCACATGCGTTTTTAATAAGAGTCAGACATCTGCCAATCCATGTAACCAGAATTCATCCATAATGTAGTGGGTCTTTTATATTTCAACGCAACGTTCAGTCTATTCGTGCAGGTATGCCTGCTGAATCCTGCACGGATTGCTGGTGTTACTCTAGCCGTCCGCCTTGCAATCGCCACGCATTGTTGCAGCACACTTTTAAAGTGATATGCTTCATATTGTAATTGCTTATTTCAGCGTCTTTTTATCAAAGCAAACTAGCCGCACTGTCATTACCCTTGGCCCCAGTGGCCCTACTCACCAGCGTGGTGGTTGGTTAGCTGCACCGATTCATGCTCATCCCACACCATTGCTCGGGAACATTTTCAGTGCCTACCTATAATTGTAGCCATATGCGTGTTCACAAATGAGACAACTGGAGCAGTTCTTCCGGAGAATACAGTTCATGGCGCCCGGTCCCAGCAAGAGGCCTTCCAGGGATAGGCAGTGTGGGGCAGCGAAAACTTAAACATACTCGTTGACTGTTCAGTCCCCCCCATTATGAATAGTTTATACGTTCTTAACTGTTGAGAGGCACCACTTTGGAGGTAACTTTCTAGCAATGCTCCCTCTTACGCTGCTTCTCCCTTGCGTTGACTCTGCTTGCAAACGCTCATTCGCACTATCCAGGCGGACGCCTTTTAAGAATGATTACCGCGGAATTCCCTGCGCATGATTTGGAGGTAATAGTGTTTTTTTCAACGTAAAAGAATTCCTGTTTCGCGAGACTTAAGTGGAAATATAGCAGACCCATCCGTCGTGCCCAAGCTTCTTCTTCTCGTTCTCTTCTGCTTGACCAACGGCAAGTTCACAGCGTCTCCTACACCGCATGGGATATATTAAACTTTAGAATGAAATTTGAAGGGTCCAAGGAAGTGACACCAGGCCGGAGCTGTGGTGACGATTTTGCAGACAGGGGGAAAGCCCCTGACCAAGTTTACCTTCACCTCAAGGCGGAAGTAAGAATATTATGAATCCTGACTGGCTTTCCTTTCTCCTCTTATTTTTGTATAGAACCAAATGCAGATAACTGCGTGTAGTCCTGGTCGACTGAGGGTCTCTAGGGGAAACACTCTCGCGAAGCCTACAGCCACTCTGTTGGGTTGGTATCATCGCTTGTTGCCATCCGCTTTAGTGCGCTCGCTGCGCATCCATAAACGCCCTGCTGATGCACCTGAGTCTCGTGGAGATTTGGCAGGAAGTACAGGTGAGAGGCGAAGTCTGGTAGTGGTCGAGACGGTGTTAACCAGCCAATGGGAAAAGGCTTGCCTTATCTAGAGTACTAAGAGTTCTGGCATGGGTCAGGAACGTGCAACAGATACAACTGTGTGGATGCAGACGGAAGCGGCAAGAGTGAGGATACAAGAAAGCCTGAAATTCCGCCCATGTCTGTACCTTCGTCCGCTCAAGGTAAGCGTCTCTTTTCGTCTTTGTTCCACGAGGTGAAAGGGAAAGTATGCTTATCAGTTACGGCGGACCATTGCCTGTGTCTCTACCATATTCCCTGTTTGCTACTCCAGGAGCTCTAGAGGTCTAAACTTCTGCTGCGTGGTGTGTTGTAGATTTGTGCTTGTAGTGTCCTCATCAACAGGCGTACACACATTTTTCTATTCATACAGCCATGCCAGAGCCGCTACGCCGAAACACGAAGTTTTACATGAAATTGGTGCCCTGTGTGCACGCTATCCTATGAACAGACTCTTCTCCAGAAGCAGTCAATGATAAATCCGCAAGAGGGGGCGGAAGGGGAAGGTCGCTTTATGAGGAATGTTTGTCAGCATTTTGGAGGGCGATTTTTGAGCCCTATCTCACTCCTAACCCCCCTGAGGAGCGCGCTGACTTACATTGGCTGCTTGGGTGCTGGTGCTGCTGGGACACAGAATTACAGCTAGGGCCCAAGGAGCGCGAAGGAGACACTCTGGTGAGCGCGTACACTCCGCCCCTTCACGTGCCTTCAGAGAAGCCCTGTCTTGTAGATGACTTGTTAGTGAATAGGCAATCAGCTGGCGCGAAAGAGAGACCCACCGAGAGAACGAGTTATACAGAACTGGGGGACGCGACCAGAGGTTATCCCTCTGCGTCCTACTACCCTCCGGCAGCAGTTGAGAAGGTAATAACTGCGCCCCCAGCGACTTCTGATGCAGGAAGGGCAGCGACAGCGACAGTCAAAGGAACTTAACTTTGAACCTGCTGAATGGGCCTTCCCAACCAGTATCTGTGATTTGATGTTTAGCTCCTGTATTGCGCACCATTCGCCCTTGCACGAGCACGTGGAAGGATCAGCAGATTCACGTGAAGATGAAAACGCTGCAGCGGTAAATTCTCTGCAAAGAACTCTGTGGAGCGATACCAACTTACAGCTCGCCTGCGGCACCCGGTGCCGCAGCTTGAGGCGCGTAAAGGATGAGGGCCGTCAGGTGTGGATGGAGTATCAAGAAGTGACGCTACGAGATAACTCCAAACGGTTCCAGTGGGTAAGCAACTTGTCGTCCTTTTTGCCTTCTGCTGCCTTCTGAATGTCCAATTTCTGCGGTACGGAGAGGGAATTTGAATCCCCAGCCGCTTTTCCCCCCAGAAAATGGCATCTCCATTAACTGCTTTTACACAGTCAAGATGTCCACCGTTTGTTTGTAGACAGCTTGCCGTGATTCGCAACCTATCAGTCAACTTTATAAATTCCCTCTGTGCGTATCAGGTAGAGCTGGCGGACAACGCCAAGGCTGCCGTGCAGTGATGGGGAGATCCCCCGAAAAACGCGTGGCAAGCATTGCCAGCAGGCATTGAGTAAGAAGAGACGGCTGAAGAGGGCAAGCACGACCAAACTGTCTTTTAGCGCCACCTCGAGCTGTTCATCCCCTGGAGATGCATGTGCAAACAGCTCAACCAAGGCACGGGAACAACGGGATCGTCTGACAATCACTAGGTTCAATAGGCGGGCGGTACGCTGACTGCCTCTATAAAGGCCCACAACAAACATCTGAAACGCATGGGGTTAATTGTCTACTTGTTCATGTATCGTCCCTCATTGACGACCACTGCAATACTTCCGAAATCGCCTTCTTGGATAAAGTGGGCCCCTGGCTACTTCGTGGGCAAAAAACTCCACAAGGGAAACTGTGCGCAGCACACAGCTGTCTACAGCAAAGCAACGGGAGTCACACAGTATTACTTGCTCACGTGAAACTCGGTTGCTATGCTGTTATTATTGCAGCAGGCAGCCACACCTGACCAATGCTTGGAACTAGAAGCCACACAGGGGGCGGGGTAACAGCTAACAGCACCAGCTCTCACGTGCTTCGCCAAAAAATTTCGAGTTAACTTGAAGGTCCCAACTTCAGTTAGATAAAACTAAGGCTGCTGGGACAACGGTTGCCGAACGAAAATTACATATGTTAACAGAAATTGCATGCGTTAACGAGATTCGGCTTTCCTTAGCCTAGATAGCAAAACCAAATCAGAATATGCGGACATTTTCCCTTCCCTTGTAAGTTTCCCATCTACTACGCCTTGTCAGGGAAGTTGCACTGAGACTCCTCCAGAAGAGTCTTCAGTCGAGAAATCACTGGCCTGATGCGCGCATACACAGCAGTGTCAAAGCAAGCCGGCGATGTGCTGGTGCGCCTACTGGTGGCTGAAATCTTTGACGCATGTGAAGAGGAACTGCGGATGCACCAGAATTGTGTTTTTTCAGCACAGATCAGGAGGAAGTCATCCACTTACAGGATAACCTCCTGGATACTGGCGAGACACTCCTCTGCTTGGGACATCTCAAAGCCCAGGCGGCTGTTCACAAGCAAAAGAAAAGGACAGATCACCACAACAATCGGTGAAATCTCTTAATCTTTCTACCACACTGTGTGGGTTCCGCATGTATCTAGTCGGACTGAAATCAAGAAGGTGGAGCCAAGCTCCCCATCTTGCAATGTGGTAAATGGGGAAAAAGATGACTTGTAAAGAAGCACCTAACAAATTCTTCCTTCGACGGGGCGAGGCTGAAGGCTAGAGAGACGACATTCGACACCAAAAAGCCTGCGTTCAGAAATTTAAAATGGCCTTTTGAGGATTTTTGTCACCCTGGAACACAAGTTCAGCCCCTATGGCGCGGTTCAGCAACACCCCGAAATTCAACCTTAAACGGAGTGCGAACATTCGTAGGGTTAGCGATTTGCCTGCTTCTGCTTACTGTGGTAAGGCTTTAGAATGCGATCATAAGCATCCAGTGCGCATTCTTTGGCAGTAGCAGTCTTCATGGTCCCGAACATGTTGCAAATGAGAGTGAAGACAAAGTCTAGCGCTCGTTGCATCCACAGCATTCCCCGTACGCCGCTCTTCTGGTCCTTGCGCATTCGAGGAATTCCAAGCTGACATATCTCCCATTTGATCAATTCGTCAGCAGTCACTGGGCCCCCGCCTCGACTCTCACTCAGCGCCTTTGCTGCTTCTCGCATTCGGCCAGAAGAATTTGCGATATCTTGCTGCAGGGCACGCATGATACGAGGAATAAAGAAATATCGTCGTCAAAGCCACATGCTGCTATCCGCCAACACACTGCATCGCCTTTTCTCTGGCTTGCAACGCCGCCTCTGCTGGATTGTCGTTCTCTGTAACACGGATTCGCATGTCCAATAGAGGCACTTGGGGGACCAAACAACTAGTTGTCTTTTAGACGACTATGCAGACAAACCACAGCGGATACTAAATTTACACCTTTTGGCTAGTCAGAAAGAAAAAATAGTTTTTCCTTCTTGAAATTCCAGTACCTTCAGATGCCGAGATATGAAACCCTTTCCAAAAACGAGTTCGTACACAACAGATATTTGCATCGCCGCATCGGCAAGTTTCTCTGCAGGGAACACTCAAAAAGCTCCACACTGAAGGATTAACAAACCTCGCTAGAGTGGACCTATTCTCTGATGCAAGTAGGCAACAACAGCAGAATTAGACTGCTGTATTAATGCAGAACCAAAAGCGTGTTGAGACGGCTGTTGTGAACAGAATTGCAGGTCGTTAGGTCCACCAAAAGAGCCGGCTAAATAAAGGAGTTCGCCTTGGATCTCGAAACATATCCCTTGACAATGTGAAGGCCGTGCAAGCTTTGGAGGTGACCCCAAAACCATTCCTAACTGAAATTTCCCGCTTCAGCCTTCACCAACTTACCGCAGTCCAATTTCCCCTCAGCATTTGACGCAGCGCGGAACTTCTCCAGGAGCGCATGATACAGAGCAAGGCCCTTCAAAGGTTCCTCCGGGACGTCCACCATTTCGGGTAAAGCAAAAAGGTGCTCTGAAAAACACCCGTTAATATGATATTTATATGTGGACAATCCTCAGTGCCCCCGTGGGGTTAGGGGGATATTAACACCGCTGTACTAACACCGAGTCTCCAATATTTTGGAACGGCGGCCCCCAGAGTTCCGTTGACTTCGTAAAGAGGAGGCAGGTGATAAAGAAAACTCTGAATTCGCTACTTTCCAACACGCGGAATCGAATGGCCTGCTGAAAGGAGTCATTTACATCGACTTGAAGTTAGCTGTGACTGCGTTTCACTGGTCCTCCCTCCCCAGCACTACTTCTGCGGTGCCAAGTGCTCTATGGCACCTGGAATGAGTCTTGACTGTATTCTGTCGTGCTCCCAAAAGCGAATCGAGACAGATTAAATACCTTGTGGTCTTAATTAGTCTTAGCCTGGATGCGGACATCCACTGAGACTGTTGGGGCTGGATGGGTGTCGCTGCCTGATGCGGGGGCTCGCGCAACGGGGAATGCCTTCGTGTACTATAGAGGCAGCTCTCAACACGAGTCCAAGTCACTTTAAAAGACCTATTTTTTTATTTTTAGAATCTGTTTTGGTGGCCCAGTGCGGTGCCGTGGTTTTTGCTGGATATCCAGGTGGGAGGCGTATCTGGCGGCGCCGGTAGGTAGGTGCTCAGTCACGGCGATATTGCTCAATTCATCGCACTGAGCACCTTCACAAACTTATGCGGAACCAGGGTGACGTCTCCTTACAAATCCAGGCTTGTCTTGGGAGTGGTCACGCCTGTTCATAGAGGAGCAGTGGAACAGCGAGCTAGCCAACGACCCCCAGACAAAACTGACTGCAGAGCTCGGCGCACACCACATATCTGAACCGCAGGGTGGACCTACTAAGGCAAGGTAAGTGAGAACGAATAACTCATGTTAAGAGGAGGCGAAAAGCTGCGCTCACTCCGCTTTCAGCAGAGAAACAAAATGCTCAGGCGTGCCCTACCGACCGCGCACAAGGGTGAGACGCTCTGGAAACAGATGCACGTGCTGCGTCACCAGTGGCCGCCGCGATCATGCTACCCTAGCGGAAGAGAGAAGTACCTTCTGCGGAAAATAAATACTGCAGAAGTGTCACCGCCGCGCTCAGGTGCACTTTGGCGATCCTCCTCCTATGCCAGAGCTCACGATGTGTTACCTTTAGCTAGTAGTGCCGCTCAAACCCGTCTGTAAACTGCTCCACAAGGGAAGCCACCGCAGGCTGGTGAAGAATGAACTGTTTGCGTTAACATCTGTCATGACATCCTGCTCGCAGTACAGGCTAGCTGTAGTTCTGTGTTCCCCCAGACGCCTATCTGGCGACACTCCGACTTCCCTGTGAAGAGTAGAGGGTAGAGTACACGAGATTACACTATTCCTCATCAGTGAAGTGATGGGTACTTATTGGCCGGCTGGCCAAACGACGGCATGGCGGTATCTTCTGCGAATACTTGCTGGCCTTGCGGCGTCTGTTTCGCTACCCTGTGACACGCGCGTCCTAGGTAGTGCGCGGAACCCTAAAGTAATCAGTACAATTACTCATCTGCGTTTTACCACTGCACAAACACTCCAACAAGTATGTGGGTGATTCGTTGTAAGGAATGACGAGAATGACTAGGTCTGTACACGGTCAGCGCTTCTCCACTACGGAAGCCACCTCTGCAAATGACGTCGACCCAAACACACCCGCCACACAGTGGGTGGCATTGAGACCGATTTGGCATCCCCGGTCTACAAGGACTCCAGGCGGAAAACAAACATTTAGCTCCTCTCGATGCATATGATGAGGATGAGGAGCCGCTGGAGCAGATGCAACTACAAGCGAGATGGAAAAGCGATTCAAGACCGAAGGCGCCGGCCGCTGACCTCCCATCAGTTAAAAAAGGTGGAGACCAACAGCCGACAGAAGATAAAGAAGACCCGCCTATGCGCCACCGGCAAAAGAGACTGAGAAAGGAAAGCAACTCTATTCTGGCTGAAATACCCATCAGCTCCCGCCGTACCCAGATGTTCCACATACAGTTCTGTATGTCTTACATTGGCCTGAATGCCCACAAACTGGGTCTTTGCCGCTTATACTTGGTCCGCCGTTTGCTGGGTCAAGTTGGGAAGAAACGCAACAAGTGCAGGACTGGCCCTTGTGGCAGCCGCAGCTGAAGTCCTCGTCGCATTCGCAGCCACTGACGATATTTTTCGGCTGGAGGGAGAAGCCGAGGTAGCGCCCAATTGTAAGGAAGCCTAGAGCCATACCTCCGAGCATTGAAAGGAAAATCCCCACGTTGAACGTCATAGCCACCAGCATCAGCATGTAATCCCAAGAGTAATTCAAGAAGGCGACAGATGCGCGTAGCGCGTTGTGGAAAACAGGCAGGGAGCCAAGCATCAGCGTCGGCTTGTGCTTCTTCTCCGCCATCTTCAGGCGCACTTCTGACACGCGGCGCAGTACCTTCAGTGCAATGGAAACGAACCCAAACGCAATGCAGCACAGGCAGCAAACGACGTACTGGGCGGTCGTCCGCGCGTTCCACCAAGAGAAGAGCAGCAGAACCTCCGACGAGGCTTCAAACCACATGGGTAGGGGAAGGCCACATTTGTTCAGCATGGTTGAACTTATTCTGACGCAGGAAGTCGGAATCGAGTAAACAACGGTGGTATGATTGACCCGCTCCCATTCAGTGGGGCGACTAGTCCGACTCAGTATACACTGCTAAATAATGAAGTTCAGGTAGAGATGTATTGCTTTTCAGCTTGTGCTTGGTGCATTATTTCCTTTTCCTAGGCATTTAGCGAGAAGACGAACTTGCACGTGCATGGAAGGAAGCTGACCCTATTCCTCGGTGGCGGTGGCTTGCCCTAGTTAAGGCTCATGCAACGGTTTAGAGAAGAGTGGCTCAAATATCAACCAGAAATACAAAAAAAATAATGCAGACTATTTACACTGCTCGTAAGCGGCTCTCTACACTGGAGAAATAGAATGGCCTTCATGCGTCTACGAAGTGGGGCTTGCCAACATCGAATGCGAGCAAATACAACGCAGTAACTTGCTTCACGCTTTTTGTCGAGAGTGAAGCACTTTTCACGTGTATTGGTTGTTTCTGTGCTCGTCTTACATTAGCCCGACCAAATGGGAGAAACGAAGCTGATAGGAGCCGCGTAGGCCAACATATGCAACGACACATACTCCCCTGCATTACATTTAGATAATGTTTGTACAAAATGGATAAAGAGCGAGCCGTATTTTCATCCCTGCATAGTGTGAAAGTCCGGCGGGGTCATGTAGTCTGCAGGTATTCAATTAATAGCAGCATAACGAGCTCTTCAGTCCCGAACGAAACAGTGAGACTTAGGAACTCTCTCAAGCTCGGTAAGCAGGGGCCTAACTGTGCAGCGCCTCCTTGATATCAACTAAATGCATGGAAAGCCTACAACGGACGGAACAGTTCGCGCACCTTCATGCATTTGCATGCCGCATGGCCTTTGTAAAGCCCATCCCTACCCATTATTTCAGTAGCTACTCACTAAAGCAACATTCTACGGACTACGAGACCTAACACTGGCACCAGACTAACTGTCAATTGTGCACATCGCCGCCCCTTGGAAAAAAACCTTGCACTTGAGCACCAGAATCCGCCTGGCCCACTGAATATTCACAGTGCTTCCCCCTGGTAGTTACCCTACAAAATCCGTTGCCAGACCTAGTTAAATGGCAGCACCACTTGACTTCAGACTAGATCCCATACAGACACTTAGTGGACTAGTCCAATCTATGCCTCTAGCAAACCCACTACTGATATCAAGTGACACAATGCTGCAATGAGCTGACAGGCGATAAGCTGACACCGCCAACGGCAACTGTGCAGAAAACTGAAGCCGAAATTGTGTCTTCCCACCTGCCTCTCTAGCCCTATGCGCGTTTCGCAATTGGCAGTCAAGCACAGAAAAACCTCGACCGTGCATTTGAGTAGCACTTTGGCTACGACTCTCGCGCGGATTACTCCGGCAAGAAGATATACGACGATGCATACAGCTAGGGAGAAGCAGGCGACCCCTTCTCTGAGGGGGCCTCTGTGGAGCTCAGTGGGGTGCTATATGCCCCCACCACCACCAATATAGTGTTCATTGAGACAGACCAGCTTCGTGCCTCGACGCCCACCCCGTCAACTATGCAAGTATATCACTCGACAGAGAGGGAGGTGGCTCATACAGTAGCCCATTTCTCGGGCACCACCAGGCGAGGGCATCATGTGCTGGGTGGCGGTTCACAACGTTCGCCATGAAGGCAGCATCGGAGCAGCAACACACGCTTTTGATCCTTGTGGTCTCTGGTGAAAGACGATTCGAAGTTTGCATACATCCTTCCATAGCTTTGTCAGAAAGACGAATCTTGTCTCCACATTTGCCATCAGATCAGCCTAAAGATCCCAAGGACAACGTCGACGCAACATTGGTCCTGCTGCTCTCGGACGACCCTCCCCCCTTGCCTTTTCTTCTTAGGGACAACAGACGACTCGAGTGCTGCACTATCCCTCCCCCCACGTGGGCCTCGTGCTTCTGATCGGCATATCCCCCACCTGAGCGAGAGAAGCGCTTTTTGGCGCTACCCGCTCCTCTCGACGGCCCTGGCCCATCCCCTGTAGAACCGGGGACTGCTGAAGCAGCTGCCTTCGGGAACCTGCCACGCCACTGCAGGAACGGCAGACCACGCGAATATGCAGGCTCGGAGCTGCGCGACAGCTGAGAATCTGCAGATGCACAGACCTTCTTCCTCCATCCACCAGACAGCCTACGGCTACCAGGTAACATCAAACATGAATTCAGGAAGCTGCGCAAACTGTAAGCCTCCTCGCGCTGCTTCAACTCCGCACGGGAAAGAGAAGACTCCAAACGCTCCGCATTGGTGGATGCGCCTTCACAAGAACCCGCGGCTTCCTCGATCTGCGCGAGCGAACCAACCTCAGGTCCTGCGTGAACGGTAAAACTGTTCTGGTCCTTCGGAAGCCTTAACACCACCCCATCTGCTGCGCCCCAAGAACCGGGTAGGCGCTGCAGCTGCAACGCATCTAAATCTTGAATGCGGCCAAAAATATCTACCAGGTTCTGCTCCCTTCCACCGTCATGCCGCCACCCTAAAACATCTAGCACAGCATCACGACCCGGACCCCCGACATTCGTGCCGGGACACGGAGCAACGCCGGTTACCTCCCCTGCGTTCGGTAGCCGCAGGAGCAAGGTCGTCGTCCCAGCATTGTAGGAGCAGCATACAGGGGAATATGTCACGTCTAGATTATCTTCCAACCACCGTAGGTTCTCCACAGGGGAGGGCGGGGCAGGCTCTGGGTATACCTGCATTCCTTCTAAAGCCTGTTTTCAGGCACCCCCGCATTCAATTGCACATCACTTCGGATGTGATATTCGGATTTATCTCCTTGAGCCAAAGCTGATTCATTCGCAGCCCTGCGGGTCGCGCGGATTATCGGAGAAAGCGCGTTGTCTGTTCTCCACTGCCCTCTAAAAAGAGCCTCCGCCGCAAAAAGGTCCCATGAAAATTGCAGAGACAAACTGAGGGCGAAGAGGCAACTGCTGGCGCGGGAGCAAACGACGTTCCCTATTTGGGAGGAGCCGCTTTGAGCGCATCGCGAGGACTGCGACGCAACTCTGCCCCGCACTGAGTGCCTCTCGCATAAGTTTCTGGTATCAAGCGAAACCAAAAACTTGAATTTACAAATTCCCTACCGAAACAAGGGCATAGAACGCTCAAAAGCGCAGGCGTGAGCCTACTCGGCAGCTACAGTGCGATGCGGGGTGCAACAACGGTAGCCGCGCCCACCAGCCATAGTAGTCACTATACGCAGCATACCTAGCCGGAGGACCCCAGCATATATATAGTCGTACGCTGCTCTAAGTCGTCATGGTTTCGTTTTACTTCATTGCTTTGCATCATTGAGTTCTCTTTGGAAACTTATTGTGACGATCATTCAATATCTAGCTCTTGCACTCTACCTTCATCAGGGACTGTGAAGCGCGCCTGGCTTCTGCTGGCACCCTCCACCTGTTGCCTAGGCACCCGGTGGGGAGTGTGCAGTTCATCGTGGTATTTTGGGTCCTGCATGCAGCATATTGCGCTTCTCGCGGCTTTTGTTATAGCGCTTCCGTTTTCTTCCACTGCAGGGGGTTGTAACTGCAGCGTCAGCGATCCCCACAGTATCTCAGCCGCTTTTCGTTTAGCTGCTGACGCTTGTCTTCACCCACCTTACCGCAAGTTGATAGTATAGCGCGTGAGTGGGTTCGGGCATATTTTTTGATTATTCGCTAAATAAAGATGAGTGAGGGACGGATGGAGTCAGAGGAGAGGGAACGCAGGGATGAGGAGGTGGGCGACAGAGATCGGAACAGAAAACAAGGCGGAAGCCGAGGCCCGTCGGAAGGTAACTCTGGTGGGCAGGAAGAGGAGCAGCGAGATCTCTCCCATGTCAGAAGAGCCAGCGCGAGCAGTAGCCGGGTGGACGAAGGCCTGCAGCAGAGCAACAGAGACCGCAACGATGCCGGGGATGAATGCAATGGCGGCGAAAGGAGGTTCGGCAGCCAACGTCGTAGCGGCAGCGGCGCTCGTCCACGGCAGCGAGGAGGTACGCAGCAGTGTCAACAGGTGCAGCAGCTAATCCTTTGTATTTAGACAGCAGTTTCCACCTCAGCGTACCAGTGCCGCAGTTAACTGCAGCCGCGCTTCCTGCAGCAGCGCCGGCAATGCAGACACTCCGCATTTCAGCCTCTGCAGCAAGGCATTGAGAGCCTGCCGGCAGCGACTTCTATGCACCTTTATCAAAAGTACGCCTCACGTGCGGCTTGTCTCGCGGTATCTCCTCAAGAGTGAGCCGACGTGCCCGACGGTAATGTGTCCATGGTTCCTGCCTCCGGCCTGCTCTTTTCTCTAAACTTCTGGAGTATTCTGAAATACGGGAGTTGGCTTGACGTGCTTGTTTGTTTAACAGGCGATACGGATACCCTATATATCAGCAACCTGCCCCTGCGCTGCGGAGCACTAGAACTTCGACGGATTTTCGAGGAGGTTGGAGAGGTCAAGGACTGCAGAATTGTCAACAATCCCGTCTCAAGGTGTGCCATTAGCACTGCGGTTTCCTAGCTTGTTTTGTTGGCCACGAATCATCATTCGCTTGGGTCCTGCTTGTCTAATGAAAGCAGCACTGAATATGTGAGTGCGGCAGGGAGTCTCGCGGCTTCGCATTCTTGTCATTCGTGGATCCCAGCCATGCTGCGGTGGCAATAGACCGATTCGACAACAAGATGATCTTTGGTGACGGTGCTAGGCCAGTTAGGGTAGAGCGGGCGAAGCGCAACAAGCCCCATAATCCAACTCCAGGCCTGTATAAGGGGCCGCCTGGTATGTTGGGAATGCAGAGTATTCAAGCTTAGTGAGGCCTTCGGTGCCTGTAGAGAGGCATCTGCTTTTTTTATGGAGCCAGAAGTGGTTGTGCTTTCCTTGCTGTGCTGGTGCAGGTGCCAGTATAAAGTATGACAAATCGGGGCGATTGAAGCCAGGGTTCTTGCCGTACTACGCTGTTGCTCCTGGTGCGTCCCGGGAGTTCATACCTCCCACTCCCTTCGGAATGGAATACGGCTCTGGTACGCGCAGCCATTCTGGTGGACGTTGGGAAGAACGTGATTGGGGCTCCAGAAGTGGCTACGATCCATCACGTTATTATGATCGTATGGACTACTCTGCGCACGCGAGACCACCAATGGACTTCAGAAGCGCGAATCCCGGCGAGTTTTCGTATGACATGCGAATGGACAGAGGGTACGATATGAGGGCTGGTCGAGGGGGGTATGATGCCCGTGGTGCTCCGCCGTATGACCGTGGAGCTCCCGTTTATGATGCTCGTGGCTATGACAGAACGGGGTATGATGGCAAGTGGCAGCAGTATGAAGATCCTAGGGGAGATGGAAGGTAAGGCTTGATTTTTGCTTGGAGCGAGGGTAGACGTTTGCGGTACCTATGCGGTGCCGCTGATGCTCAACGACCATTGCTCCTATTTGTTCTCCAGGTATGTTGGCTATTGTGACTACTACGGAGGGAACAGTGGCACCGGCGCCGCATATGATGTCAATCCCCGTGTAGACAGCCGCGAAGTCAAAGCCGTCGGAAGAGAACGGTCACGATCGTGAGTTCGAGAGGACAATTCACGCAGCATGTCGTTTCAAGGATGCTATATAGATGCAGTGTGCCCACGCGAAGACGAGTCCTCCCCCTTAAATGCGGAAGTTAGCAATTGTCTTTTCTGTTGATGGTTCAGGAGAGGGCGTCGTGAACGTCGTAGGTCTGCTTCACCGGAAGGTCGCCATCATCGCGCAGGCCGCAGATGATTTAGCACTGAATGACCTGTGTCAGATTGTGCAGTGCAGCGCGCGGGTATACCGAGAAGGTACTTCCGAATGGCAAGGTCATTGCTTGTCCTGCGCTGCACTTTGGGGATCAAGAAAATGGCAATATGAGCCATTCTGACGTTTTCAAATTCCGTGCATTAGCGGTGCTACGTTTCAAGTAGATATTGCTTCGTGGCGGTGCTTAAGATTTACTCAAACCTAGTCGAGGAGTGTCTAGGAATTGGAAACTGCTATGCAAACTGAACTGACAGGGTTTAGATAAGATTCTAAGCTTTTTGCTTCGTGATTGCAGTGAAAACAACAGTGAACTTAATGTTTTGCTTGTCTGAGTTCAACCAGCATTCGCACAGAATGCGTATCGACGTCTCAGTGCACTTCGGATCAGCGGAGGAGGTAGGAACCCTCGGATCCAGCCCAGTCTGGGTAATAGAATGCATTTGAGGGAGTTGCTAGCACAGTTGATATTTAGTAGAAAACTTACAGGAGGCGTTCATCCACCGGGGTCTTTGCTCCCACATGCTGTTGAGCCATGGGCATCAGTAGTAGTTAGGCACCGTAGTCTTGAACACTTCGCTTACCGATGCACCATCTCAAGCAGAGAGTGTATGATCTGCTTAATCGTGGGGATGACGTTCTCATACGCGCGCATCACGTAGTGATAACCGTTCCTGCTCCAGTCGGAGGCAAGATCCTTTGCCTGCGCGGGGCTGCATTGCTGACTGTTTTTTGTTTCGAATGGGAGGAGGGTTTTACTCTGGCGAGGAGCATCTCTCCCTGGTACTTCAGCTTGTCCAGCGAGTAGCCGGCGGCTTGAAGCTGTGATGAAGTTGGTGCCGGGTGTTTTGGGCAGGCATTTCGAGTCGATTAAACTTACGTTGCGGCCTATAACGTAAATGAGCGCTGCGGCTTCAGCAAGCATAATTGACAACGAGATGGCGAAGAACATCGGGGCGGACTCGGCACAGATCCCAACACCCATGCTCGCGAATCCGCGAGCAGACCTGTGGTGCAGGATAGACTAAAGAATTACAAGAAAGCTCTTTGTTACCCTTACCAGAAGAGTAGAAGTGCTGGGCATGCCACGAGCGCAACAGATGCCGCGGCGGATAGAACGCCCTGCAGAAGGATATATGAAGTTCATGGCTTTGGTTTGATAATGCTGTTTTGTTACTTCAGACATCAGTTCCCGCATAGATGTCTCCGCCTTGTATACTCTGAATCCAGCCTGGACGAAGATTGCAATAAGTAAAGAGTTTGAGGGTCGGGTGCAGTGTTCCGTCTTACTTGCATAGCTCTAGGATTCACACGGGTTGCGAAATGAGCAGCTGCGGCGAGAGATCCACACAAAATTGCATTCACGATGTGCCACTCTGACTGCAAAAGCCTTTTCAGCTTGTTGGAATTATCAGAGTGTGGATCTTGCTCACCAGGTCCATGTCGCACAAGCTGTTGGCAAACAGGAGGCCTGTGGCAAGGCTTACTGCTGCAACCACCGTGCAGACAGAAGTGGCCTTGTCAAAGCTCCTGGCGAAAGTCTCCTCTTGGCCGTACATTTTCTCGAAGTGGTGAAAATGAAAAAACGCGAGGGTACTGGGCCACGAAATCGAGAGTGGATGAGAAACTGTTGATGTGACTCTTTGAACGGTTTCTGGTCTGTACGATGATGTTTGCCCGATCACGATTGACCTTCGGATGTCCATACACTAGAACCGATTCGTTGATCGCTACAAAAGCTGCCTATTTTCTGATTACAGGCAATTTGCACTCACAGTGGTCTGTACTGAAAATTTTCGAAAAGGGCATCGACAACTCTGAAAATGTACGCCCAAGAAGAAGCCTTCAAGAAAAGCGCGGACTTCGCGCTTTCTACAAGCACTGTACTCAGTGGAGTATGCCTTGCATCAGGTATGCGCGTAGTTTCCGGCCTTTTGTGTGGCATTTGCACTAAGGTTTTCTTTCAGGGGTTTTACTTTCAAACACTGTTTGCGGCCCCGAGCTGGTAAGGTTAACAATATTGCCTACTGACAATCCATCTGCTTATCTAACTGCATTGACAGTCTGAGTGGAATATTGTCAATGGTGTCCTCTGCGGAGCGTTAGCGGCTTCCATTCACTTCGCTGTGAAGTCGTGCCCGAGGGTTCTTCAGGTTAGTGCATTTTTTTGCATCTAGGGCCGCAGGAGAAATATTGCCTCTGGTACAGAATGCGTTTCGCCTCTCCAAAAGACAAATATCTCCAAGCGAGCTGATGAGTGATGTAAGGACTTACACGACCTCTTTTCATTCAATTTGATTATTTCTAATCGCGTCCAGGGAATGCTTGTTGCAGCAGTATCTGTTGGCATCGTTGCGATACCCGCGATCCTGGTCCTTTGGTCAATCAGTGGACTCTTTAACATGACCATCGGCACCTGCGCCGAGTCAGCTCCCCTGTTCTACTGTGTAACTCTAGCAGCAATGCTGGCTCAGATTGCCGCAATCGTGAATGCAGCTAGAATCAATGTAAGTACATACTGGCATGTGAAGGGCGCTGACAACGGACCTCATCACTGTATACTCAGATGGAGGCAGCTGGATACAATGTCCGCAACATTGAATGCGCAGTTCATGAATGCGCCTCGAAGGTAAGGAATTTCGTACTTCTGGAGCAACCCAACGGTGATCAAACCAGCCTTTGCAGTCCAAGGAAGTGGCCATGCACTTCGGCCGCAATGCCCATGAGATGGCCATTCACGCTTCGGATCGGGCGATACCCCTTCTTCATGCCACAATGGAGAAAGGAAAACAGTATGTTGGCACATGCACTGTTCTTTCATGTGTTCTGTCGCTCAACGCCTGATTCAGCATGTTCGAGACGAGACCAAAATACATGACAGTGGAGTGTAAGTTACCTTGCTCTCTTTTTTTCGTTCGACCCTCTAAATAAATGTAATTTCAGACTGGACTGGGCCGGAGGGTCGCTCTCTGCTTCGTTATTGAACTTGGAATGCGGTCTGATCACCAACGAAAACGTCTGGTTTGCAATTATGCTGGCACAGCGGGCAAATCGCGATTTTGCACGCCGCAAAAGTCTGCACAACTGTTATGCCCAGTCTTTAAGTTGGAAATAAGTTTGTTTTGTTTTGGAGTTTGTTACTATCTCAAGAAGTGGCTTAGCATGCTCTCTAGGAACAGTCGTAGCACATGGTTGACCTTAGCAGTCAATGGCGTTATAGAAAGTGGAAACCTGAGTAAAAACGAGTGATCGTTACTGCTGTAATCAAGATAGTTGCATTTTTGATCTTTAAAGCTGAAACAATTCGTTCGCTTGTAGTTGCTCAACCCTAAGGTTGCGCTGCGCTGCCTTCGTAAACCTGCACACACGGATATGCTGGCTGTTGATCCTACCGGATGCACTTCCCAGGAAGAAAGATACGCATTATCCCCCCACGTCTTTGGCACAGTGCCAACAATTGACTAGTTTCTAGTGATAACCAAAATAAGCGGAGTGAAGCAGAAAAAATACGGACTAGTTACCTGCGCATGGGCCAGTGACCCTGCGGCGACAGAGGGCGCACCTTGCAAAACTGGGAATTTTGGTGAAATAAGGAACTTGCTGAAGTCTTCAGTATCCAAGCTATCTGTCCAAGTTTGTTCGCATATCTTGGAATCTGAAAATTTGGCACGCTGTTGGCTTGCTCTTACGGAAAGGAGCTGTCTCGCCAGGCAGGCTACACGAAAGCGTGAAAATAGGTCCTCTTCTTTGACATTAACTTTGCCGTACACAATTGTTCAAGGCACATCGTAAGTAACCAACACATAGGGTTTTGTGGGAAAGGAGAAGAATTAAGGCAGTATCCAAACTGACTGAGCAGAAATTGCTCCTTTGGTGAAAGAGTTGCCGAGACAACCACCTATTGTTGCTGCCCCGCTATGCTGAGCAAAAGGGCGTTGTATTCACCATTTAATGCTCTCCGTGGCAGAGAAGGCTTTTCAATCCCCTGGCAAAGCGTGACACCCTGAATAGAACCCCCGATTGGGAGTGCACACTGATATTTGACAATGGGCAGCAAAATGTAAAGGGCCATGTGAACTCATTCTGTTCATAGCGCCATCGTCCAAATGATACTGCCATCATCCTCGCCAGACTGCTCCTCTACGCTACCCTGCACTACAAGAAACCTCTCAGCATACTTAGATGTAGGTTGTTGCAAAGCCACGCATGAAGCAGAGGTGATTTCATCGAGACGCACCGTTCAAGTAACATTTTTCTTGCAGGAGGAAGTGACCAAGATGCACAACCGGCGCCAGGGGCACAAGCGTAGTGACGAACGAGGGTACAGTCGCTGCCCCTTCTTTATGGCAAAATTCCCTTATTGATTTCGTCGCTGAAGGTAACAACGGCTCGGCACTTTCAGCTTTCCTCCTGATCTTGATCTCATGCAGGTCCGATGGCTTTGCTGCTTGCGTGAGGCTCTATGAAGCTGGTGTAAGCAGAATGCGATATCGGGAAAGGAGTAGGTGCATTCTCCAACAACTTCAGCACCCTGATGGGCAAACCGAAAAGGTATGACCGGATTGGCTGTGCTGCGCCTCCAAGGTGTTCAGAATGCAGTATGCAGTTATTTCGTACTGAGATATTTGTGGAGCATATGCGGTGGACGTGCACTCTGTTACAGTTCACTCGGAAAGCTGAAATCAACCCACGTTCCATCTACGAACGGGTAGGCGTTTCAGTCGGTTTCGTCCTTCTGGCAGCAAGATAAACGTTGAATAATGAAGTCACAATGGCCTATACAAGCTTGGATAGGAGCTGCTGCTGAATGACTGTCGCTAAGCCTTTGTTCTAAGTTTGCGTCTCGGGTTGTTTTGCGCCAGGAGTTTGCCCGATGCCAAAGAAAAATCGAGAAGAGACAACAAAAGCAGCAAGAGGTGCGACAACGACTACTTCTATAGTTGTACAGAATGAACAAATGTCTCCGCTCGTTCCGCGTTTACGTTTTCATTCATGAAGTAGTGAACGGCGTTGTGCAGAGGCTTGTTGAGGAACTCAAGTGCTGCACATTCCACCCCATGATTTCAACACGCTCGAGGTACCTTGCTGAATCGCGAAGCAGAAGGAAATGCATGGAAAGCAAAGAATTAGAGGAGCATTCTAAAAAGGATTTAGGAAAAGGTAGGAACGCCTCAATAACAAAGTGCAGCTGCGCCTGAGGCAGTCTGGCACACATTGGTTACTTTGGTTTTCAGCGAATCACGAAGGCAAACTACCACAAACTCATGGGGCAAATTGTCAATCCCGTGCCACCTTTTATCTTGATTATCTGCAATTGAACTAGCATTCTTTTCTCCTTGTCCAACAGAGTCTGCTGAAGTGGTGAAAAAGCCTAGAAACCATTTCAACAACTCCCAGCGCGTGTATCCTTGCTTCCAGAAACGGTAAGGAGGCCCTTGAGCCCAAATGCACCTAAATCGTTGAATGCAGTGTTACTGCATCAGCAGTGCAAACTAACGCGAACTCGTACTGAGAGATCTCTCTAGTAAATGCTGTTTGGTTACGTGAAGTGAGTCTCGTTGAAGTGTGCGACTCTTCTCACCCTCTTCCCTTCTCGCCTTTCCGTTCATGGAAAGACAGCGGAACACCTCAGAGAGACTCGCTGGTAGAACCAGAACCAGAACAGCACTAACCAGGGATCCGCCTCAATCAGAGTTCGCTGTTGGGATTAATTTCGCAAAATGGCGTTTACCGCGTTCTATCCTGCGTGGAAAAGTCCTTACGGCTGATAATGGGGGTACTTTTCGTTGTTCAGACTCGAGTTTTACATTCTGTCTCGGGCACTCCGGCGCCAGCTACTGCAGGAGAAAAGAGTGAGTTGTCTGTGAGCAACTCTCTTCTGCTGCTAGTGAACAGCGGCAGCATGGTAGAAAGTGCAAGACGGTTCCTTGTGCAACATTGGGCGGCTGTGTTGTGCGAAGTCTGTTACAGAACCTTGAGGAAACCTTTGATCTTCAATTGTGCCGCCGGTCTGAAATTATCGCCCTCACGAGGCCCAGGGTGAGCAGAATATTTGCTGAAACACCACCAGACAAGTGGAATGGAAGTGTTGGTACGACAAAAGTGTGAGCGGCTTGTTCTCACTAGGCTTAGGTCTTTTCAGTGGTGAGAAGGGGAGAGACACTTGGCTGGCCACTGGTTCAAGAGGCCCTCTATTTCTTAACCAAGTATCTTTGCTATGCTGTTTCCTGCGTCTCTTTAGAGAACTGAAACTACAGCGCCCAAAACTGTTTCGGAGGAGGCAACTCCCGCCTGGGCCTTCAAACCAACTCTGTGCGAAGTCTGTCGCCTTCCCTTCTGCCGCTCCTTCTCCCCAACTGTTTGCTTTCTCAGCTACGTCTTGCTTTGCCAGTACACGTCCTCTTACAATGCCAAGTGCACCTAGCGGTTACTGGCTACGGCCTACGCTTTAAGGTTGGAGAGCTAGGCTAGGGATTGGGGATTATGCTTTAGGATTAAGGATACATTTGGCATTGTTTGCGTCTTAGAAATCTAGGCAAATCGTCAGAGCGGTCGAGCGCAGGCGCGCTGCAGCTCAAAGTGCTGAGGTGTGAGCAACTGGCCGTCGTTTGTACCTCAAAACAGAAAATGGTTTCCTTCATCAGAACGCAGTTTCTAAATTTTTGCTTGAGGCGAAATGCCACGCGAAACCAACTGAGTGGGCGTTTTGCTATGTGCATATTATGACACAGGCCAAGTGAAAAAGTAACAGAAGAAAAGGAAGGCAACACATCTAGGGGGAAGGCAGGAGCCACCAGCAAACAACAGCCAGGGACAGCCTCCCGCACACCAGAAGGCAAACTTGTGCAACGAGGGAATAAGGCAGATAAAGTGAGATGCGGAGCAGAGGAGACAGAACCAATGACTGACAACACCCGCCACACGCGATAAAGGAACAACAATGCGAACGAGATAGAGATAGTGGTTGCTAGTTCTAAAAGCCTGCTGCCCAGTGCCTACAGCTTTGGGTTTCAGGCTTGTTCTTCAAGGCTTTACCCGGAAGAGTTTATAAAGTGGAGTGCTGAGGAGTACCTGGGGGCATAGAGTGTCTGGACCGGCTTCTGCTTCCTGCTCAGTTGGTAGTGTGCTGCACGAAATTGTTTGTTGTCTCAGGGTGATAAGGGAGAAAACGGTTTAAAATGCAACAAGGGCAAATCTCTCCTCTCCAATTTGTCGGTGAGAAGTGCTTTTGCTTATTTTTTGATATTAATGGCAATGAACACAGGCTGTTGCAGCTGCCGTTTACACCAGAATGCAGGTTGCGCAGCAACAGCAAAAGCAGAAGGAATAGCACCCGTTGCGGATTGTGCTTTGTTACTTGTTGCGAAAAGAATTACCTCGAGGAACTCGAGAAGAAACGAAGCGACAAAGAGGCCTTGCGGCTGGCGAGACGACAGCAGATGTAAACAAATAGAACAACAAACGACCCAAACCGCCGCAAACGTAACAATGCAGCAGCACCAGCAGCATCAGCAGCACTAGCGAGATGTTCTCTTCTGCTCGTTTTTATGGTTGAGGGCTCACGTTAAGCTGCATCCAGAGCACGAATGAAGGCAATGAAGAAGTAAAGGCATCCCTTTGCTTGCGGTGTGACTCAAATTACGCAGAGCCGAAGAAGAAATGCGCGAATGTTCATTTAAACCGCAACTCCACAAAATGCCCAAAAGAAGTCAGTCTGCTCTTCAAACTCAACGCATGTCTGCAGCAGGGAATGCTTTCAAGGGTAAAGGTGTTTGGTATCTGCATTTGCCATTTAGATGCATCGCTTTGCTCCAGTGTGCGGCGGCAGAAGAACATAAACACAAACCTTCTTGAGGCTCGCCAAACAGGGCAAATGAAGCGCCAAGTGCTTCTTCCCGTAGTCTGTTTCTTTGTTCATGGTTTGCGCATCTGCTGGTTGTTCAACTGTTCAAGTGTTCGCTTGTCGGAGTGTTGTTATCTACATTCATCCACGCTTGGCGTTTGTTTGCTGTTTGGTTGTGCACAGCTACGTTGTTCAGTTGTTTGTTTACCCGCCTGTTTTTCTGGTTCTGTGGTCGTTTGTGGTCTCCTTTTGCAGCTTCACAGGCGAATTGCTTTAGTTGGCGGAGTCTGCCCGGGAGCGACAGGTGCGGCCCTTTTTTTGTTTGTTGCGCCTATTGCAGTGTGTCTTTGATTCTTGTCTGTTCACTTGAATACATCATGAATGTATCACCAGAGTCCCTCCTGTGCCCAGTCTCTCTGTAATGGTAATGGCTGTGCCGTTCTTTTTCGTTTTCGCTGCTCTCCCCAGGGAGTAATCCGTTGAGGCAGCAGCAGGATGATATTTGCCGCCTGCTGTTGCTGCACTGCGAGGTGGGTTTGTTGCAGGTTCCTTGAGCTGCGGCTAATGGCTCAAAGCCAGAGAGGACAGGCGCTTCTCCCATTTGCTGCTGCTGCTGCTGCTTCCGTTGCTGGCTGTACGCGACTGTAGTTTTATTCTTCGCCTTGTTTTGGGGTATAGGCGCTACGCAGTTGTGTCGTGGCCTAACTTATCATGGAGTTTCTTTCGTTTGAAAAATATCTTTTTAAAAAATGAAGATGTCTCGTTGCACGTTCACCTTTTAGAACGAAGACTTTCCTCGTTTCGCCAACCCCTGGAGGACTTTGCTTACTTTTGTGCGATATTTCGTCCCCATTTTCTTTTTTTGCATTGCACATCGTTATTACTAGATCTCCTTCGGCACTGCGCCAGCCCCCACTGCCAATTAGAAATAACAAATCTGAAAGACGGAGCTGCAGATGTTGCTGGCAGCTGCTTCGTTTTGCTGCAGCTGCGTGCCGCCTCAGCAGCAACAGCAGCATCAGGCTGGCGGCGCTTCTCCTGCTTCACTATTTGGCTTTTGTGCATCACCCATACGGGAATGAAGGCAAGTAGGGCGGAGGGTTTAAAAACGTTGCGTACAGAACTTTTTCAGAGTTTTCTTGAGTGTGTTTTCCGAGCTGAAGCACAGACGTTTGGCACTGTTGTCTCTTGTTGCAGTACCTCTCCCTGACCACTACGCCAGGCCATCCTCCCCAGCTAGCTAGGCAGGCAGCTAGTCAGCTAAAAACTAGCTAGGCAACTAGCTAGCTAGCAACTAGCTACCTGGTAAGCAACAATCTAGGCAGCTAGCTGGCTAGCAACTAGCTGGGCAGGTAGATAACTAACAGCTGGTTAGGTGGACAGCCCCTGCTGCCAGCTGGCTGTACCCCCAAGGGCCGCAGGCCCTGCGTCGGTAGCCAATGCCTTCGCGCGTAGGCTGTCTTGCAACACTTGACGCCTTAAAAAAAGTATAAACCAGCGTTGGCTAGCCAGCTACCCAAGAGAGACAGAGGCCTCAACGCCCCCCGCCTCTCCCTCGCCTGGAGCCTCTTCTGACCGCTGCTGCTGCTACTGCTGCTGCTGCTATTTTCTTAGCTGCGTTTGTTGTTGCCTGAGGCTTTCGCTGCGGCTTTTGCTGCACTTGCTGCTGCTGCTGCTGTGTGTCCGCCTGAGGACCATCGGCTGTTGCATTCGCCTCCTTGCCGTCTACCTTTTGCTGTTCTGTTTTATTTCTTCTGGCCTTCGCTCCTCCGCCTGCCCGCGGGCGTCGCGATGGGCAGACGCCACCTTCGTGCACCGTCTTGGGCTCCGCTGCCGCTGCTGCTTCAGCGTGATCTGCTGCTTCGGCGTGATCTAAAGCAGCAGGATCAGCTGCTGCTGCAACAGCTGCAGGAGCAGCAACATCAGCAGCAGCTCCTGTTGCTGCGGCTGGCTGCGGTGCTGTTGCGTGATTTTGGTTGACTTGGGAGAGAGATGAACGATCGCGTGCTGATTTCGGTGTCGTTGCAGACGGCCTCCTCTTTGCAGAGCTGCCGCGCGAAGGTGTCCCCTCTGTTGCTGAGGGGGTCCCTTGGGTTGCTGCTGGGGGCCCCTCTGTTGCTGCTGGGGGCCCCTCCGTTGCTGTGTGGGGCCCCGCATGATTATGGGCTGGCGTGATTCGCTTCTTTGGCGTTTGCTGCAGTTCTCCTTGCAGGTACCTCTTCAAGGGCCTCGAGGTGCTGGGTGCAGAGGGGCCCCCTGAGGGCTGCTGCGCAGCAGCAGCAGCACTGCAACCTGGCTCCGCCGTTGGCTGTTTGTCTTGTGGCTGTTGCTGTTGCTGCAGTTGCTGTTGCTGCGGCTGTTGCTCTTGCTGCTGCTCGCCAGGGGAGAGAAGAAACTGTTGCAGCGGGAGCAGTCTGCGTGCTTGGATACACTCAAGGACCCAAGCAGCACTGACAAGGGGGAGGCCTTCAAACCCGGGCAGCAGCAGCTTCAGTCTACCCACTGTTATTCTGTAGGTGCTGCTCTTAAAACAGAAACGGGACGAAGGGGCGCGAAGGGCCCAGGGGCCCCCCCACTGCTTCCTCAGGTGTACAGACAGGTTCCTGTGCGACGAGCCCCCATACAAACCCAGCGCACCCAGGCGACCCACTGAACGCAGCGGAGAGGCCACCGAACCAACACCCTTAAGAGGGGAGCGCGGCCCCCTTAGAGGCGAGCAGGGGCCCCTAAGGGGAGAGCGGGGGCCTCTAAGGGGAGAAGTGGGGCCCCTGAGAGGCGAGGAGGCGCCCCTAGAGCGCGTTGAGTCCTTGAGAGGAGAAGAAGGTTTGCGTATAGGCGGTGAGGGTTTCTTCATTAGAGAAGAAGGGACTCCAAAGGGAGAAGAAGGGTTTTTAAGAGGAGAGGAGGGGCCCCTTGAGGGAGAAAGGGGGCCCCGTAGAGCAGAAGAGTCCTCACTCAGTTTGTTTGGGCCCTTTAAACTGAAAGGAGTTGGAGCCGGGATTCCCCTCACTTTGTTGCTGTTTGTTCTGCTGCCTGTTGGGGACCGTAAGGGAGTCCTTTCCTCCGATAATTTCTGATTTTGTTTGTTTAATTGAAGTAGACTGGTGTCTGGGTTTTCCTTATTGTCGTTTGCTGCTGCGGATTCATTAGGAGGGGGGGAGGGGGCCCTTCTGTCTGCGTTGCTGCTGCCTTTAACTGGGGTGCGGGGCTCCTCAAGGGCAGCAGCATGCGAGGGTCTGAGTGGAGCTGTAGAGGCGAGGGGCCCCCCCTGCACGAGGGGAGGGGGGCCCCCCTCCTTCCCACTGTCTTTGTGCGGGTTGAGTGCTGCTGTGTCTTGCTTGTCTAGAGCTACGACAGCAGCAAAGAACAGCATATTCTGGAGGCCCTGGGGGGCCTTTGCGGGGTTTGTGTTGTGGGCCTTGAGGAGGCGCAGCAGCTGCTGCAGCACTGCAGCAGGAGACAGGGAAGGCAGCAAACTAACGGAGACACCCCAAGTGGATTGAAGTACATCCAGAGACACCGAAAGAGAAGAAAGGGTCTCCTCCGTCATTAGTAAATGCCAGCCAAATAGAGGCAGGCCCCAAGGCTCCTGCATCGACAGAGACAGCACACAACTAAACAACAATTAAACTAATTATCTAAAACAAACAACCTGCATGTACTGTGGAGATGTGCGTTTGTTTCCCTCCCGCTGCGTTTTGGTGTATCATGCCCTTGTCTCCTCCTCGTCTCTTTCTGTTTGTCTCTTTGTCTGTTTCTTTTTGTCTCCTTTGCTGGCTATGTTTCTCTCCTTTCTTTTTTTGTTAGTCTCCTCGTCTGTTTTTGATTGTCTCTCCCTGTCTTTGTTCGTCTCCTTCTCTTTATTTATATATCTTTCTAATTCTGTTTGCTTGTTTTGGCTTGTCTCTCTTTTGTTAGTCTAAATGTGTCTGGGGGCACTTTCTCTGCTCTTTTTGTTTCTCTCCTGGTTTAAATACCTTTATTACTTGCATAAGAGGAGGGCCAGCAACGAAGGCCGTGCGTTCGGGGAGTTGTGGGGTGGCGACGGGAACGAGGGAGTCGGTGGGAGTCGATCCCAACAACGCCCCACACCTTCCCCAACAACATGGGGGGAGGCCTTCCACCTGCAGGTGCTGCCCCCAGGCAGAAGGTGGGTCTATAGAGCCCTATTAAACGACAAAGACAAGAAAAGAGAAGTAAATAAATAAAACAAACAAAGACAAATAAAGACGAACACATAAATACAATAAAACAAACAGAGACACAAAAGCCAATAAAGCCAAACAAAAAAACAAAACAAAACAAAGACGAGCAACGACAAAAACATAAAACAATCAAATACAAGTAAAGACAAGCAAATAATTAATACAGAAAAAAATGCACAACGACAAATAAACAACAAACCCAGCAAAAGATATTATGCAGGGAAAATAAAAAATGCAAAAACAAAAGAAGTAAAGACAAGTAAACAATATAAAACACAAAAACAAACAAAGACACGTAAACAATACATCAAAGAGGGGAACAGACAAAGACAGACAAACGAAACATCCGAGAAGGAGACAAACAAACAAAGACGGAAAAAGCAATACACTGGAGGGAAAGACACACAAACAAAGACAAAGAAAGATAAATAACACCTAAAGCAAAAGCAAGCAAAGACAGACAAACAATACATTAGACAAAGAAGCAAACTCCATGCACACAAAGGAAGAAGACAGTATACGCAACAGTTAAAGGAATCTGCAGCAGGGAGACTCGCAACAAAATGAAAGTCTCTTTTAAATAAAGAGACAGTAAAAGCCCCTTTAATTGTCTCCTGTGTCTTTATCACTCCGCCACAACACCAACAACAACAAGAAAGGGAGACAGAAGAAACAAGAGAAAACTGCAAATGCAAACAAAAGATAGAAATCTAAGCCCAAGAAGAAAAAAAAGAAATGACGCCCCACATACCTCCAGGGCTGATCGATACACCCAACTCGCCGTCACGAAGTGTACAGACACCCCACGACGTGGCTCCTCCAGCTGCAGAGACAGCAGAGCTCGCACTTGAACAGCAGCAGCAGCAGAAGCCTCGGGGTCTTGCAGGACCACCGCATACACCTCCGCGCCTATAACACTGCCCGCGCGGCTTCCTGCTGCTGCATCTGCACCTGCAGCAGCAGCAGCAGCAGCAGCAGATTCTGCTGCTGCTGCTGCCGCAGAAACCGCCTCGCCAACGGAGAGACAGACAGAGACCTTTCCTTTAAAGGGCTCCTCCTCAAACGCCATTCGCATTAGAGCTGCCAGCGAACCCGTCACGCCGCCCGAACATCTGCACCACCAAACCCTAAACCCTAAACCCTAACCCTAAACCCTCAACCCTAAACCCTAACCTCTTAATCCTTGAATATGAAGAGGGAAACAAGGCCGAAGCGGCATGAATAAAAACATGAGCTCGAGATGCTCTTCGCCGCAAAGGGCTAGGCTACGTCTCGGTGGGGACGGTTCTAAACCCTAAACCCTGAACCCTAAACTCTAAATTGAATTGAAGCCAATTCATAAGGGCGCGTGGGTAGCGTTGACCTGTCTAGGGTTGAGTTGTAGTTTGTTTCGCCGGTGAGGAGACAGACGAAGAGTTGGGGTGTACAGACAGCAGCAGTGCCGTTTGTTTTTGTTTGTTCGCGCTCGTCTGGAGTTTCTTTTATTTGTTGTTTCTCCTTCAGGGGCCCCAGAGCAGACAGCCAGGAAGGGCGAAGCAAAGGACTAAAGTCCGCGTCAAAGGGAGGGGGGCCCCCAAACAAAGACAGAAAACGGAAGTATGCACCAGACACCAGACACTCCACCGGCGTCTGCTGTAGCAGCTGCCCGTGCTGCGGCAGCAACAACATTAATAAACACAATCAACACGCATACCAACCTCCTCAACCTACAAGAACTACGAACAGAAGCAGCAACAGCAGCAGCAGCAGCAGCGGTAGACGGAAAACAAAAACGCAGCAACGCGACACGGAGAAGCGGCAGCAGCAGCAGCAGGAGCAGCAGCAAAGGAAGGCAGCAGATAGGGGGCGTTACGCTCCCTTACCTCTCTTCTTGCAGCAGCAAATCGATGAGCAGTGAGAGGGATGCACAGCCGCATGCATTCGGCAGCAGCAGGCACATCTCCAACGCCCCCACAAGCCCCACGACCAACTTCGGGGGCCCCGGGGGCCCCCGGGGCCCTGGGGGCCCCACGGCGTTTTTTATTTGCTGCAGCAACTGCTTGCAAAGCTCGACGTTCCGTCACGCAGCGACGCCGCAGCTGCACCAATTGCAGCAGCAGCAACAGCAGCAGCAACAACTAATTAGCATCAGCTGAAGGGAGCGACAGGCAACTCTTTGGTGGTGGTAGCAGCAGCAGCGGCAAGGCAGAAGCAGTAAGGTAGCAGCAGCAACAGCATAGCAGGAGCTAACTTGAGGCGGGAGCTGCTCTAGGAGGTCTGGCTGGTGGCAGTAGAACAGAGTGGGGGCCCCGGGGCCCTCTGGGGGGCCCTGGCTGCTGTTGAAGGGAAGCGCCAAAGGCTGCTGCTGAGAAGGATGAGTAGCTGCTGCAGCAAACAGGCGTAACATACACAGCAAAGGCGCTGCTGCTGCTGCCGCTGCTGTTGGTCGGGTTGGCGGTGGGGACATACAGAACAGATCCCCAGGGAGCAGCAGCAACAGCAACAGCAACAGCAGCAGCGGCAGCGGACTGTGGCTGACCCTCGGACCCGCAGCAGCAGCAGCAAAGGAAGCAGCACCAACAGCACAAGCACATTGTTCGCAGCAGCATCAGCAGCAGCAGCAGGCGCAGAGTTGTGTTGCGGTTGCAGCGCTGACCAGCAGCAGCAGCAGCAGCATCTCTTGCTGCGTATATTGCAAGCTGCTGCAGTTCTTGCTGCTTCTGTCTTTGCTCTTTCTCTCCCCACTTCGTTTCCGGTACCAGACACCTCAAAACCCTAAACACCGACTCCTCTAACAAACCCCCAAAAGTTTGAAAGTGACGCCACACCTACGTACACCACAATCCACAAACCCTAAACCCTAAACCCTAAACCCTAAACCCTAAACCCTAAACCCTGAACATCAAAAGCTGAAGAATAAAGAGTAAACAAAACACCATAAAAATAAACCCGAAACAATACATCCTAAGCAATAAACAGGAGACCTCAAACCCTAAGTATCAAACCCTTAGCAATAAACCGTAAACCCTAAACCCTAGGCAACACACAATGTACAGTAAACCCTGAGCCCCAGAAGGGCCAGTGCAAATACAGAAGGAAGCAGAGATGGAGACGAAGGAGACACCTGAAGTAGAGACAGGCTGGTTAGAAAGATATTTAAAAAGGAACAGAAAGTAAGAGACGAGCGGATGAAGACACAGCACAAGAAAGGGCAGTAAGAAGCCTTCAGAGACAGAGAGGAGACAGTAAGATATACACAAACCCTTTCTATCTTCAGCGAGACAACAACAAAATATACGCAGAAACAATAAGCGAGACACCAGCAGCAGCATACTCAACGTAGGGTCTAGGGTTTGGCAATGAGTGAACGATTCAGGGTTTTCATGAGGGTTTAGGGCTTGTTCGAGGGTTTAGGGTTTGTGTGAGAGTTTAGGGTTTGTACGAGGGTTTAGGGTTTGTATGAGCGTTTAGGGTTTGCGCGAGGGTTTAGGATTTATTTGAGGTTTGTGGTTTATTGTCTGCTTTTAGGGTTTAGGGTTTATGGTTTAGGGTTTGCTAACTCTTCCTCCTGGGAAGCAGTGCATGAGGCCCTGCTCATAGAAAGGGGCCCCTGAATGGGGCTGCTGCAGGAAGGAGAAGGAGACGGAGCAGTCGGTAAGGGCCCCTGCAGCTTCGAGTGTACGTACAGCATGCAGAAACTCTTTCTGGCTCTGAGGCAGAAGGAGGCCTTTAATACGAAGCCGCTTCACCCGCTGAGGTGTACATACACCGCACAACAAAGCTGTTGCTGCTGCTGCTGCTGTTGAGCAGCTTCAAAGTAATAATGAATATCATAGCAGAGCACTCGAACAGACTTGCAAGCAGACAGAGGGCACTTTACTCACACAGCGTGTACACTTCGATAGCAGCAGAAACAGCAGCAGCAGCAGAAACAACCGAAGCAGAAGCAGCAGCAACAGAAACAGCTCCTAGAGATTAAACGCCCGAAACAATCGGCGGCTCCACAATCGCAGGGAAGGTTGCGCCTGCTGTTGTTGCCGCCAGATAAGTAGCAGCAGCAGCAGCAGCAGCAACAGCAACAGCAGCAGTAGCAGCAACAGCAGCAGCAGCATTAGCAGCAGCAGCAGACCTCTGTAGATCGGTGCTCCCGGGAGAGCAAAGTTTCTGTGAAGGAGACGGCGCCATCCGTCACCCGGGCCCCCCGCACTTGGAAGTTTGAAACCAACAAAAACACCTGCACCACAAACAGCAGCAGCAGCAGCAGCAGCAGAAGCAGCGCATGCAAGAGGTCGAATCACAGCAGCAGCAGCAGTAGCACCAGCAAGAGGAACAGCACTACCAGCAGCAGCAGCTGCAGCAAGATAACTAATAACGGACGCAAATACAGCAACACGTACAAGCGCCAGCAGCAGGAACAATAGTAGCTGCAGCAGGAACGTAAGTAGCAGCAGCAGCAGCAGCAGCAGAGATGCAAGACTGAAAGCGACTCAGCAACTCTGACCTGGAGAGGGGCCCCTAAGTTTTTTCTGTTGAGGCTGCGTACGGCTTTGCTGCCGAGGGAGTGGTGTGCTGCAGCAGCAGCAACAAAAGAATGATACGACGTGGGGCCCCCAGAGGCCCCCCCTGGATGCCCTGTTGCAGCAAGTTGGTCGTGCAGAGCGATGAAGGCGCGCAGCAGCTTCAAAAGGGCTCGGGCTTGCCGCCGTCCTGCACCGCCTCAAACCCTAAACCCTAAACCCTAAACCCTAAACCCTAAATCCTAAGCTCTTCGTACGAACTAGCCAAACCGCAACCCGTGGAACGAGTACCCCGAATGCCTCAACCCCTAAACCCTAAACCCTAAACCCTAAGCAATATCTTCGCCAAAAAAATGAACCTTAGACCCTAGAAAAATCACCCTGAGTGCCTCCAATGCAAAACCCTAAACCCTAAACCCTAAACCCTAAACCCTAAACCCTAAACCCTAAACCCTAAACCCTAGGGGGTGTGCGTACCGTCGAATACGAATGTATGAAGGGTAAAAGAAGGCCCTAGTTTGAGGGTTTTGTTTATTGTTTGCAGTTCATCGCCTCCTTGTGGGGGCCCCTGCTCCGCGCTGTCCCCAGGGGCCCCTGAGCTGGAGAGGGCCCTCCGCCTCCTCGCTTCTTGCTGCTGTTCAAGTGCAGCAGCAAGCCCCTTCGGGAACTCCGCCTCCAACGCCTCTTCATGCTGCAGCAAAAACGCCCTGAGCAGCAGCAGCAGAAGCAGCAGCAACAGCAGCACAGCAAGTGCAGCACATTGTCTATATCTCGACAACGACTCTCTCTACTACTTTGCAGCAGGAGCAGCCTAGGCCGCCTGCAGCTGCTGCAGCAGCAGCAACAAAGGAGAGGTTTGCTATGTGTGGGTAGGGGGCCCCTAGGGGCATCAATTCACTCCGGTATAGTGCTGCTGCTGCTGCTGCTGCTGCTACTTTTGCTGTTGTGGCTGCTGCTGCTGTTGCTGCTGCTACTTTTGCTGTTGTGGCTGCTGCTGCTGTTGCTCTCGCTGCTGGATCAACTGCCTTTGCTTTTGCTGCTTCTGCTGCCTTTCGTGTTGCTGCCTTTGCTGCTGCTGTCTTTGCTGCTGGTGCTTTTGCTGCTGCTGCTGCACGTATATGCTCACAAGAAGGCGGGGGAGACGCGCGTTAGTACTGCGCGTTGGCTGGAGAGGACAGCAGAGAAATGATTGGAGGAGACAGCAGCCTGGCGGTGCATGCACGGAATATCGTGCAGCTGAAAAACAGCGTCTAATAAACCCAAACGCACTGCACACAAACTGTCCCCACCATTGCTGCTGCTGCTGCTGCTGTTGCTGCTGCTGCTGGTGCTGCTGCTGCTGCGCTTCGGGGGATTCACAACGTCGCTCCCTTCAACCGGGGCATCGCCAACAGCGCGGGGGGGCTCGTCTGCGCCCTGCTGCTGCTGCTGCTGCTGCTGCTGCTTCTGCTGCTTCGTTGGGGGCTGCTGCAGCAGCTTAACGGCAGCAACGGGGCCTGGCTTGGTGTGTTGCAGCAGCTGACCTTCTCCTGCTGTGTTTGGGGGCCTCTGTCTGCCCCCTCCTCTTGCTGCTGCTACTGCAGCAGCAGCAGTAGCAGCAGCAGGGGCCGGCGCCTCCAAGATAAAGTAGCTGAGGGCCCTCTTAAGGGCTGCTGCTGCCTCAACAGCAGCAAGCTCCTTTGGGGGAAGTGTCTCCACTACAATATGCCCCTGAACCTCTTCAAGGGGGCCCCCACGGGGGCCCCCGGAGGCCCCCCTCGCTGCTAATGCGCAGCAGAGACAATGCCCTCCACTAGAGGCTGGGAGCCCTTCTGCAGGCGCACTGCTGCATGTATGCAATTCTTGTTGAAGTGAAGACGGAGAGACAAGAGACAAAGAAAGAGAAGTGTCCCCTGTGGGGCCCCCTGCCTCCTTAGGGCCCCTCCTCCGCCTCCGACCGCCGACCTCAGAGGGCCCCCCAGTCCCTTGGCTGTCTTTCCTTGAGGGAGGAGGGGCCCCATAGGGGCCCCCATAGGGGCCCCCAGGGGGGCCCCCTTGGGGGCCCCCAAGGGGGGGCCCCAGCATCAGCTGTACCCCAAAGGGCTTCAAAATACGCCGGGCCTCTGCAAACGCACGGCAGCGGCCGCAGTCGCTGCAGTTGCAAGCGGGGGCCCCCCGAGGGGCCCCTTCCGCGGGGCTCCCTCCTCCCCCTAAACCCTGCGATTCCGGAGCTGCTGCTGCTGCTGCTGCTGCTGGGGCCTCCAGGGCCCCCTGCGAGTGTGATGGGTTGGAGGTTATTTCTTTTTGTGTTTTGTTTGGTTTAGATGCTGCCGATGAAGTGCTGCTGCTGCTGCTGCTGCTTTGCTTTCCTTTTGCCCCATAAAACAGCGCGCAGGGCGGCCTTGCTGCAGCTGCTGCTCCTTCTGTTGCATGTGCTACAGTTGCTGCTGCTGCTGCTGCTGGTTTGTGCGTCGCTGCTGCTCCCTTTACCTGGTAGCCGTGAGGGTGTTTGAGGGCGAGGCGAACCTCAGCAGGCAGCTGAGAGTCTCCTTTGTACTCGAAGTAAATTTTATTGCACAGAAATATCCCTAGGCCCACCTCCTCCAGTGTGGGGTTGCGGGGGCCCCCTGCAGCAGCAGCAGCAGCAGCAGCTGCTGCTGCTGCTGCTGCTGCTGTTGCTGCTGTTGCTGCTGGTGCAGCAGTACAAGGGAGGGGGGCCACGGCCAATGCAGAACAGCTAGCTGTATCTTCAGGGGCCCCCAAAGCATAACGGCCGCTGTCTAAGGATAAAGAAGAAGGAAGGGTAAGTAGAGGAGGTGAAGCAGCAGCAACTAGAGGAGGTGAAGAAGAAAGAAGCCTTTGAGAGGAGCTTGCTGAGTCTTGTGAAGGGCACAGATTGGGGGGCCCCACAGGGGGGGCCCCCCAACCCCCAAAAGAAGCAGAAGCATCAGGGGGCCCCCCTGAAGAACGGTCGAGGGAAGGAAGAGGAGGGATAAGAGAGGGGGCCTCTGCAGTCGCCTCCACAGCAGAGCGCGAGAGGAAAGACTCGCAATACGAATACTCCATCAGGAGTCGTAGCACCTGATGATGTGCACAAGTCCTGTGCTGCTGTTGTTGCTGCTGCTGCTGCTGCTTCTGCTGCTGTTGTTGTTGTTGTTGTTGTTGCTGCTGCTGCAGTTGCTGCAGCTTCTGCCTCTTGGGCTGGTGCTGTTACTGCTGCTTCCCCTGCGTCTTGTGCTGCTCCCTCCACTGCTGTTGCTGCTGCTGCTTCTTTGCGTGTAATGCTGCTGTCTTTCTCCCGCTGGTGCTGCTGTCGGGGGTGGGCCCCAGGGGCCCAGGGGGCCTCAAGGGAAGGAGGGGAGCGGCGGAGTTAACACGAGTAGGAAGAAGAGATAAAAATAACGCAAAAAAGTAAAGGAAGAGGCTAATGCCTCAACAAAGAAGACAGGAGAGAGAGGGGAGCGACTTGTACAGCACAGGGCCTAGCTGGGGGGTAGGGGGGTCTTGCGTTCTGGGGTGTACGTACAGCAGGGGCCCCCTGTAGTTATTCTCTCTTCTCTAGATGCACTTGACAGAAAAAACTAATTCTATTTACTTCTTTATTGCAAAGACGCAAAGAAAATGCAAGGGGGCCCCTCTGGGGTCGGCGGTGGGGGCCCCCCCATACACCCTCGCACCACCCTTTGAGTGTGTGGCGGTTGTTCGTTAGAAAAATTTGAATATAAACTCGTTAAAAAGTATTAAATATGTGCTTTTATCTATTTTGTATCTGTAATAAAACTAAAATAAGTTGTTTTTCTGCTTGAAACGAACGCCCCAGGTGTACGTTCAGCTGCATGCCGACTGCATATTCACCGGGGGGCCCCTCAGAAGGCTCAGCAGAGGGTCTGGGGGCCCCCCGCGGCGGTATTCTGTTTATTTCCTTTGTTTTTCTGTTGTTTTATATATTATTTCTATTTACCTTTCATTGTTTAAGACTGAAGACCCTTTATTTATCAATAACGAGAGCGGGGGCCTGCTTCTGCTGCTGCTGCTGCTGCCGCTGCGGCGGGCCCTGCTTCTCTTTTTGTGGTTTCTTCTCTCCCCCTTCATTGTTTGAATGAAGTTTTTGCGTTCTTCTTCTTTTTCTCTAGAACCAAGTTAAGGCATTATGCTGCCCTGGGGAGCAGAGGCCGAGGGGCCCGCGGGGCCATCAACTGCCGCTCTCCCCTTACTACCACCAAGGACAGAACACAGCAGCAGCAGCAGCAGCAGCAGCAGCAGCAGCAGCAGTTTCAGTCCCTTTAAGGATGGTAGGCGGAGAGACGGCCGGCTACCAGAAGAAGTTCGTCCAATGCGTAAGCAAATACACAAACCCTAAACCCTGAACCCTACAAAACCCTAAGCCCTAGCCAACCCTAAACCCTAAACCCTAAACCCTAAACCCGATGCTATGACCTGAAAGAGGGTTAATATTTTGTTCTGCTCTTTTTGGAGCTGCCGCGGTCAAGGCTACAAGAAGGGCAGCAGCAGCATATTGTTTTTTCGTTTTACTCTTTTCAAGTATATTTTTGTTTTTATGTTTTTTCTTTACTTAGATATTAAAACCCTCTCCCTCGGAAACGCCTCAGGCTCTGCCTTCGTCTCTATCGGCAACACCAAAGTCTACTGCTCAGTGTCCGCCCTCAAACCCTAAACCCTAAACCCTAAACCGTCACCCTTGTTGTTTATTGAATTAGTTAATTGTATGAGCGGTGTATATTAAGGGGGTTAGCGGCAGTACATTCGATCTGCATGCATTGGGGTGTATGCACAGCTTCGGGCCTCGGCCTGCAGGGCGAAGCGACTTACAAGATCGAGGGTTTATTAAGGTGGAGTTTAGAGGCTCTCCTTTCTTTCACAAAAACACTGCCGAAGCAGTAAGCCAACACAAAATTAGGGTTTAGGGTTTGGCGTCTAGGGTTTAGGGTTTGGAGTTTACGGTTTGGGGCCTAGGGTTTAGGGTTTGGGGTTTAGAGTTTGGAGTACGGTTTTAGGGTTGAGGGTTATAGTATTTGTTTATTCGCACTCTATTGATAATATTTTTTTATTTACTGGTCTATTATATAACACACACATATACATATACATTGTATTATTTGTTTACTATCGATATATTTATAGTATTTGTTTATTTGTTTTATATACAACATATATATATATATATTATTTATTTATTCAGGAAGAGACAATTGAAGGCATTTCTTTACTTTTACACCAGGCCTTAGACAGCTGCGTGTTGTTAGAGAGATACCCTAAGGCTATTTTCGAGGTTTGTTTCCTCCTTATTGAAGACGACGGAGGTAATTATAATACTTATACTCTTCGTTTATGCATTTGCACTGAATTGTTTATGAGTCTAATAATAATAATAATAATAATAATAATAGTAATAGTAATAATAATAATAGTAATAATGAATAAACACAAACAAAAAGACAAAAAAAGAGAAGAGACAGAGACAAAAAGAATAGCGGAGTTTGTCTTACATCTCCCGAGCTGTCTGTACACCTCAACAAAACTCACATGCATCTGATTGTGTTGCTGTTGCTGCTGCTGCTGCTTCTGCTGCTGCTGCTGCTGTTGCTTGTGCTGCTGCTGCTGCAGGGGCCCTTGCTGCTGCTTTAACTTGTGCGGGCCTCGCTCTGGCGGACGCCGGCGTTGAGTGCTTCGATATCATCACTGGAGCCTCAGCTGTACAGACACCCAAACACCCACAGCAACAACAACATATATATCTATATGCATATATACAAGCGGAGGGATAGAGAGAGACAGAGGATATATATATATATATGTATATATATATATATATACAGGGAGAGAGAGAGAGAGAGAGAGAGAGACAGAGACAGAGAGAGAGACGGACAGACAGACAGACAGACAGACAGACAGACAGACAGACAGAGAGACAGAGACAGAGACAGAGACAGAGAGAGACAGAGGCAGAGACAGAGACAGAGACACAGAGAGAGACAGACAGAGAAAGGCAGAGAGGGAGACACACAGAGAGGCGCACGACAAGACATAAAATACGTACAAATTATTGAAGAGCTTCAACCCAGCATTAAACCGTCTACCTGGTTTGTGTTTTATTGCGGTGTATGCACAGTACGCCTTCACATACACAGATGAAGGGGGGAAGTCTAAGCAGGCCGTTTGTCTCGACTTAGATGGGCGGGTAAGAAGAAAAAACAAACAAAAGAAGCAGCAAATAAAAAGGCTGCATCGATATTATTCATTGCAAATAATGAGTGCCTGCCTGTGTTGCTGCTGCTGCAGCCCTGCTGCTGTTGGTGTTGCTGCTTCTGCTGCTTTTGCCGCTGCTGCTGCTGTTTCTTGTGGATTTGCTGTTGTTGTTGCTGCTGCTGTTTCTGCTGCTGATTGCTTTGGTGCTGCTGGTGTTTGCGTCGTTGCTGCTGTTTCTGCTGGATGTGTGCTGCATTTGATGTGTTTGTTGCTGCGCCTCTGCCTCTGTTTCTTCATTCAGGAGTATGGGGTGTACAGACACCTCCCGGACTTCACCGCATTTCACGTTGGTTTCTGTCCCGCACTTTCATCGATTTGCTGCCTACAGTGCAGGGGGCCCCTCATTGGGGGCCCCTGTGGCGAGCAGGTGCGTGAGGTGTCTGTATATATGCATGAAGATTACCTTCTTTTCTTTGTTTTGTGTTTTGTTTCGATACTAAAGAGAGTAGAAGAAGCAGCAGCAGCAGCAGCAACAGCAACAGCAGCAAAAGAAAAGCAGCAACAAGAGTAGCAACAGCAGCAGATGCAACAAGAGCAGCAGCACCAGCAGCAGCAGGATTAGCGGATGAGATGTTAGCGTTTGTTTGTGCGTTGAGGTGTCTGTACACCGCAGATGTTCAGCCTGTGCGAGGCGGTGTGCGGTGAAGTTGGCGAAGAAGTGCGGCGGTGTCTGCGGCAATCATTTTTAATGAAAGAACAAAAGACAGATAATCTCTCAACACACAAACGCACCAATACAGAAGAAGAAGTTCCCCTACAATAAAACAACCCCTGGAGTGGTGCTGCTGCTGCTGCTGCTGCTGCGGCTGCTGCTGTGGCTGATGCTGCTGCTTCTGCTGCTTTCAGCGCACCACCAACGAAAACGAGAGACAAAACAACAACAGACAACATCGAGAAGAAAGGAAGCTGCAATAATTTATAGGGAGAAAGAGACAGCTGCTTCCTTTTAGGGTTTAGGGTTTAGGGTTTGGGGGAATGCCTGCTCCTTTTCTGTTGAAGATGAGGCTCCTCCCCACTGTTATATATTTTAATATCTTATCTGTTTTAAGTATTAACTATCGACTGAAGACTTCTTCTCTTTTCCCCTGAGTTCAATATCTGCAGGGTTTAGGGTTTAGGGTTTAGCGCATTATTAGATGTGCAGCTTCGTTCTGTCTGTTTTTGCAGCTGCAGCGACTAAAGAATTGCATTTGTTCGTGTTTTATCTCTGCCGCCTCTCTGTAGTATTTTGCTGCTTGGTGAAACTCAATAAGGTGCCTGTGGGGCCTCTTCTTCTTCCGCTAATGCGGAGGAGAGCTGCTGCTGCTGCTCTGCTGATGCAGCGGGAAGCTGCTGCTCCTGCTCCGCTGTAGCCGGTGCTGCTGGTGCTGGTGCTGCTGGTGCTGGTGCTGCTGCTGCTGTTGGCTGCTGCTCACTATGAAAGAGCAGTAGCGTGCATGAGAGAAGAGGAAGAAGAATAACGAAAAAAGAACGTCTTACTGTAGCAGGCTTTCTAGATGAGACAGAGAGGCATTAATGTCGCCTGAAATGGGGTTTCGTCTTCATCAACATTTCATGCAAAGGAAAAGAAATAATAAGTATTGACTCATTGAATTTATTGAAGGCTTCTCAGACACCAAATGCAGAGCAGCCGCTCGGGTGTACAGACTCTCCACTGCCTCCTTTAGATCGGGGAAGTCCTGAGGGGGGAGGGGGACGAGATGAAGAATAAGTGAAGACAGAACACAAAAAGAAGAAAATAGCAATAAAGACAAGCGCAAATAGAAGAAGAAACAACGAAGTTGCGAGCAACATACGCCGTAAATCACCAGCTATTTATAAGATGATGCATTTTGTACGTAGAGAGGTACAGTTGTTTATGAAAAGGTGCTGTTGCATGCAGTATTAAATTACCTGCGGCAGCTCTTCTGCTGCGGACTCAGACTGTAAGCAATAGATGCATTGAGCCTTTCAGAGAAACTTCTTAATTCAACCGATTCCTACGTCTTCTCTGTCTTCTACTGTTTTTAAATAAATGCAAGAAAATAGACAGACAGTGCGTATATTGCAGAAGACGCGTTTCGGTAAGAATTGCCTTCGGCTTACTTTGGAGCAACCGCAGGGGAGGCGTTATCCGCCGCCTCAATCGTTTTATGTTTTCATCAGCTTAGTTATGGAGTTTCACCGGTGTTTGCGTAGCCAATTTAGGTCGGATAAATTCCATGGAAACCCCTTACCTCGTTGGTCCTGGGTGCGGAGTGACCGCGCCGAGCAACCGACGGCGCCACCAGAAGACAGGAGGAGGAAAAAGCAGATGAAATTAAACGAAAAAAATGCTTCACTCTGCATTATCGAGGAATAAAACAGAAAAAGTTCAAGGAAAAGTTCCCGAAATCAAACTGGTAACGAAGTCACCCAACGAATTGAACCGTTCAAGTCGTCCATTGTGGTGTATAGGCACCTCGTTTTGCATTTTGCAGAAAGCCGGTTATATTGGCCTCCACTGGCTGTTTCAAGACTCATTATTTTTGGTTCTGTGGAAACTATTTATTATTGAAAGAGAAGAGCAGAAGATAGGTAGGCGCAGTCCACAACAGCATCATTGTGCTCGAGGAAGTGAAAGCTGCATGAAATGTGGGCGCTTCGACCCCGATTTCCCTTTGTTATTTGAATTTAAGTCAACCTCACCTAAAACTCAATGAAAAAGAGTTCATTTTCAGTTTTTTGCGGTCAATTCCCCCGTCATCGCTGCGTCAGCCACCAGATCGCGGTTGTTCTCCGTTGCATGCAAGACAAGGAAGCTGATAATTACAGCCCATGCCTTTTGCCTTTCCTTCCACCTTTCGATATATTTAAATATATTTTCATCTATATTTAATCTGTGCGCCTGGAGGCGGCAGATTACGGCCAACTCTCCCTCTTTCTTTGTTTTAACTGTGTACACCGGCGATGCCACTCTGATGGATTTGCAAATGGGAGGAGTAGCGGAGTTGCCTTTGAGCAAAATGAGGCAAGGAGACCTGCCTCATTCTCTATCACTGCATTTAAACAACTACTTATTATATTAAAGCCGTATTCTCTCCTTACCACCCCCCACCCCCTCCCCCGTTGTTCCTCCCCCGTTTGCCTCCCTGAAGTATGGAGGGCCTCTCGGCATCTGCTGGGCGCAGCAGATGCCGTTCATCTTGGGGGTTCAGCGGTTGCGTCGATCGCACCGACGGTGTTTATATGATGTGCCCTAATGACTGTCTTCCTGAGGAGGAGGCAACCGGTGCTGCAGCTGCTGCCGGCGGTGGTGGTGGTGGTACTGCTGCTGGTGGTGCTCGGGGGCACCCCTCTTCTGGGGTGTCTGTTCACCGGGAGAGAAGGGAGGTATTGGAGAAGGTCAGCAGCTGCTCTACTTGTTGCAATGCCTCTTCATTTGTAGCAGGGGGAAGCGTAGACTGCGTGTATTTAGCGGATGGCTCTTCTTCTTCTTTAGCTGTTCATTCGTTAGGTGGCGGCGGTTCTGCATTTCCCTTTGAGTCTCTGTACGGTTGGCTGCTTCCTGTGTTGGTGCTGCTGTCTGTGTTGCTGCTGTACTGTGTGGGGGCCCCTTTGCTGCTGCCTGCACGCGAGAAGGCTTTAGATTATGGAGTCGTGATTGATTCAGGCTCTCATGGTTCTCGTGTTAACATCTTTAGCTGGGAGCAGCGACAGTACGACCCCCACAACCCCCTTACAGGCCCTGTGTCTCTGCCTCAGTTAGTTAGCGTTCGTATATACTCCCCAGGGATAGCTGCAGCTTTTGAAGAAGCCGAGAAAGGTCGGGCGCAGCTGCAGCAGATGGTGCAGGATGCGGTGGCTTCATTGAAGGCAGCAGGTGTACATACACCGCAACTAGGGAATATTCCTATATATTTGAAGGCAACTGCAGGCATGCGAGCTCTAGCTCAAAGTAGAAGAGATAAAATAATGCAGCAAGTGCGGCAGCTGCTGCACAATCAAACCCTAAACCCTTTTCATTTTAAGGGAGACTTTGCTAGAGTTATATCGGGAGAAGAAGAGGCCCTCTTCGGTTGGATAGCGGTGAATGCAGAGCGCAATACCTTAGGGGCCCCCCCCTCAGAGACATTGGGGGCCCTTGATATGGGCGGCAGCAGCAGCCAAATAGCCTTCTCACCCTTCTTTACTTCTGTCTTAGAAGACTTTAATTCTATTCAACTTGGGAATACTGCTATTCGTCTTTACTCTCATTCTTTCTTGGGGTATGGCTGGGCAGATGCTCTTCAAAGAACAAACGTTAAACTAGCAGCAGAAGCTATCTTACACAACAAAAAAAATATGCATACACTTCCTGCTGCTGCTGCTGCTGCTGCTGCACTTACTACACCTGCAGCAGCAGCAGAAGCAGCAGAAGCAGCAGCAGCAGAGGCTGGAGGTGGTGAAACTGCTAGCGGTGGTGGTGGGATTGTTAAGGAGGGACGGCTGTCTCCTTTTGCTTCTGTTTTCATGCGGCGTCTCAAAGGAGATTGGGGGCCCCTGGGGGCCCCCCTGGTGCTGCATGCAGATCATCCATGCTTCCCTGTAGGAGAAAGTTTTTCGTTTGTGTTGCCGCCTATAGATCAAGAGGGTTTGAGGCTGTACGTAGATTTACCTTCAGAGACGCTGCATGCTGCTCTTCTCTTAATGAAAGTAGATAGAGATACAGCAGCACAAACTGCAGCAGCAGCAGCAGCAAATGGTATCGAGGCTAGACATCAGCTTCAAGACAGCGAAGGAGAAGACGAATTAAATGAGAATGAAGACCGGCAAAGCAACCAAACTCAAACGCATTCAGGCGGCCCTCAAGGGGGGCCCCCAGCTGCCTCTGCTGCTTCATATAAAACCCTTTCTGCTGCAACAGGAGACAAGCAGCAGCTTGAGATGGGTAGAGATAACGACGAGAGAGCAGCGGGAGAAGCAGAGACACTTCCGAACAATGCACAGAAAGAAAAACAAAGAGAAGACAAACAAAAACAAAACAAACAAAGGAGGGGAGCAGAGAGAAGACGAATCAAGATGCACTTCAAAGGAACAGGAAACTTCAACAAATGCTTAGACATCGCATCCCAGTAAAACATAGGGTTTAGGGTTTAGGGTTTAGGGTTTAGGGTTTTAGGGTTTCGGGTTTAGGGTTTCGGGGCGACGTTGAGGCTTTCCTTCTCTTCACTGCATTGTTTTAGCATCTTCTGCTTTTGTTCTTGAGGGTTTAGGGTTTAGGGTTTAGGTGGGTTTGTTGTTATTTGTTTTCTCGATGTTTGCTGTTTGCTGCTGTCTCAGGCTCTTCTTTAATTCTCCCTGCTTCATTAACCGCTGCTCCTTCAATGGAGTATATCAGCCAAGGCTGATGAACAGCAAGTCCGCCTAGGGTTTAGGGTTTAGGGTCTAGGGTTTAGGGCATAGGGCTTAGTTTAGGGTTTAGTGTTAAGAGTTCCGGGTTTAGCGTGTATTGTTCAGAGTTCAGATTTCAGAGTGTACGATTTAGGGTTTCGGGCTTAGGGTTTAGAATTTAGGGTTTAGGGTTTAGGGTTTAGGGTTTAGGGTTTATTGTTTTCTTAGGTTTTTGGCCTTCGGGCAGCTGGCGAAGGTGTGGGTTGCCTTAGGCCTCCCCTCTTCTCCTTCTTTGTCTGCTTGGAGAGAAAAAACAAAAGAAATCTGCAGCTTAGACTCAAAGGGCCTTGAGCTGTACAGACAGCAGAACAACATTACTTCCTACTCGCCTGTAGGTGGACGCCTCGCGCAAACCCTAAACCCTAAACCCTAAACCCTAATGCCTTAATACTTAACTCCACCTCGAGGCCGGCTGCAGAGACCATTTGTTGTTTCTTCTTCTGCCTTTGTGAGGGTTTAGGTTTGGGCTTATCGGGCGCTGGAATTTGTTGATCAGGGTTTAGGGTTTAGGGTTTAGGGTTTAGGGTTTAGAGTTTGTGTGAGCAGTCTTCAATGAAGAAGTTGTGCTGGAAGGCGACTTGGAGCTTTGCTCTTTTATCTCGGGGCTTTGGGTTTCCTCTCGACTCTCAGCAAATATCTTTTGCTGTTCCTGCTGCTGCTGCTCCTGCTGCTGCTGCTGATGCTGCTGATGCTGCTGATGCTGCTGCTGGGGGCTTCCCTAACGAGCCACCAGTGGAGGCGGGTTGGGCTTTGGGCTCGATGATCTTCGACGTAAACCACTACCCTTGGGGAGTCCCAGAACGGTACGCAAGGGTTTAGGGTTTAGGGTTTAGGGTTTAGGGGTTCTGATGGAGGTTTAGGGTTTAGGGTTTAGGGTTTAGGGGAGCTGCGGAGGGTTTTTGAATTTGTTGACTGTGAGGGGCTTGGCGCAGTGTTGTGGCCGTTTCTTTGCTCGCTAGAGGGTTTAGGGTTTAGGGTTTAGGGTTTAGGGTTTGTTTGCAGAGAGGATTTCCGTTTTGCGGTTGTTGCTGCTCTGGCTTTGGGGTCTACATCTCTTGCTGCTTTTCTCTCTTATCTTCTTTACACAATGAAAGAACGCCTAAAGCAAATGCAAGACCTCCCCCACCTCTCAACCTCCTTCATCTAGGGTTTAGGGTTTAGGGTTTGGGGTTTGGGGGCCTCTCTCCGACTCGTGGGGCTTCTTAGTAGCAAGCCCTTGAATCTTTTTCTATAGAAAGGTTTAAGTAAAACCCCAAAGGGTTTTACTAAGACAAAAAGGGAATTAAAGGGTTTAGGGTTTAGGGTTTAGGGTTTAGAAGACGCAGCAGTATGCAAGGGCAGGCGCCATTAGGGTTTAGGGTTTAGGGTTTCTCAATTCCCTCAAAGTGAACACAAAACCCTAACACCAGTCCGAAGAGTTTTATAACCCCTCGCAGACAGAAGGGTTTAGGGTTTAGGGTTTAGGGTTTAGGGTTATAATAGAGGAAGGGCTCTTCTATATCCTTTTAAAACACAAACAAAGGGGCGTGAAGAAGAAAAACAAACCTGAAAGGCCTTATAAAGCTGCCTTTTTCTGGTTTTCTTCGTTAATAATATATATGCTCCGTATACAGCAGCTTTAAATATAATATATATCGTAATGCATTTACTATGCATTAGTATTATTATTAATTTACTTCATTATTTTAATACGGCCCTTAATTATATATCTACTCATTGAAATATACATCTATTTGTAATATAAAGAATATACAAGTATATGTGCATATGTATATATTATATTATGAATACAATATACAAATATAGGATGCTTGTAAGCATATTATAGTTCTTACTTAACTCTATACATACATATATATGTATACCCGGCTCAACAGCCAATGTACACCCAATTAGCAGGGTTTAGGGTTTAGGGTTTAGGGTTTAGGGAGAAGCGGCGAGAGATGCTTAAGTAGGAAGAGCGTATTAAGAGTTAACTAAGCAGAACAATGAAATGCTGCTGCAGATTGATTGATATAAAAACTCTTTTTAAATATATTTTATTTTATTCTTCTCTTTAATTTTATATTTATTATTCATTTTATACCCTGGGGGCCCCCATTGCAGGTGCTGCAGAAGACAGCAGCAGCAGCAGCAGCAGCAGAACTGAAGTGAGCTCTTCTCAAGGAAATAATAAAGTAAATGGAAATAAAAATAATTAATTAAAAATATAAATTTAATTTAAATAATAATATATTATTCGATTTTATTTCTAGGGGGCCCCCTCTCTCCCTATGCAGCTACAGGGGGGCCCCCCTGCTATTTGTTTCTTTTGTTTGTGCTGCAGCTGCAGCTGTAGCTGCAGATACACCAAAATAAAGCATTTTATCTCCTTTATTTAAATAAAACATTTATTTATTTATTTTCTGCCGATCTACGCCTCACCTACTTCATTATTTCCCCCTTTCTTTCATTATTACTCTGCATCTCTCTACTCCTCCTACGATTATCATAGCTTTGCTTTCTCCTTTACTTTAACGTGGGGGGCCCTAATTAATAGGGGCCCCCATGGGGCCCTACTCATCCCCTTCGGGGTTCCTTCGAGGGGCCCTTTCCCGGGTCTCTTCGTTCCTGCAGCGTCTGGATGGGGGGGCCCCAAAGGGGGCCCCTAAGGGGCCCTATGGGGGGCCCCATGGGGGCCCCCCCCCACCCCCGCCAAGGAGGGGCCCCCCTATAGGGGGCCCCTTAGGGTTTTCTGCTGCAGCTGCTGCAGCTGCATCCCTTAAACAGCGGTTTGAAGCAGCAAATGAACAGCTGGGGGGTTGGGTCCTTAAGGAGGCCCCTCCAGCATTCAGATTGCGTGGTTTGAGATACGCAGGGTACGCTGGGGGGCCCCCCAAGTGGGGCCCCCATAGCAACCCTTTAGAACAGCAGAAGAAAGCAAATCTGCTGTCTATGGCGTTGGCTATAAGTGCTGCAGGGGTTCTCATCCTTACTCCGGTGTATCTACAGCTTCGCTACTGCAGCACCAATTCATACAAATATAAAGCAGAACAAATGCAGCATTAAAGCAGCAGCAGCAGCAGAAGCAGCAGCAGAACCAGCAGCAGATTGGGGTCCTGGTGAAGGACAAAAGAGAGGCCCCAACAGCAGCACAGCTGTGCAGCAGCAGCAAAAACCTTCTTCTAAGCTGACTGGGGCCCCTCTCTTTCTTTTTAATTTCTTTTGTATATTCTTTAAACACAAAATAAGAATTTAAGGGGCCTCATAAAAAGCAGCAGCGCACAGTACAATAAGGAGAGTTTAATTATCCGCATAAGGCCGAGGGGCCCCTCAGGGGGCCCCTGTAGGGCGCTGATTCTCCTTAAGGGGCCCCCCAGGGGGGCCCCCTATGGGGGGCCCCTAACTGGGGTCCCCTATGGTGGGCCCCCCCCCAAAGGGCCCCCGGTTAGGGGGCCCTTTGGGGGGGCCCCCTGGGGGGCCCCTACTAACGGCCTTAACAACAACAAATAAGGGGCCCTAGGAGAAGTGCTGCGTCTGCTGTTATTTTGTTTGCTGCTGCAGGCATAGAGGCAGTCTAAACCCTAAACCCTACACTATAAACCCTAAACCCTAAATTGCTGCTGTAGAAGAAACAGACGGTGTGGGGCCCCACGCATCCTCCAGGTGTATGCACACTGGAGTGTACGCATGCACAGATAAGGCAGCGACGCACTGTCTACAGCAGCAGTAGTACTGCTGCTGCTGTTCTAGCAGCAGCAGCGGCAGCGCTGCTGGTGCAGGCGCAGCAGCAATTGCTGCAGCAGCAGCGTAAACGCTTCTGCAGCGACCTTATTTACCTCTAATCAGACACTCACAATAGCGCCTAAACCCTAATATTATAAATATTAGGGTGTAGGGTTTAGAGACGCGTTGGGGTGCAGACTTCCTCGTAAACCCTAAACCCTAAACCCTAAACCCTAAACCTCTAAAGGAGGACTCTTTCCCTTAAGCTCTCAAAAACCCTTCAATGAAGTCGCCCTTCTTTAGGGTTTAGGGTTTAGGGTTTAGGGTTAAGGGTCTCGTGGTTAGGGCCACGATTAGGGTTTAAGGTATAGCGATTAGGGTTTAAGAATAGGATTTAGGGTTTAGGGTTTACGGTTTAGGGTTTAGGATTAGGGTTCGGGGTCAAGGGTTTAGGGATAACGACTAGGGTTTTTGTCTATGGTTTAGGTTTGGAGTTTTGTATCAGGCGTTTATTGCTTACGAATATTGCTTAGGGTTTAGGGTTTAGGGTTTAGGGTTTAGGGTTTAGTGTTTATGGTTTAGGGGCCCCCCAGGGGTGGATCGATGTTATAGCGGGGGGCCCCCCTGATCTTCTTTGTAATTACCCTAATTGTTTTCCTTTTAATTTGTTTAAAATAAAATAAAATAATTAATTATTAAAGTTTGTTGTTAGAGAAGAAAGGGCCTCCCTTTGCCTGCTGAGCAGCAGCGACTACGTCAGGTGCTGCTGCAGCTGCTGCAGCTGCTGCTCCTGCTCCAAGTGCAGCAGCAGCAGCAGTAGCAACAGCAGCAAAACCACCAGCATCAGCAGCACAACAATCAGCAGCAGAACCGCAGGAAGACAGCGTAAATTCTTCTCCTTCCTTACTATAGGGGGCCCCCCTGCAAAGCTGCAGCTTAGGGGCCCCCAGGTCTCAGAGGGCCCCCAGGGGGGCCCCCCAAGCCCCAGCATATCGATATAAGAAGCAGCGTAGAGCAGCAGCAGCAACCCCCCTAACCGGCAGCATCACAAAGGGCATTAACTGCTGCAAGACTTGCAACAGCGATACAAGCAGCATCTGCTGCAGCAGCAGCAGCAACAGCAGCAGGAGCATCAGCAGCAGCAGCAGCAGCAACAACAGCAAGACTGGTTGTGTTGCGTGGGGCCTGCCCACTGTGGGGCCCCTGCGCCTCATATGATGGAGCCCCCCGAGACAGCAGCGGCAGCAACAGCAGCAGCAGCAGCAGCAGCAGCAGCAACAGCAACGGACTCAGGGGCTCCTGACCTTCCGCCTGCCGCTGCTGATCAGGGGTCCCCCTGTTCTTTTGGGGGGGCCCCCCGAGGGCCCCCAGCTTCAACCCTGCTGCGGGTGTGGGGGCCAGACAAAGGAGACAAAGGAGGAGACAGGGGGGCCCCCCGCATAGCAGCAGATGCAGCAGAACCGGGGGCCCCCCCCACCCTCATCGCTGCACTCCTTGATGAATTCTATGGGGCCCTTGCTGCAGAAGAAGAGCTGCTGCTGCAGCAGGAGCAGCAGCAACTGCAGCAGGCTAGGACCCCAGAGGAGCACCAACAAGAAGACAACCCCCAACAAACGCAGCAACAGCAGCAGCAGCACGAGCAGCAGGAGAAGCAGCAGCAGCAGCAGCAGCAACTGCAGCAACGGCGGCAGCAACGGTACTCTTCGGGTCGCCCTCATTGGCGCTCTGTCTATACACTGCAGTGCAGGCAGCATTTGCTGCAGCAGCTGCAGCAGCTGCGGGAAATCAACAAGCAGCAACAGCAGCAGCAGCAGCAGCAGAAGCAGAAGTTTGCGGGGGGCCCCTTAGATGGAGTTGCAGTTTTGCTGCTGCAACCCCACAACCTGCAGGGGGCCCCTTCTCGGCGTCTGGCTGCTGCTGCACGGAAGGCCCTCAATGAAGCACATGGGGCCCCCCAAGACCCTGCTGCTGCTGCTCTTCTGCAGCAGCAACGGCGAGCAGCAGCAGCAGCAGCAACAGCATTGAGGCAGCAAAGAAGAGGCAATGGCAGGCGAAAGTACGGGAGAAGGGGGGCCCCCGCCCCTGTAAAGAGGGGCCCCTTGTCAGGTCTTGTTTCTCCTAAGAGAGAGTCTCCACATGCTGCTGTTGCTGCTGCTGCACCTGCAGCAGCAGGTGCTGTTGCTGCTGCTGCTGAAGGGCCTCCTCTAACCCGCCGCGCCAGCCGCGCGGTGCGTAGCGGGAGTCAGCAGCCGGCAGCAGCAGCAGCAACAGCAGCAGCAGCAGCAACAGCAGCAGCAGCAAGAGGGTGCGAAGAGACCGGAGAGTCTGCATTAGGAGTTGCTGAGACTCCACCAGGTGCAGCAGAATCAGCAGCAGCAGCAGCAGCAACAGCAGCAGCAGCAGCAGCTCTTCGTGAGGTGTTGGGGTGCCCGCCAGGGGTCTCCTTGTCTCCTTTGCCTCGACGTCTCTTCCGCTGCTGCGTCTGCTACGAGTTCTTTCCTACTAGCGATTTGCTGCTGCAGCATGTGGGGCCCCTACCTCTACTATCAGCTAAGAGGGCCCTCCTGAGGGGCCCCCTGCAGCCTGAAGTTAAAGAGGGTACTGGGGGGCCCCCGGGGGCCCCCCGGCGTTCGCGGGGGCCCCATGATCTGTGGGGTGCTGCAGCAGTTGAAGCAAAAAGAAAGGGCTGCGCCTCTATAGAGTGGAAGGAAGTAAGGGTCTTTCAGGCGTCTCCTTTTGCTGCTTGAGGGCTGGGAGGTTGCTGCTTATTTTGTTTAACTGTCTCTCCGCTTTGGTGTATCCTTCGCTGTCTCTCTTTTATTGTCTCTGCTTTACTAAGTCTGTCGTAATGCAGCTGTTGTTTTTCTTTTCTAAGGCTGTTAGCTGCTTATGCTACTGTCTCCTTGCATCTGCTGTCTCTGTCTCTGTCTCCTTACCTATTTCTGTCTGTCTTTGTCTTCTAACCTGTCTCCTTATCTATCAATCTATCTATCTATACATATATATATATATGCATATATATATATATATATATATCTGTCTCTGTCTCCTTATCTTTCTGTCTCTGTGTTTTTATCTGTCTCTTCAATCGTCTCCTTAGCTGTCTCTTTATCTGCGTCTGTCTCCATCTCCGTCGGCTGTCTCCTTCTGTCTTCGTAACTGTCCCTGTCTCTGTCTCCTTAAGTATCTCCCCAACTGTCTCTTACCTCTATCTGTCTTTATCTCCCCATCTGTCTCCTCAGCTGTCTCCCTAGCTGTCTCCTTAGCTGTGTCTTATCTCTATCTGTCTCTATGCCCTTAAGTCTCTCCTTATCTGTCTCCTTAACTGTCTCCTTAACTAGCTTATTAACTGTCTCCTTGGCTGTCTCCTTCTCTGTCTCTTCAACTGTCTCCTTAATTGTCTTATTAACTGTCTCCTTAATTGTCTCCTTAACTGTCTTCCCCTCTGTCTCTTTAACTGTCTCTTTAACTGTCTCCTTAGCTGTCTCCCCAGCCGTCTCCTCAGCTGTCTCCTCAGCTGTCTCCTCAGCTGTCTCCTCAGCTGTCTCCTTAGCTGTCTCCTCAGCTGTCTCCTTAGCTGTCTCCTTTTTGTCTCCTCAGGGCTACCCCGGCTATCCGCCTTCGGGTCGTCGTTTTTTGTCTCCATCTTCGCTCTTCTTTCTTCACTCTCTTCCTCTTTGGTTTGTCTCCGCTTATCCTTTACTTTCTTTTATTTTCTTTTATTATCTTTTATTATCTCTTATTATCTTTGCTTAGCTTTTCTTGTCTCTACCCCTCGCACTCCCTTAGCCCTATCGGGCCCTAATCATATCCTCATGGGGGCCCCCAGGGGGGCCCCCCTGGGGGCCCCACCCCGTTGAAGCCTTAGGGTCTCCGTCTGGCTGGGGCTTAAGGTCCTAACGGGGGCCCCTAGGGGCCCCAACGGGTTTCTGCTGTCTCCTCAGCTGCATGGAGAGCAGAGTAGAGACAGTTACTGTCTCCTGGGGCCCCCCTTTAAAGAGACAGTTGGGGGCCCCTCTGTGTCTTAGGCCCCCCTCTTACAGGCAATGGGGGCCCCCTTTGTCTTATGGGGCCCCCTTTATAGAGACAGTAGGGGGCCCCCTTTGTCTCCTAAGGCCCTTTTAATTAGAGACAGTTGGGGGCCCCTGTTTGTGCTGCTGCTGTCTGCAGCCGCGCGAGAGAAATGCTGCGGCGGTTTGGCGTTTACTACAGCAAGGGACTCCTCAAAGACAGGCAAACCCTAAACCCTAAACCCTAAACCCTAAACCCTAATCCCTTAGAATCAGCACAAAGGGTTGCAAGTGGAGACGAGGTTGAGGCAGCATCAACTGTCTCTGTTTTTGCTTGTTTGTCTCCGTTTGCTTTTATCTTTTTATGTTTGTTTGTCTGTGTCTCTGCTTCTTCTTCTGTTTGTTTGTCTCTGTTTGTCTTTGTTTATTTATGTTTGTTTTAATTATTATTTATTTATTTATTTATTAGATGTCTCCTTTTGCTTGTCTTTATGTACGGATTCATTTTGTTTGTTTTGGTTTGTCTTTGTTTATTTATTTGTCTTTTATACTTCTTTTTGTTTATCTTTTTTTGTTTATTCACGTTTATCTCTCTTTGTTTTTCTTTGTTTATTTACGCTGCTGCTGCAGGTTGGGGGCCCTCCCTGAGGCCCTCCTCTCTGCGCATGCAGAGGCGAGGGGCCCCCTTGCGGTGTATGTGGAGGACAGATTCATAGACGGCAAACCCCGGTACCCTAAACCCTAAACCCTAAAGTCTAAACCCTGCTATACAACCCCGTGGGGGCCCCCTGCGACGGGCCCCCAAGAGGGCCCCCTGGCGTAGCATTGGGGCCCTCAGCAGAACCCCTGGGGGCCCCCGAGACCTTTGGGGGGCCCCCCGCTCTCTGTGAGGGCGACTTGGGTACCGTTATGTTCAGCCGACACCATATCAACTGCTGCTGCTGCTTTTGCTGCTGCTGTTGCTGCTGTTGCTGCTGCTGCTGCTGCTGCTGTTGCTGCTGCTGCTGCTGCTGTTTGTATTTTCTGCACAGGTTAGGAGACGAAGATCAAACCCCTCGGCTTTCTATGGAGCCGTATGCTGAGGAGTTGAGGGCCAACTTGCAGCAGGTCGGTACCCTGGGGCAGGGGGCCCCCGGGGGCCCCATGGGGGCCCCCTAGGGGCCTCTTAGGGGCCCCTTGGGGGCCCTTGCTAAGACCTTATCTAGAGCGATATCCAGGAGGCTTGGTTAGCTGTATTATTTAGCATTGTCTCTGCTGCCCCTGCGGTTGCTGCTGCTGCTGCTGCTGCTGCTTCGTTTTCTACCTCTCGAGAGCAGCCTCACCAGCAGCAGCAGAGCGGTAGCAGCAGCAACAGAGGCAGCAGCAGCAGCAGCAACAACAACAGATGCAGCAGGAGCAGCAGGAGCTTGTGTTTGTGTTTGTTGGTGTTTATTTTGCTTCAGGAGTTAGAGAAGATATTTCCTGAGTTTGTCGTTACTTATTTGCCTGACTGGAGCAAAGTCCGAGTCGTAAAGGTCCGAGGGTTTAGGGTTTAGGGTTTAGGGTTTAGGATTTAGGGTTTAGCGTTGCATGGGGGTCGTGTATATAGCATTATTGGCTGCGCCCATTTGGGGGGCCCCCGGGGCCCCTGGGGGCCCCTCGTAGGTGCTGCTGGAGTTGATAGATATTTTGTGTTTTTGTTTCTGCTGCTGATGCAAGGGGAGCAGCAGCAACTTTGTTTGCTGCTGTGGGTTTGCTGCTACAGGGAGAGCAGGAGACAGCTCTGCATGCAGACCACACACTGCAACACCTCCTCTCCGGCGCGGAAGGCACCGTAAGGGTTTAGGGTTTAGGGTTTAGGGTTTAGGAGTGGGAGACCCAGGAAGAGCAGAGAGATACACTCGCCGAAGAGGGTGTCTCTCCTAGAGCCAAGCTAAAGCTCTCACGCCTGCTTTTGTTGCTGTTGTTGTTGCTGCTGCTGCTGTTGCTGCTGCTGCTGCTGCTGCTGTTGCTGCTGCTGCTGCTGCTGTTGTTGCTGCTGCTGTTGCTGCTGCAGCAGCAAATGACGGTAATAACAACGTGGGTTTGTTTGAGTGTCTCGGGGCCCCTAGACGGCATTTGTTTTTTCTTACCGAAGGCAGAGGGGGGCCCCCTTGCTGGGGAGGGCCTCTGGGGGGCCCTCAGAGCACAGCCAGGTAAGAAGATGCTAGTATATTATTGTTTAATGTCTCTGCTTCTTGTCTCCTGTTGTTTGATTTTTCTTTGCGATGTACGGTGCTGCTGCTTGCTGCTGTTTGTTCTGTGCTGCTGCTGTTGTTTGCTGCTAGTTCTCTTTCGCTGCTCTTTTTTGTTGCTGTTTATCTGTTGTTTGCTGCTGCTGTTTTGTGCTGATTTATTTATTTAGTTTTAATCTGTCTCCCTTTCTATTTGCTGCTTAACGGGAGGAGGAGGACCCTCCTGATCTCTGTCTTCTCTGGGGGTAGTCGGAAGAGGGTTTAGGGTTTAAGGTTTAGGGTTTTGTTCTCTGTCTCCTCTTGGGGTAATCGAAAGAGGTTTTAAGATTTAGGGTTTAGGGTTTAGGGTTTAGGGTTTAGGGTTTGTTGGGGTGTACAGGCACCACAGCGATATTTCTAGAGACAGCGCCTCACGGGTGTTTTAAGGCGAAGGGCAAGGGGCTTCGACTGAGTTGTGATTTAAGGTGAAGACAAAAAGAATATATATAATAATATATATATAAATAAATATATATAAATAAATAAATATAAATAAATAAATAAATATAAATAAATATATATATATTAAATATAAATAAATTATTTAGTTGCTCATAAGTAGATAGATGTATACGAAGATAATAATAATTAAAGACAAACAAATAAATAAACAAAATAAATATAAACAAACAAATAAAAAACAAACAAATCAATTAAAAGAAATAAATAATAAAATAAAACAGAGGACCCTCAGAGGCCAGGGACAATAGACAAAAAGACAACAACAAGACGAAGGAGAATAAACAAATAGATAAATAAATAAATAAAATAAATAAATAAAATAAAATAAATAAAACCCTTTAAAGGAACGAAGTGTAGTTGCGCAGCAGCAGCAAACAAACAGCAAAAAAACACAAAAGGAGACACAGAACAAACAAACAAAAATAAAGTAGAGAAACAGAGAATAAATGAAAGAGACAGCAGCAGCAGCAGCAGCAGCAGAGGGGCCCCCAACCCAAACACGTAGCAGCAAAAAAGAAAGCGAGAGCAGCAAAGGGGGCCCCTGTGCTGCAGCAGGCGATTCTCTTTCAAGACTGAGCTAGGGTTTAGGGTTTAGGGTTTAGAGTTTTGCTTTGTGCGTGGTGTTGCTGCAGGTGGGCTCTCTCTGCCCGGGGGGCCTCTTTAGGGCCCCCTATTGCTGCTGCTGCTGCTGCTGCTGCTGCTGCTCTCGGATCGATGAAGAATCATCAGTGCCATCTCTGTCATCTACCCGCACAAGGGCAGACACCCCGGTAAACCCTAAACCCTAAACCCTAATCCCTTTAACGAATCCCAATGAAGCCATGAAGGGGCGACTCCCGCAGCCTTCTGCTGCAGCGCTTCCTGCTACTGCTACTGCTACTGCTACTGCTACTACTACTGCTGCTGCTGCTGCTGCTGCTGCAGGTGGGCATCACCGGATTCAAATTGGCTGTTCTCTCCCAACGGCGCTGCAGCTCCGATTGCTGCAGCTGAGGTGTATGTACAGCGCAGCAGCAAAAGCAGCAACAAGGTCGAGGTCTCTCTTCGTTCCTTTGGCTTGCCCGTTCAGCTGCTGCAGCAACAGTCTGGGGGCCCCCCTCTCCAGCTGGGGGCCCCCATGCCTATGCCTATGGGGGCCCCCCACTGGGGGCCCCCTACCCGCTTCAATATAAACCGTGCTTTACAACACAAACCCTATAAAGGCTTCAACTTGTCACTACTCAGGTACTTGTGGCAGCAACGGGGGGCCCCCCTGGGGGCCCCCCAGGCCCCTACAGCCCCTAATGGGGCCCCCCAGGGCCCCTCGTCCCCTGGGGAAGACCCCGAGGCCCCCTTGGGGGCCCCTCAGGGGGCCTCCGAGACAAAGAATGAGGGGGAGGCCCCTAAAGGTAGCGTTGTTATGATGAAGAGGTGTACAGACACCGCAGAAGCACTAGAAGCAAATTGGAGACGGAGATTAAAACATTTGTCGCTTTGTTTTGCTGAGGAAGGGGTGGGCTTGCTGCACTGATTAGCCTCTATTTGTTTATCTTATGTCTTTATTTATTTATTTATTTATTTGTTTATTTGTTTGTCTCCTTTGACCGATTATTCTTTTGTCTCTTTGTATGTATTTGATTGTCTCCTTTTATGCCTCTGTGCTGCTTTATTAATGCCTCTTTCTCTGTCTCTCTCTGCTGCTGTTTATCTGTCTCCCTTTGCTGTCTGCTCGTTTCTGCTGTCCTCTTTGTGCTATTGCTGCTGCTGATGTTGCTGCTGCTGCTTCTGCTGCTGCTTCTGCACCCGCTGCACATGCTGCTGCTGTCTTTGTTGCAGGCCCCTCCTTCGGCAGCTGCAGCAGCAGGATCTGCTGCTGCCCTAGCAGCAGCAGCAGCAGCGGCAGCAGCAGCAGCAGATGGGCCTTACCGCACAGCCTTAGAAGCAGCAGTACGAGAGGAAGCTGCAGCATTAGAGAACCTGAGACGCACCCCTTTTGCTGCTGTCTATGGGGATATTTGCGTGCAGCGGCATTTGCTGCTGCTGCAGCAGCAAATGCAGCAGCACATGAAGATAGCCCAAGAGAGATTCCGGGCCATTACTGCAGCAGCAGCAGCAACAACAACAACAGCCGGAGGGCCTCAAACTAGGGGCACGAGGGGGGGCCCCCGGGGACCCCCCTCTGTAGCCGAAGCAGCTGCTGCTGAGACTGAAGTGTCTCCTTTTCTCACCGACTCAAACAGCAGCTCGATTGCCGATACACCCCAACAGCAACAGCAACAGCAGCAGCAGCAACAGCAGCAAAGCCAGCAGCAGCATGTGGCGCAGCAGGAGGAGACAGGAGAAGGGGACGGTTGCGATTCGAAGGGGCCCTCCTCTTTGTCTCCTGCTGCTGCAAGGCGATCAAGTGTACGGGGGCCCCCGGGGCCTTCGGGGGGGCCCCCAGGGGGGCCCCCTGGGGGTCCCCCCCTGTCCCCTAGTGGGTCATCACGGAGGGTACTGCGGAGGGGCCCCCGGGTGGGTTCGTTGGGGGCCCTTTGCGAGGTGGACAGCCTACTGAGGCCAACGCCTCTGGGGTTAAGCTCTGCAGGGGCCTCGTCTTTGTCTCTTTCTGTTGCTAGCAGCAAACTAAACATGAATGCCTATGAGCATAATGCGGTTATTGTCGGCGCCTTCTGTCTCTCTTTTGGCGGTGTATTTGCTGCTGCAGCACAGCAGGGGGGCCCCCGTACACCCCCACAACTCTCGCCTAAAGGAGGGGCCCTCAACTATGCGTTGTCCTCTTCTAATGTATGCAATCAGGGGCCCCCAATGGGGCTACATGGAGAGGGGCCCCCCTTCTTCGGGCCCCTTAGCGATGCAACTGCTGCAGATTTAAAATTAGGGAGAGCTGTGCTTCGTCTGCTGCAGCAAAGGGAAGAAGGAAGGGGCACCAAGCGCCCCCAAGACACCCCACAAATAAGAGACACCAGCAGCAGCAGCAGCAGCAGCAGCAGCAAGGAGTTTGCAAGCTGTTGCATGCACACATTCGATGGGGCTGCAGCAAATAGCCTCCCTGAACTTAATGCGGGGGCCCTATGCAAAGTCTGTCCCTTCTCAGTGCCTCTTGTTAGCCGTAGGAGGGGCTGGGGGGCCCCCCAGCAGCAGCCAAGGGGGGGCCCCCGCAAACGCGGGGGCCCCCCTGCGCACCCCTATCGGGGGGCCCCCTCAGAGGGACGCCGTGAAGGGGGAGGGGGCCCCCATATCACCCGTGGAGGCAGACGTTCTGTTCCTTCTCCTCTATTTGACCTGTAAAATTAAGGGTTTCGGGTTTAGGGTTTAGGGTTTGAAGCTTCGGGGGCCCCTAATAGAGGCCCCCTTTTTTTAAATTGTTTATATCCTCTTAATTAACTCTAAAGACAGCGCATTAAAACAGATTTACTCCAAACAAACAAGAAGAGGAGCTCTTCCTATACCCGAAAGTGCTTGAAGGGGCCCTAGGGGCCCCCATAGATGTTCCCCTCTAAGGGGCCCCCACAGATGTTTAGGGGGCCCCCTAGGGGCCCCCTAAACATGTCTTAGAGTATAGCAGCAATGGAGGGCCGTAAGGGGCCCCCTAAACACGTCTTAGGGCATAGCTGCAATAGGGGGCCCCTAGGGGCCCCCTATTGCTGCGACAAAGGGCAGGCTAGGGCCTCCTAGTTGAGCGTTGGGGGCCCCTCTAGGGGTCCCCAGCCCAACAGAAGAGGTGCTTCATACTCTACGAGAAAAGGAAGAAGCAACTTAACAAAGAAGGGGGCCCCCAGGGGCCCCCAGGGGGCCCCTTCGATAGCTGATTGGGGGCCCCCAATGAAGGGCTATCCCTGAGGGGCCCCTTAGGGCCTCGTTAATACCTCTGGCCCGTCCGGCCCTATGAGCACAGTATGTTCAAACTGCGCTGACCTGAGCAGCAGCAGAAGCAGCAGCAGCAGAAATAGCAAGAGCAGCAGCAGCAGCAGCAGCATGTGTAGGAACAGCAGCAACAGGTGGAGCAGCAGTATCACGCGCAGCAGCCAGCACCAATACATGCAGCAGCAGCAGTAGGTGCAGCACCATCAGCACGTGTAGCAGCAGCATCAGTAACAACTGCAGCAGCAGCAGCAGCAGCAGCAACAGCAGCAGTAGCAGCAACTAACGGAAGCTTGTTTGCTGCAACAACACTCCAATTGTCTGCTAGAATTTGAAGCTCAGAGGGCTGAAGACAGACAACGGGCTCTACAGTAAAACAGAGACCCCTGTACATACACCCCAACGGGAAGGGCGACCACCGGTGGTGTATCTGCACATAAACCACAAACCCTAAACCCTAAACCCTAAACCCTAAACTTTAAACCCTAAACCTTAAACCCTAAACCTTAGACTTCAAACCCTAAACTTTAGACCCTAAACCTTGAACCCTAAACCTTAGACTTCAAACCCTAAGCCTTAAACCCTAAACCCTAAGCTTTAAACCTTAAACCCTAAACCCTAAACTTTAAACCCTAAATGCTTAGTGAAAGGCAAGAACAGACACAACAGAAAAGAGAAGAAAAAACAAAGAAGAACAAAAATAAAGACAAACACAAACGAAGACACAAAGGAGACAGTATTTAATTAAAGAGCAGAAGACAGCCAATCGAGAGACAAACAAACAAAGTAAAAGGAGACAGAGACAACAAACGAAACAAAAATAGAGACAGAGACAGAGAGGAGACAGAAAGGAGATAAAAGCAGACAGCAAAGAGACAAATGAGAGACAGCAAAGAGACAAATGAGAGACAAATGAGGGACAGCAAAGAGACAGCAAAGGGACAGCAAAGGGACAGCAAAGGGACAGCAAAGAGGTAGAAAAGAGACAGCAAGGAGACAAGAGAGAGACAGATTATTTCAAGAGATGAAAGAAGAGACAGACAAAGACAAACAACAAAAGAAAGGAGGCAAACAAATCAAACAAAAAAGAAGAGAGAGGAGACAGCAAATTAATTACAAGAGAGACAAACAAAACAAACAAAAGAGTCTAAAGGAGACAAACAAAACAAACAAAAGAGTCTAAAG